TAGAAAGATCATTCCAAGCTGCCAAGAACGATATGCTTAAAACAATGGTTGGGAGTTTGAAACGTCGTCAAGTTTCCGAGCTCCCTTTGAAAGCAAAACTCGTCTTCGGCGATTGTAATAGAAGAGTCTGGATTTGTAATAAATTTTAAAAGAATTGGAATTGATTGTGTTCCGGAGAGCGAGTGATACAGAGACACACGCACACACACGCGCGCGCTCGCACGCACACACACACACACACACACACACACACACACGCGCGCGCGCGCACGCAGACACATGTGTTAACCACAGCAGCTGCCACTACCAGCATGACACGACGATTGTCTGCCTGCCGGTACCTGTCCATTCTCCATATCGGTCAGCTGTTTCTAACGCGCGCCGACGTGTGTCCATGCCATAGAGATCATACATGCAGCTCCAAGCGTACGGGCCAACGGTAGGGCGTACACAAGAGCCGAGCCGTCGTGCTCGCAGCACAGCGTTGCCCGCTTTTACGAGGCATGCAGGGATAGTTCCCCTCGTCCTCTTACTTCCTCCTCCTCCTCTTCGCCCGTAGTCGTCGACGGCCACCGACGCCCGAAACGATCTCGCGAGCACCGCGTGGCTCCGTATCGGCGGCGAGTACCGTCGCCGTGGTTCGGCCGTGATCGAAAACTTCGAGGACTAACAACCGCGAACACATGCGCATGCCATGGAGTCGCCCGTCGCAGGTAAGCGATGTCCGATTGCCGAGCTGTCAGTCGTCGAACAACAAAGGGGGCGGGCGACAAGTTTTCTCTGCAGTAGCGTCGGTCGTTTCGTCCCGTGGCGGGGCGTCGCGCTTTGGCGCGATGTTTTCTTCTCTTCTTGTTTTTCGTACGACAGGGCGATCTCGTTTTCTTTCCACGGAAGTTTGCGAGGGCTTTTGTATCGTGTCGACATCGTAGCACTTCTTGGCTTGGAGAGCTCGGAACGAGTCGTCGTCCTGTGGTCGAGCTAGCGTTTAGCGGCGACCACACCGCTGGGCGTCGAGACACGACAAAGTTGACTGAGAGTTGTTATATTGATGGTGTGTTGGGGCTTCTGAGCGTTCGCTGTTTGGAAACCGCCCCGCGCCTCTCGTCAGCACTGGCGATGTTTGGGGAGTGATACTTCATCGTCTTCTCGATTCGTTTATCGAGTGATGTTGATGGCTCGATAAGCAGTCCTTTATCGGTACTGTCCGTACTAAGCGAAGGGGGTGTCGACCGGGCGGCGCCGGATCGTTTGAAACAAGAAAAAGAAAGTTCGTTAGAGTTGCAGCAGTCGTTGCAGCCGTGGCAGTCAGTGCACGCATCCTGTTTCGTGGGTGTATACGTAAAATTGGTTTCGGGTTTGTGGAGCGCGATCGGGAGATGTTCTGCTTTGCTTTTCCGGTAGTTTTTCCCCCTCTTTTTTTTTCGCGTCGCATCCCGAAGTCTGGTTGTGTTTTGTTCGTTTTCGGTCGCAGTAGCTGAATGTTTTGCTTGGCGACCGAACAGGATACGTTCGTTTTGATCAAATCAAGGAATGTCTGGAACTGGGTGCTGTCAGAATAGTCATACGTACGCGGTTGACGAGAGTTTGAGAACAGGTGTTACACTTTCCTGTCTGGTGGTTCAGACAGCCAGCCACTTCCGCGGCAAAAAGAAGAGAGAGGATTGATTTAGTGAAGTCAATTTCGCTTTGGAGTGCCGTGGTTGAGAATCGAGGTGCATTGTAGAGATGCTGGAATGCTAATTTAACATATTTCATTTTGAGAAACATTAAAAGCGAAATGTGCTAGCTGATAAAATTTTCTTAAACTATCAGCCAACAGAATTCTTCCCAAAAAATCAAGGACCCTAAGGAAACAACTGCTTCATCACAAAAAAAAGGTCATTAAAAAAAAAGGATGTTTTTTTTTAGGTTTTAAAGGGTTGCGACTTTCAGTTACACGTGTAAAGCACGAGTAGGGCCCTGTGCGGATAACAGTTTGATCATTCACAGACTTCGTATCCGCATCCACAGTGTTCTTAAATAACTGTATCCGATCTGCATCCGCAGACTTTGATCCGCATCCAAACTGCAACCACGAAATTCGGAACCGCCTCCAATTTTCAATCCGTGCAATCATTTTTCACCATAAAATTAGGCATGAATAAAAATGAAGAAAAAAAAAAAACAAGCATCTGGATGGTATCCTATAAGCCATCTGCTTACCTTTTTACAAGGAATTCTTTGTGTAAGAATACGGAAGTCGTTTTATCGTATTCTGCTTTATCGTATTTATAAAATAAACGATCATCCTTCCAGGAGAACCTTCGCATCGCTCGAAAGATGATCTCTGTTATTTATTTATTTATTTATTTTACCCTCAGGGCACAAAGGCATTACAGAGGGGAGTGGGGAATAAAAGCAATAAGAATACACAAGGAACAATGAACAAAAGCTCAAACAATAGGGAACATGAGGTTGGTAATAGAATTACAAAAAAGAGAGATTGTCTTGGGAGTCCGTGACACTGACAGTAGATGCGCTCAAAAGGAAGGAAATTTACATTTATTTTCCTTTTTGCTGTGTAAGACCCACTTCAAACAGACGCATATTTCATAAACATGAAAATTGACAAAGGACGGACTAATAACATTGTGTCATTTTATTTAGGCCAAACAATAAAAAAACGTGGGAGAGGAAAGGTGCTCACTGGCTGCAGCAAAATACTCATGTATATGTAGTAAGGCACGGGTACACCTCTGGGAAAATATCACAATATTCAATAATGGCAGCACCTGCTATTGGTTACAGTTTTAAACACGAGCCCTCATCTACATGCTCGGAACCATACAGTTAAAAACAATGCAGCGCTAACTATTGAGAAAAAGAAAATGCACACAGACACGAAACATTTCACTGGTTGATGTTGCTAGAAGAAACAGAATATTGTCAACTCAATTGGATTCAGACTGGTTCGCCTGTCTTAAATTAATACCCGCTAATGAGAAGTTTCTCTCCATTGGTGCACTTGAGATGCTGGGGTGGCATGCACAAACTGCGCTACAACAATGAGGACAGGAAACTTGTGCTAATGCAAGCTCTACCACTCCAGAGGATCAAATTCAGTCTCCTCGATATATACCTCTAGGCGAAGAAGCCACTTGCAAGCTTCTTCTACTTTGTTGTGGCTCGTACGTTGTGGGGTTTCTTTGCCCCCCCCAAACAATGTTTTCCACTCTTTTCCTGCCAAACAAGAACACGCTTCGCAGGATGACTGTTCTGCATTCTTTACTTTTTCTAGAGACTGTGTTTTTGGGGAGACAGAACATTCTTAAGCAATCTTTGGTGAGAATCAAATGGTTATTGTTGTAGAGAACAAATTTCTCCCCGATTTCCATGTTTGGCCCCGCAAATACATTTGATGATGCACTTCATAGTATCACTCATTTATTCACTTTACACTGCACGGTTGCACAAGTTTTTGAGCCACCTCGGCAAAAATTGATCTGAACCCGCAGATGTCTACATCCAATCTCCAATTTACCAAATCTGATTCATTTCTATCCAAATCCGCCAGCTCACTGCAGATATCTGCAGATATGCGGGGCTCTAAGCACAAGTATCGCATCAAAATTGCGTATCTTAAGCAAGAATTGCTGCACCTGTGTGTATTAAACGAGTCAATAGTAATATGAGATAAATCATTACAACCAAGTAAAGTTTACTGCTCACATATTTTCAAACATTATGTATGTGTGTGGGGAGGGAAGGGGTGTGTTGGAATGGTTTAACTTTTTAATCTGAAATTTGTCTACAAACAACGCCATGTTTGTGATGTGTGGTACATGCATAGACACATCACAAACATGGCATAACTGGTTAGTTTGGCAACTGGCATTGTTGAAAAATGAAAAGACCATATGTATTAAGTTCATGAAAGCAATTTTCCATTATAAAAGCATTATTTAGCACCCACATGATTTATTCAAATGGACATAAATAGATAGTGCATGGCTTTTCATTTGACACTTTGCAAAGTTCATCATGAAAGCAATTTTCCATTATAAAAGCTTTATTTAGCACCCATATGATTTATTAAAATGCAGATAAACAGTTTGTGCATGGCTTTTCATTTGACATTTTGCATGTACTGGTAATGTAATGTAATGGCTTGGGACTTCTTACTTAGATAATGAATTTTTACATATTGCACTCTCTTCTTGATTTACTCTAGTCTCTTTTGTGATACACAGTTCATGGTCAATTTCAGCCTTAGTTTTCAGTTTGCCATTGGTTTTCTTCCTATTTATTTACAATGGATATTTCATGCTCTTGCTTGCAGTGCCATGCAGTGATTTCTCTACCCACTTCCTAGGGGGGCTGTAAACCCCCCCCCCCCCCTCCCCCCCTGTTTGTCTGTCGGCACTTCCTGAAAATAATGTTCTGCTGAATGCACGAAAAAACAAAAACAAAAGCAATATTTATTTTGTGCGAAACCATTGTTTTCTTGAGCGCACTGTCTCAAAAGAACAGTGGCATCATAGCAGAAGCTTTTTCCTCGCATCTCCTGCGTGCTGCTTAGCTCCTTTTCTCCTCCTCCCATTGACGTGAAGGAGAACAGTCAAGAGGTTTGCCCGTTGAATATATATTCGTTGTTGACATTCATTGCGGTGTCACAGTATTGAAACCGTGATCGATATTTTCTGATGTTGCTTTTTTCTTTACTTAGTGCTTTCTTAAGGAAATTACGCATTCTTCATTATATGTTTGTACTGAATGTAGAGTTCCAGAGCCTCTGTCGGGCACCACACATGCATCTCTGGGGGGGAATTGAGAAATAAAATTACCTCCCTGTGCTCCCCCCCTTCTCTCCCAGACTTCTGGAAATTCAGACACCACCCCTAATTTCAATTCCTGGGGAAAATCCTGGTGCTATACGAGTGATATCACTGAAGCACCCATTATGCTCTTTGGCAAAGCTTTACAGCTCAAGTTATTGTTTCATGTTTTTTAATCTTCCACAGATGAACGGGAGGATGTACAGAGAAAAACCTTTTCCAAGTGGATTAATTCACAGCTTGCAAAGGTACAAACAACCGTTTTAATTATGTTTGTTGCAAATGACAGGTCAAAGATGTTGTTCTGCTTTCCTCGCAAACCCTTTGAACAAGTGCTTGTCAACCTTCCAGGCTGACCAGCCCCTTGTCAACGACCTCTTCCAAGACTTCAGGGACGGAACTAGACTTTTGACGTTGTTGGAGGTCCTCTGCGGACAGGAACTGGTATGCGCTCCAATTAGTACCATGCAAAATTGAACCCCAATGGGCAAGACAGACTAACAGTCCTTTTTGCGTTGCTAAAGTAAGACCAAGCATTGCCGAATGCTCAGATTTCACCGGAATCTGGTGCCATATGCTGTTTAATCTTACAATGGATTGTGAGGGCACTACAAGCTAAGCCAATTCAGTGCTGTGTGATTTTCACAAGACGTTCGGAAGGGATGGCACAATGTGTAGTGTTCGAATTTTCGCGATACATTCGCAGCATTGAGTCTGCTGGGTTTGCACATAGCGTTTGCCATGGTCTATTGTAAAATGAAACGGCATTTAGCAGTTAGAATATGATGCTGGAGTTTTGAAAGTTACGGCTAGCCTGAGTGAAAAGATGGGAACAAAAAATGGATCTTGCCTACAAGGGGGTGCAATAAGGCAGCGAAAGCAGACGGAGTGCACCTTTTTCTGCCACACCATTCTGATTCCGCTCTTTTCAATGATGGAATAAACGCGGAAGCAGACGTTATCTGCTTCTCATAGACACTGGCACCATGTTTACCCCTAGATGTCGCACAAGAGGAAAAACTCGAAAAAGCAAGTTTTTTTGTTACGACTTGTAACAGAATGTGTTTCGTTCTAGAAACGGGAGAAAGGAAATCTGAGAGTCCACCACATCAACAATGTCAGCCGGGCATTACAGGTCTTGGAAGCAAACAATGTAAGTCAGCTTTCAGATATTCATCCACTGAGCAAAGTGAGAGACCTGCGAGTTTATCATGCCCTGACATATGAACTAATAATAATAATGATGAACGAATGTGTTCTTTTCTTTGAACTCAGGTGAAGCTTGTGAATATCAGCACGAATGACATCGTAGACGGTAACCCCAAACTTACCCTTGGCCTCATCTGGAGCATCATTCTTCATTGGCAGGTAGGGACGCAGTTTCCCAGTAGGATCTAGAGAGAGGGTGATTAGAAAATTATTCATACTCCGGTTATCAACTTCTGTTGGCCTCTCTGTCTTATCAGTGCTTCTCATACTCGAGGTTGCTGTATCTCTATTCTCTGCTGGGCAGGTTGGAATGAGTTACGTTGGCTCAGTTTTGATTGCAGTGTGAGAAGCAATGCCTGCCCCACTTGTGATTTGCACGAAAGAAGAGAAACATGCAGCAATTTGTTTTTTGTGGTCTTACAGTGTGTCTGGTGCCAATATTTATTGAAGACATTGTGCACAGCATGGAGGAAGTGTTTTGTTATGAAAATGTGTGTTTGAATGGATACAAAAGTTCAAGGAGGGTCACACAAGTGTTAGCCATGATGAAGGAGTCGCACACTCGTCCACAATGTTGCATTCATGGCTCATAGTTCAGCCAAAAACAAAGTGTATTGTAAAGCTGTGTGATTAGTTAAAAAAATTGTCTACTTGTCCTTTCTGAAAGTTTATTAAAATAAATTCTACAGCCAGAGTGTGGATAATTTTGGGATCACCCTTTAGGTTTAAGAGCATGTTATCTTAAGAGCTGGCAACAAAAGCTGCATATGCCAATGGATGTGCCTGACTATCCCTGGCTTTTGAAGAACTACTCCAGCCAGAACTGTGTCTTGGTGGAGTTCTAATGCTTTGAAATTGTTGGCATACTTTAATTTGTGCCACTATTAGACAGTTTTAGTACATCGTTCCAATGACTCGAATAACAATCCCGATATTGATGCGATGCATGCGGAAACGCGTTGGCAAAGTATTGGGTGTCGTTATCGGAGATGTCGGGATAATTTACTTAAGCTCCTTACTCTTGAGCTATTCAGCTATAACATTATTGGACATTTTGACATTGTCAGATGAGGAATTCTCAACCTCTATGCTTGTCTTCAACTAAACAGTAGTAGTAAAAAAAAAAAAAAAGTTTTGCTCTTATGGAACATTACTAATTTCCCCTTTGATATGGTGAATTAAAATACCTGGGTGTGCATTTAAGATGTGTTATTTGATAAAATGCACAAATTTCAAATGCAAAAAAGCATATTTTTCTTTTTGGCTGACGACCACATTTTATAAAATCTGCTAAGTCTGCGCAAAATTAAGTTGTATAGATGAAGAGAAAATGTTTTTAGTTTTTGGATGGTGTGTCTTTAAAGAGAGAGAGAGAGAGAAAGAAATATAGAAGTTTTTAACAGAAAAGTACTGATTGTACAAAAACACTTGTATTTTTTTTGCTATTTTTTGCATGTCTTGTGCAAATGTCAGCCCCCCCCCCCCCCCTTTATTTTTTCCCCTCCCCTCCAGACTTATATTTGTGATTTAAAAAAATAATTTCAGTATAGACTGCATCCTCATTACTTGGCCTTTGCCAAAATAAACTTCAGTTTCATTTTTATTTTGCCTTATGGAATTCATTAGAATAAAGTAATGGAACTGTAAAAGATTTGCTTTGTTGCTGGTTTTTTTTTTTGTCGCTTGGTTGTGTTCAGCATGAGGAAATGAATGTGCACACTTCTAGATGCATTCATGTAGAATGTGGGAGTTTATAGAGATGAGTTGATAAAACACCTGATGAGGGACTTAAGAAGACAAAGAACATGTGACCTATGATCAACCTTTGATATATTTTGTTTTCCAATTATTAACTGATTGCAGTAAAGATTGATGTAGCAAAGGTTTGGCTGTATAGTGAAGCAAATATGAATTATGGTTCTGCACTCCATTTCAACATAACTTGGCAAAAGATAAATACCACGGTCCCCACGGGCCAATCAGGGCATCGGAGAAGGGCTTGTGGCAGTGCTCTGTCGGTGTGCACTCCTTCTGTGGATTGCTGTCGTGTGCTTTGCTCTGTTGCACTGATTAGCTCTCAAGGGCTGTAGTGTTTGCCTTTTGCCACTTTTGCAAAGTTATGCTGAAACGAAGTATAGCTTTTGTGCATGCTGATAAAAATACTACGTATATGGTGGATATTTTTCAAAGAAAACAATTTGTCTGCTATAGACAGGTTCTATATCTTTATAAAGAGGCACACTTTTATTGGCATGGTGTTCTATACTAACCTCCCTGCATTATTGAAACTAGCTCTAGGGATGTCTTGTCAAGACCAGTCATTTGATCCTTAGGTAAATTGTGGCTTGGTCCCATTGCTCCCTTCTTCCATGGTTCAGGTGCACGGTGTCCTCAAGAGAGCCTCCAGTGACATTCACCAGACTAATCTGGAGAAAACTCTGCTAGCCTGGTGCAGGGATGTTACAAAAGGGTATGCATAGCTTTTTTGTTTTTTTGCCCCTCATTGTATAGTTTATGCCTGCTGTCGAGACCGGTTATAACGAAGTCAACGGGGATGAAAATCACTTCGCTATATCCACTATTTCGTTATAAACGACTTTGGTTATAACGAAATGCAAAGGGGAATGGGAAATAGTGATTGCTCGCTGTAGCCACTCTTTCGTTATAACCGACTTCGTTATAACCGGTCTTGACAGTATCTGTTTAGTATATCATAACATTTGACTGGCCTTACTTCATCTAAGAAAACCTTGACTGCAACATGTGTGAATGTGCCCAAGTGCACACCAAGCTTTTCTTTTTAAAAAATGTTACATATCACACTGCTTGCACGACTTATACTTGACTGTGGTGCTGCATTCAGGCACATGCAATCCATTAGGTTTACAAGATCTCTCTGCCATTCATGAAGACAATGTTTTTATTTCTTTTAAAGGTACATTGGAGTTGATGTGAGAAACTTCACAACAAGTTGGATTGATGGTTTGGCCTTCAACGCCATCATTCACAAGTTCAGGTGGGTTGCATACACTTCTTTCATTTGTGATAAGTTCCTCTCAAAAGCTCAATGTTTTCTTAATTTTGTGATCTCGACGGCAGATGCCAAGCATGACAATCATTGTGTTCCTAGATTAGGCAGTACGGAAAAAAAGAAGAGTGAAGCAAGCACCACAAAAACACACTTTACTACTACTTCAAAACTACTCTGTTAAGAACTAACAATGTTTACATGCATGACATAGCACATTTTGTGCGAATCGTGAGGATGAGCACGCTTTGCAACATGTAGAGTTATCAGACAAGTCTTTTCCTCTCCCTTTCTAAACCCAAGGCCAAATCTCTTCGATTACAAGAGCCTGCTCAACAAAGACCCTAATTCTCGGCTTGAGCATGCGTTCCAGTTTGCTGAGAAGTTTGTTGGGATTGAGCGGTTACTGGACCCCGAAGGCAAGTCCTGCAGATGAAATGTTTACCTTTTTAGAGTGTCTTTAATGCTTTTGGTGTATTTTTTTTTGTGATTGTACAATGCTGCAATAATTGTAATGGGGGGGAAAAAAGCAATGTGTGTAAGTGGCATTCTAAAAAGCACTTTCTACCTATTATTTATTTAAAAAAGATACTGCAGGTGTTTCACTTAGGCCCCTGCAGAGCAGGGGTTCAAAGCAGTGAATACCTGACATAAGAACTTAAGTAACACAGATCCACCTTTGTTTCACACTTGCAGAACAAAAAGCATTAGTATGCAAAACTATATTTAATATATGGTATCCCAGTTAATGTGATAAAAACATAAAACAAGCTTTGTTATTTCTTTATCAGCTCAGCCAATTGTCTACTGATAGTTAAACTACAATGCATGCCTTAATCACAATGATAAAAAACATGTATAAAACACTGGGAAAACAAAGGAAATATGATAAAAGGCCTATCGTGTACGGTTTTGTTGATGTAATGAATGGTGAAGATACAAGAAGAGTTCTATAGTCTGTTTCTTGTCGGAATTGAACGTTTGTCACACATGATAGCGAATGTCGACGAACATTGTGGACTGCATCCATCGTCAACTGCGGGACATCTGGAAACACGGTGTTCCTTCGAATGAAAGAAACATGATTCTGACAAGGGGATTAGCTTGGTGCTTGGCAGTTCCATTGGGCAAATGAAGTTAATGTTTTGTGGTCGGAGGTAGGCTAATGGGGAACAATGCATTTTTTCAGATGTGAACACCCTCCACCCTGACAAGAAGTCTGTTATGATGTATGTCATGTGCTTCTTCCAAGTGCTGCACCAGCAGAACACACCTCTCCGAAAAGGAAGCTCGTCAGATTACTCGGACAGCGAATCTTCGTTTCATCAGGTATGCATTGATTACGGAAGTTTTTTTTTTTCAATTAGGCCAGGCATTAACCTTTCGAAGGTATGGGTGTCAACATAGGCACTTATCTGGTTCAACCCGAGATATGAAAGTTCATCCCTTGCTGGCAGTTGATAAATTGCAAAGAATGGAGGTTACTGAACCTATCGGCAAGGTAATTTCTTCCTTGCATTGTGTGCTGCAATCCACGCTTAGCTTGGGGCCACTTTGAGGTGTGCCAAGTTATGCCGTCCGAAGTAAACTTCTTTTTGCTCCAAATACAAGATGCATTAGTAGTTTTTTTTGTAATACTAAAGGGATCAATGGCCGAGTGGGCTAACATGTGTTAGCTTGGAGCGTGGAGTGAAAGCTTGTGCTGCAGAACCTCCTGGGTTCGATCCCCAGCCCCTGCCCGTTTCGATCATGATGAGCTTTGTACCAGCAACCGTTAGTGTAATCGCTACTGCATGGTGCACGTTAAAGACCCCAGGTTAGCGGTTGTACTGCACTTGCTAAATTGCTCATCTTCAGCTGAGAGACAGGTCACCCATTGAGGCATAACAACTTCAAGGCTGTCTAAATATACAAGCAACACAGTTGTTTTTTTAAAGTGCAGATCTTAGGTTTTTGTTTCTGTGTTTTGCGGCGTCGCCGTTGTCGTAACTGCGCACGTTGCATTATGGGATATCGCAGACGTACACCAATTCACTTCCCCGCTAAATTGAGCGAAGAAACTGAATTGGTGTGTACGTTTGTGACATCCCATAATGGAACACTGCGCATTCAGTTCCCCCTCTAAATTTAACGGTAAAACTGACTTCACATGACCTCAACACCAATTCAGTTTCCCAGCTCAATTTAGTGGGGAATTAAATTGGTGTTGAGGTCACGTGATGTCAATTTTACCGCTAAATTTAGCGGGGAAACTGAATTTGTTCACCAATGACGTGACACGAAGTCATGTGACATCATTTTCCCCGTTAAATTTAGCAGGGAAACTGTGGGAGGAGAGGAGGGTTCTCTGTACCCTTTCCTCCTCCTTCATACCCTCGCTTTCCTCCACCTGAGTGCCCTCTTATCACTGTATATCACAAAATCAAAATACCTCAAGAGCTGCGCTCTACTTTTGCGTTGCAGGGATTTGCAAACGTCTTTCAATTGTTTTATAATACTAAAGGCCCATTCACACTCTTGCGACCGAGTACGACCGAGTGAAACCACACCGGTTTTTAAGCCTCTTGCAATCTCTTAGGACCAGCTCCGCTGTATTGCATCCGGCCCTAAGAAGTCGTAAGAGGCTTAAAAACCGGTCTGGTCTCTCTCGGTCGTACTCGGTCGCAAGAGTGTGAACAAGCCATAACACGTAATATTTGTACGTTGACATTGCACTTACATTTTGTGACTTCTTTGAAGTTACCATGGAGCCCATTTCTACCAATGTACTGGCTGATGTTCTAAACACAGCTGTAAAAGTTATCCCTGAAACATAATTCATTTGCAGTTGCAGTTACATGAATAGAAATATAATAAAATGAAAGGTACAGTGACACTAACAAGTGCCTAGTTGCATTTATGGTTACTCATAAAAAGTAACGGTAATTTTTTCTAATACAAGTTATAGTTGTGCTTATAAAATATTCCAATGATGTCAAAGAACTGTGCGATTGCTGACTAATGGCTCCCATTCAAACCCGGAAAGGGTATTGGCATAGTTAATTTTTTTTTTTGGCGCTTTTCTTGGAAGAGCTTGAGCCAGTATGAACCGATTGCCCCCGAAAGGCGTGTTTGGCTATTTGTCAATATAATTCTAGAAAGTAGCTGTGATTGAACTTTTCTTACAAATTACTCCAAAGTCATTACTGAGTTACAGTTACTGAAATTTCATTCTTACTTGGAAAGTACTTAGTTACTGGAATTGTAAGCAGTATCAGTAACTTAAATACCTATGATTAGTTAGTTCAACCATTGGAGTAGGTTGCAAGTAGAAGAAAACATCACATTTTCAGAACTACAAAGCTAATGCACTGCTTCTCTCAGTCCAAATTTTTATGTACAATGTCGTGCTGTATTGCTCTTTTCGAGCACCACATGCACTCGAGTGAGCGCATGTATTGCTCTTTCCAAGCACCACATGCACTCGAGTGAGCGCTTTTTGTCCAGTTTACATTATTTCTTCTTTCGCCTGATAAGGAGGGCTGACGAGATTAGTGGCGCTGGCGCCGCTTGAAGTAGTCTGGGCTCTGCATGCATACGTTGGCTCACTGTCAGAAGTGGAACTTAAACTTCAGGTTGTACAGAACCGAAGCGGCTTCTTGTTTAGCCTGTAAAACCTCTGTTCTGCATTAGACGCCAGGAAAGGTTGTCCTCTGGATAGCCGAGGAGCGCTCAGAATGCCAAGCACGCAGGTGGGCTGCGCTGTTATCTTGGATGTTTTTTGTCTGCATTCCTTGGGTTGCCCTTGACTTCCTAAGATTCTTCTGAGCTGTGACATGCTTTGGATATCCAAGGAACATGTCTTAAACATTCTTATCTTTTTGATGCATTGGTTCTCCTGGCATTCTGCTTTATTACCAGCGGCTGAAAAGCACTGTGTGTAACGTGTAGTACCAGTGTGTGTAACGTGTGATATACCAGTTTGTTTGCACATAAGGGGTGTTACAAACATCCTATCTATAGCTTTCTTAATTAGGTTTGATTCCTAATGGTTACTGGAGTTCAGCATAAGATAAATTATTATGCTACAAAATAGGATTATTTGGGCACATCTGTAAATGATGACTTAAGCTTTCGAGACTGAAGCTTTTGCCGGTGGCAGTTAGACTAAAATGTCCTGTAAGTTTTCTGACTTATATAGAATAAAAGTTGGTTTAATTCTGCTTCAAATTGAGCGGAGCAGAGAAGGAGGCAAATTTACTCTGGTAAACAAAGAAGATCATGTCCAATTTGCACAACTTCAAAGAAGTGAAAACTTCACAACGAGCTCACAAGGCTTGCCTTGTCCTTCTGACACGACTGGAATAGTCGGAGCAGTTTATTATTTCATATATCGCTACATACTTCAAGAGCTAAGTATAATAACAAACTAAGGAGTATACTGTATTTACTCGAGTAATAGCCACACTATTAATGAAGAAAACCTGAGAGTTCGCTTTCCCGCAGAGCACGCGAATTGTCAATCACCGCAATCGACAGCATGATTCCATTAGTTTACAGGACAGAGATAACGTCTTCGCACGAAGATACTATCTGTGAAGATTGCATTTGTATGAAGAATCATGTTCTCGATCTAGTTATTCGCTGCATAATTTATGCGCAACGCGATGATTGGTTGTATATGTGTTTTGCGGGAAAACAGACGCAAGGGCCTTGTTCATAAATAGAGCGGCTATTACTCGAGTAAATACGGTGTATATATTTTTTTTAATTTTATGGGGAGGTACATATAACAACTGTCTTCAAACAAACTTTGCAACTTCTTTGGAATCGTCGGAGCAATCAGTCCCGGCTTTAGGGGTGGGCCACCTGGGCGGTCGCACAGGGCGCCATCAGTAGGAAAGCGCCGCCGTGCCCCCCTACTGATTTTTTTTTGCTTTTTGATTTAAGGGGGGACACTAGCAGAAAAACGAAATTCTGCAAAAAAGTTGATTTTGAAAATTGCCATATTTACATCCGCCACCATCTAGAAAGTATTCCCAGAAAGTTTTATTTGTATACAGTGCATAGTTATTTTTTTATAAATTATTTTCAGTCCACCAATGTTAAAGAAGGTAGAGGTTCGAGCACTTTGAATGCGTTTTTCTCTAATTCACCTTTTTGGCGTATATTCCACCTTTATAAAACCATTGTTTCAGTATGAAACTATTGAGAGACTTAATATTTGTGCCTTATATGCTAAAATTTTATGGAGCCGGTTAGAATGAACAAAAATTTTTTTTTCATACATTTTTTTTTACCTGAAAATGCATATTTTCTTAAATTTCTGTTCATAGTAACCAGCAACAATCATCACCATTTCTCATTGATAGATTTATTGAGCAGATTCCATTCAAAGCTATGCTTTACTTCGTTCTGGGGGTATAAAATTGGTTCACAGCTGAAGCTTTGCATGCCCTTCTTTTATATGGCTGCAAACACCACCTGAAAATATTGTGCCGATTAAGTGAGCGGTTCAAAAGTTGACATTTCCAGGTAGTGTCCCCCCTTAAATGATCACAGCGCCCAACACGACGCTATATGCTCGATCGCCGTTAATTTCTGGAATGCGGCTTTCGGCTGACAAAACGTTCATGTTGGGCCACTATACTGTACTAACAACGTGATGTCGTACCTAGTAGATGTGGGCGTATAAAAAGGGAGGGAGGGGATGGTGCCACAACTGAAGTTTGCCCGGGGTGCTTAATGGTGTAAGGCCGGCCCTGGAAGCAATTCATTATATATTAGTTATTTTTCATACTTATAACCAATTCTAGCACCCACCTTTCTTGAGAAAAATACCGTAATATCCCGAGCAAGTGCCCGCTCTAAATTTGAAGATAATCATGTAAAACTGGTTGAAGGTCAGCAATATGTAAAGATATGTCCTTTGTATATTTCTTGAATGTTACAAAATTGAAAGGTGGGCACTTTTCGTGGAATGAGCGGATGCGCAATATTTTACAGTATACCTAAAAATTGTCTGCATATTCAAATTGGATACAAAACCGAAATTTTTGGGTATAAAAAATGAGTTGCACTCTAGAATCGGGTGCCTGTTACAATTGGCTAAGTATGGTACTTGAACAGCTCAATGTAATAACTACCTAAGAACAATTTTCTTTTTGTCTTTCATTTGTTGAAGTTTATGAAGAGGTTCCTGTGCACAAACAACTCTTTGCTACCTTTAGTCTGAGTGGTGCGGTGTACTGGTGCTTACTGCTACCGTCACTGTGTAAAGGGCTGTCTAGACAGGACACATCTTTTTAAGTTCACAGCATTTGCTCCGTCTGAAGTGGACATTTCCCTCCATTTCTGGCCCATTTGGGGACATTATTCTCGCCGGGGCTTAAGCTACCCTCCGCCTCTGTCCTTGGACAAAGCCTCGAAGCGTTCTCATGCACTGGGTTCGGACAGTCACTCATACGCTCCACTGGCTGTTGTTGATCCCCAATCTTCTGAAAACAAGAAAGGGGAGGAGACAACAGTAAGAAAGCGAGGAGGAAAGCCATGCTGTTTGCATCGTTAAAGTTGTCACTAAAAACATGCGCGTGCTGCAACATTGAAATTCTTTGAGAAGCAAGCACATTCACCTATTTTTTGGCATTTGCTGTGTCCCGTGTGGTCAGCCCTTTACCCGACAGTCAAATGTGTTCTACTCGGCAGCAGCAGCATCCTGGAGGAGCCACAGCGCGAGGGGTCACAAATGTGAACAGCTACCAGAGCAGCCTGGAGGAAGTGCTGACCTGGCTGCTGGAGGCAGAGGACCGCCTGGTCAACTTGCCTCCCATTGGCGGTTCAGTGGCTCAAGTCAAGGACCTGTTTCACGCACACGAGGTGAGGGCATTGGCTCGTCTCCCGCTCCACGCAGCTGCTGTGGCCTAGTACTGCGGTGCCCAGGCCATATCTCCGACGGACGTGTAAAGCGTCCCATACGGTCGTGTTTTGTTAACAGGGACACCTTCATTCCCCAGAAAAGTTTTTCATAATTTGAGCCATTCATAATAATGAATGAAGGCTAAAATCACAAAAAAACAACAGACAACTAGCCATCCTACAAAAGACTGTTTATTTAGGGAAAAAGCGCCGAAACTTTATCTCACAGTTGATTTAGTGCCTGCTTTCTTATTGAAAAAGCTTAAGAAAAAGCCTAAGATATCAGCTACCTGTAAGGCCCATTCCCCCTGTCTCTCCATCGCATAATGAACAGGTGCTAAAGGCACCTCGCAGAAAGCTCTCTCCGTCTGCTTTTGTTTTATGCTTGTCATGGTCTCTCACTGCTTTGGCTTCAGGGCCGATTATCTTACCTAATTTTAAGTGGTGAGAGCAGTTTATTTTTATTTACGAGGGGAAAACATGATTTTTCAATTGTCATGAGGTCTGTTATTTGTGGCCGTGACACACATAGGCAGAGGAGGACAATTAAACCCTCTGGTAGGAAAGTCCTGCAAAATCTAACCATTGTTCTGTGCTCAGGTTTTATCTCTTTGTCAGGAAGGATATTCAAAAGTAGAAAATTGTGAAACTCTGGGTGTATGTATCTTGTGAACCAAGGGCTTCACTAGCCTCTATTTTGTTTCATTTGTGGACTGTCTTGAGGATGCTTGTGTCCACAATAATGAGACAAAAATGTATCTGTTTACTCAATTCATTCTCAGACTAGCTGTCCATAAGTCTGGACTGTGGGTTTTTATATTAACGAAGTAGAATTGTATATTTTTTATTTAATTTACTTTAAGTTGCTTAGGACATTATATGAGGGGGGATACAAAATTTGATGACACAAAATACAATATGCAATAATGCACTTAGTATTACACAAAAAAAAAAAAAATTGAATCTAGAAAAAAAATTGAGAAAGAATAGCAATGTTCATAAGTGCAATACAAAGAAATTCACATGCACACATGCATTATTCATGAGTACCGCAAAGTAATTAACCACATGGAATTTTGAATTCTGTTCTATCTGTAATTTCCACAATATTATGGGGCAGAAAGTTCTGCGCGTAAGCCACAAGCTGCAACGAGTAGTTGAGAAATTGGTTCGTACAACATTTCTGTAAGCAGATTTTGTGAGGACGGACTTGTCCAAAAAATATGCGATAAGTAATAATTGTTTGGGGACGAACCTCGGACGGATTGGTCTCCGATCCGTCCCCGTACATATTAATGGATTCATATTAACGAGACGCAACTGAGCTGCACATGCATCAGAGAATTTCTGTAACAGCTGCGAAGTATTTTGGCCCTGGCAACTGGTAGTAGAAGGGCCATCCCAGAAGACACGCGCACTTGGGCCAACCCCTGCCAGCCATGGTTTCCATTGGCCGATAGACTACAGAGCGAGTTGTAGTATAGCAGGCGTGCACCATACTACCTTTGCTGCTGTGCAGCTGCTCAGATCGCATTGATTCGCAGCATTCTGTAGTCGTGGCATAACCAGGCTGAAGTCGAGGGGGCAAGTGAGAGACGCAGTAAGTGCACTGTTTAGGGACTCATTCCGGGCACTCTACCACTACCAGCCCAGCTCTGTGATGTATGTATGTTGGAGCTCTGCCTCGCTGCAGTTGGGTCCATGCAAAGACCTGTTCAATTCCTCAATCTGTAATACCTTTGCTCGTAACAATAAAAAAAAAAATGTTTTGTCGGCTTTTTTTGTTTTTGAAGTTCCGTTAGAAGAGGCCACTGACATGTCTAAGGTGGTTCTTTTGTGACCGCAGACTTTGTTGCTGCATGCACTGCTCTTCTTTCCCGCCAGGATTTCATGCTTGAGCTGACGCAAAACCAGGGCCGAGTTGGGGAGGTGCTCCAGGAGGGCCAGAAGGCCATCCGGGGAGCGGGCGTCTCTCCGCAGGAGAGGGAGGAGATCAAGGTGCAAATAGACCTACTCAACACGCGCTGGGAGAGCCTCAGACACAGTGCCATGGACCTGCAGACCAGGTGGGTGCCGTCGACACTGCTTTTACCCTCTGAAAGGTCCCATTCACGCCGTAGCATAAGACTATGTTGGGTGGGTTTCGTCAAAATATGACTGCAAGTTACCGTAAAACGAAGTCTTCTGGAAGCTGCAGAGTGGCATCCTGGAGGGGGTCAGAGGTGTTAGAAAGTTTTCTCGGACATTCTTTTTTTAGTGTTATTTACCAGCTTGAACCATTTTTGTATTTTGTCAGTAACCATGGCAACCTGAGGTTGCATTGATTGGTTATTAGGGTGACTCGTAGTCGTGTCGTGAGGTAAACCTCCGTAACATAGCCGTAATCAAATGCCTCTGTCTGAATGGGCCTTGGCTCCCCTGTTTTAGGTTTGACTCATTTGCGAGCAGAGATTGAACAATGCTAAAAGCAAGCGAGCGAAAAAAAGGCCAAAGAAGAGTCCAGCGGGGAGCCGCTGGACTCTTCTTTGGCCTTTTTTTCGGGGAGTGACAGGCTGGTCAAATTTGGTGACATTCTCGATCACTACACTGGCGAGAGGTTACGCTATCCACCCGCGCACCCCTCGCTGGACAAGAGGACGTCGGTGGCATGGCGCCGCCTCCAGACGGGCTCCTTCCCGAGCCCCTCCCAACTCAATAAATGGTACCCCGACAAGTACAAGCCAAACTGCAAGCTCTGCGGCGGCCACGCCAACCTCCGACACATGGTGTGGGAGTGCAGCAGGATCGACCGCAAGTCTCACCCCCTACTGGAGAAGATCGACAACCAGGAGAGCTGGGAAACCCTACTCCTCTGCTCCGACCCCTCGGTGCAGAACCAACTAGTCCAGCTGGCCGAAGACGCCGCCAAAACCCAGAGGGTTCAGGCCGCCGTCTGAGGGGTGGCTAGCGGGGCGACCCTAGGGGTCTCCCGTTCAGTCATTAACCCATGCTTGGGCAAATAAATATTGTTTACTACTACTACTACTAATTGATTTTTAATAATATTCAGACCTGTGTACATTGTGTCGCTACATGCAACCTAAAAAAAACAAAAACTGATGGAGTCCAGGCAAATAAAAGTTTGTTGGTGGAAGTCTTCGGAAATGGAAAGGGCTTATTGACACATGAGTTTTCAGTGTGTCTTGTGTCCTCACCTACTATGTTCAGTAATCGTCTAATCAAAAAAGAAAAGTGTGTTGTTCAGTGGTGAGATGACCCCAAACCTCGTGGATTTCATATCTTCGTCGTTTTTCCTGTCTGTTGACTGCAGGTTGCATGAGGCTTTGATGAAGATGCAACAGCAGCAGCAGAACTCGCTGAGGCAGTGGCTGACGGAAACCGAAGATCGGATCAGCAGGTTCGGCGAACCAGGCCCAGACTTGGAAACAGCACGGAGGCAGCTGGAGCAACATAAAGTGAGTGTGCATGCAGCTTCATGTTGCATACTGGTTTACATTTTCTCCTTTTGTTATGTTTTTGTATGCATTATGGGGGACATCTTATTTTAGATGGAAAGAAATATGCTTTTTGTGAGCTGCAATGTGCTACTGTGTGGCTTCTCTATACATATTTAGGTATACTATTCTGTGCATTGGTTTTGTGGTGCATTGTTTAGCAACTGGCAGAGTTAAATTTCTCGTGCACATATATATAAATCTTTAATGTGCTATTACGGGGGGGGGGGGGGGGGGGGACATAAACCTAAGTTTCAAAATTTTTTGAAAAAATTTAATTTTCAATTTTAAGGTTTCTGGTTTTAGAAATTAATTGTACACCCTTACACTAAATTTTATAATCATGCACCATATAGTTATGCTGATGTAAAATATTTTCAACAGATTGTGAGGCAGTAACAAAGTAAAAAAGTTCAATGTTTAAATTATTATGCAATTAAATGCAAAGGTGCAAGCGAGCTGGACAAGAATGACGAAAGTAATCCCTGGAGAAGGGGAACAAGAGGGACAAAGGACAAACATAAATCTCCAAACACAGCTAGGTGACTGGTGAGCGACCGAAAAAATCCGCCTGGTCCGGTTATTGAACCCGGGACCTCTCCATTACAAGTGGAGCGCTGTAACAACTGAGCTAACCAGGGGTTAGACGTCAGTAGAGCAAACGGGTTTTATCAGCTGCCACCAGTCGAACACCAACAAAGGTGAAGCTTGCAATTTGATGTTATAATTATGCAATTAAATGCAAAGGTGCAGGCGAGCTGGACAAGAATGACGAAAGTAATCCCTGGAGAAGGGGAACAAGAGGGACAAAGGACAAACATAAATCTCCAAACACAGCTAGGTGACTGGTGAGCGACCGAAAAAATCCGCCTGGTCCGGGTATCGAACCCGGGACCTCTCCATCACAAGTGGAGCGCTCTACCAACTGAGCTAACCAGGGGTTAGACGTCAGTAGAGCAAACGGGTTTTATCAGCTGCCACCAGTCGAACACCAAGAAGGGTGAAGCTTGCAATTTAATGTTATAATTATTATGCAATTAAATGCAAAGGTGCAAGCAAGCTGGACAAGAATGACGAAAGTAATCCCTGGAGAAGGGGAACAAGAGGGACAAGGGACAAACATAAATCTCCAAACACAGCTAGGTGACTGGTGAGCGACCGAAAAAATCCGCCTGGTCCGGCAAGCTTCACGCTTGTTGGTGTTCGACTGGTGGCAGCTGATAAAACCCGTTTGCTCTACTGACGTCTAACCCCTGGTTAGCTCAGTTGGTAGAGCGCTCCACTTGTAATGGAGAGGTCCCGGGTTCGATACCCGGACCAGGCGGATTTTTTCGGTCGCGCACCAGTCACCTAGCTGTGTTTGGAGATTTGTGTTTGTCCTTTGTCCCTCTTGTTCCCCTTCTCCAGGGATTATATTCATTATTCATCACGCTTTATATACCCCATCTCCAACGTCGTCTCTACAAAAAAAAAAAAAAAAAAAAAAAACATGACAAGACCCGGCGAACGTAGGTGAAAACATTACTGAACACGAAGAAAGGGTTTGACCTTCAAAGGTGCGTTCCCTCTAACAAATCACTCAGCCCAAAGAAACAATACTATACACTGCTATCAGCCGGAACTCGGGCCATCTCCAAAAACTCGATTTTAAGCACCCCTTTTGTTTCAAATCTGTGATGCTTCACGACGGGGGGGGGGGGGGGGTGGTGGTGGTGGTGGTGGTGGTGGTGGTGGTGGTGGTGGTGGTGGTGGTGGTGCTTAGGTCTGAAGGACACTAAATGCTACAAAATTTTAGCAAAGAAATATTACTTTATTTATATTTTAAATGAAATAAAAGGTAAAATAGAACACAGAAGATACAACAAATACGGGTGATTGTCACTCTACTTGCCGGCTCAGTTCACAGCACACCGTGCAGCATGTTTCCCTCAATCACTTTCACTCGACGACGAGTCCTTGGTGCATCCAACCAAGCTACTGCTACTTCAGTTCCTCTCCTTGTCTCTTAAGAGGTCGCCCTCAGATCCAGAAAACTGTTCGTTATACAACACTTCTTGAAAGACTTAACCACGACGCGCTCTTGAAAATCAGCTCCCGCTGCTTTCTTCATTGAATCACGCAGGACCTGTCCATGCGAAATTTTCAGCAGCGCTGTGATTTTTATTTTTATTCGCAAATGAGATCTCTGTTCTTCTGAACTTGAACGTATAAGAAGTTCTTTTAGCACTCATGTTGACACGAGACTGATCAAAGACCGATCAGAAGCCGCCGAAACGAAACAAAGATGGCTCACCGACGCCAATGCAGTCGATGCTCCTCGAGAAAAGAAGGAGAAAGAACAAGCCAACTCGCCTACTCGCTCGGCTCGCGTCTATGTGAGTGCGCGATTCATGTGTCGTCATCTATCCAGTGACGTTGAAACTTATTAATGCGAAAGCATGAACTGTCTCATGGAGCGAGCCGACGTCATCAGTTTCCCTGATCCCAAAGGTCCGGTTGGCTGGCGTGCGGCGACGAGGCTCCCATTGGCCGCTGCACGCGTCAGTTTCAATGACCACCGCCAGATGGTGCCGTGTGTCCGTGCCACCAGTGCGCCGATAAAACTAACCGCTGCAACCCCATGCCACTAGGGGCCCCACGCTGGTTAAAATGGACATGTTGGCGTGTGCTCGGAGGCTTCTGCTCATCTCGCCACCGACCAACATGCCACCACCTCCATTATCCACATCGTCGGCGGTGCTTCTGCTCGTCTCAACGCCCACGAGCATGGCGTTGCCTCTAGCATCCACATCGTCGGACATTCATGCTTTTGCGTTCACAACTCATAAGAAGTGCTTAGGTGTACCTTTAGCCTTTTTTTTTCCAATTCTAATTGTGGCGTTTAATGGAAAATTACTTTTTGCAACTGCCGTGCTGCATCACATGAGCCGCGGAGGTTTCGACAGGCACAGTCTTTTGTACTCCAAGTTACATTAGATAATAAAATTATTTTTGTTATTGTTTCGATTATTATTGTTGATCATTCTAAGAAATGAGTTCTGTTGTACTATCACTTGTTGTCATTTTAAGCCATCATGGGCCTGACATTTTATATATCAGCTCATCTTTCAAGAAACCCTTTCTGTTGCAGAAATTGCAAGACGACATTGAAAAAGAGCAACAAGTTGTCAACTCATTGTCGCACATGGTCGTTGTTGTCGACGAATCAAGTGCTGAAAATGGTACGTTGCCATGATGTTACCCTCCTCTTGTTCTTTCTGTCTGCAATCTTTTTGAGATGGTAGCTTGCAGGGGAGGGTTGGCTTCACATCTTAAAAGTATCGATAGCTGAGTCTTTCTGAGGTGTTTGCTTCTGTACTGTGCTTGCTCTACTTGCAAACTGGCAACCTATAAAGGACATAACAAAGGTTTTTGGTTGCACCTGAAATGGTTTCTGATTAATTTGTTTCTCGCTTACCGTCTTGTCAATTGGGACAGGATTCAGAAATTTGTCTCAGCGTTATCTTGTCTGGACGTCGTCTCAGCGGCCCAAAGCAGCTATTGATTGCAGTAATTTTTCCTTTTCCTGTTTTGCTATTTCTGTGACTAAACTCTGTCAACCTTGACTAAGCAGGTTATTTCTTGCAAAAAGATAACTTTTTTTTCTTAGATTAGTTAAAGGGCGGGGTCGTTTAATTGTTGGAAGTGTGCATAGTCGGAGGAGGAAAAGGAGTCTGAGTTTCCTAAGTGCTCTTTCTCGTGAAAAAAAATCACATATAAACAAAAAATGATGCCTATTTTATGCTTCAGAGTTACGAAGCACTTATGAACATTATATCATTAGCCAAAGTGATAAATAATAATCTTTTAGAATCTTTGAAGTTTTTTTGTTTTGTTCTTATCAAAAGTTTGATTCATGTGCTTTCGTAATTAACCTGTGGCGAATTCCCTCGAAAAACTGATTGAAGCAGTTTGCTAGAGGTATCTAATTGATCCATCAGACTTACGCTGCCATTATGGGTGTGTGTAATCCGTGGGGACATTACTTTTTTTTTCACCAGCTTTCACGGCCCTGGAAGACGAGCTGGCTGCCCTGGGGGAGCGCTGGTCCAAGGTGTGCCTTTGGGTAGAAAACTATGGTGCCAAGCTCCAGCGACTGCTGGGCACACTTCAGCTGCTGAGCACTGAGGAGCCCCGGCTTCAGCAGTGGCTGCTCATGCAAGAGGCCCAGCTGTGTAAGATGGAGAAGTCTGACATGACGAAGGCGAGCATGCAGGAAGTTCTGGACATGGTCAAGTGCCTGCAGGTTTGTAGGTTTCTTTTGCAACGGCTCATTCATTAATTTGATTGCCTTTGTTTAGAGCACTTTGAGGTGTGCCCTTTTGCAAGCAAAGACAGCTCATGTAAAAGAAACTTATCTTAATCCGACGGATAAGGTCGGTATACACAGAACGCGTTTGCACAGCATTTTTTGGGACATGTGGCAAACTTTGCAGTTATTTCTTTTTTTAAAAATGTTTTGGGTTATACGGATAGAAATTGAGGGAGAGTACATTCAAACCTGGGACTATATCGAACCTGTTTACATCGAAATATTCCTTATATCGAACAATTTCTGTACACAGTAATGTTACTGTGATAATATATAGCAAAAACTACAGTTACATCAAACAAAAATAGCAGCTGCTACCGATATATCAAACTGCCAAGAGCGCCGTTTAAAAAAAAAAATTGGCTTGCTCTTTATGTTTATACAGCCTTGATGGAGATGCGCCTCAATGGGTAATCGGTCTCTTAGCTGTAGATTGGAAATTTGGCCAGTGCGGTACAACTGCTAACCTGGGGTTTTTAACATGCATCACGCAGTAGTGATCACACGAACGCGTGCCGGTACGAAACTCATCCAGATCGAAACGGGCGGGGGCGGCGGGGATCGAACCCAGGAGGTTCCCAGCGCAAGCTTTCGCTCCACGCTCCGAGCTGAGACGCGTTAGCCCACTCGGCCACTTCTTCCCCGAGCGCCGTTTTGCTCTGCAAGATGGCTCTTCCCCCAACATAAGTGGTCGCATTGGGGGAAAGCCAACTTGCAGAGCACTCCAGCTTTTTTTTTTTTTCCGAGTGGCCGCGTCAACCGTTTGGAAGAAGAAGAAAAAAAAAAAAAACTTTTTTGCGGAGGGAGCGGGGAGAGGGTGCTCCATGCTCCCTCTGCCCGCTTCGTTCGCAAAAGAGAATAGGAAGTTTTCGTAGATCGTTTTTGCCGTCCCGCAACGCCCTCCGCAACCCACTACGATACCCGGAACTCTACAGTCAAGGCTATCGGCGCGCAGGCGCAATAGCAACTTCGTTGTGGAGGGCTTAGCGGAGGGGGAAACACGGTCTACGAAAACTCTGTAATATTATTTTTTCTTCCGGGCGGTTGACACGGCCACCCGGAAGAAAAAAAGCCAGCTTGCTCTGCTAGCTGGCTTTCTCCCAGTGCAGTCGTTTGCCATAGGGGAAAGCCAACTTGCAGAGCAAAATGGCTCTTTGCAGGAGAAGGTGCTCCTGCTCGGATGTGCTCCGTGCTCTCGGCATAGTTCGGCGCTAATGCGCGAATATAGAAGGAATCGGCCTTCCATTGTGGCTTGTCTTGCTGGGGTCGAGCGGCACCACTGGCATCTATTGCTCGACACCAGCTAATTCATGGGACTCTGGGAAAACGGGCAAAACTGCATTTTGGAGTCCGTCGGTAGCATAGAAAAATATTGTTATTGCGGATGCAATGAAGAAAAAGCAGCAGAAGATGCAAGACTATTTCATTGCGTAATATGTCAGCAGCAAGTGGACTTTTGAGTCAAATTTATTAAGTTTTATATAGAATTACCTGCTATATCGAACTGGTAGACATTTTTTTGCAAGTTCGATATAAACGGGTTTGACTGTAGAGGAAAATGCAGGGGAACATCGGAGCACCAAGTTTTGATTGGAATGATTAGTGAGTAGAAATAAAGATAGCTGCCTTTGTCTCTGCTCAATGTTCGAATGCGATTCATGCCGAACGCGGAGTTTCTACGCTTGCGTTTGACACTGCCCCCTTTGGCACAACAGTAAAGAAGAAAAAAAAAAATGCCGCCTTTGGCACAGTGGTGGTGTGCTGGGCAATGAATTAATGAACTGTCGGGTCGGGGGTTTGATTCCCATCGAGGTGCATTCAGAATTCTGTTCTTTCTTCTCAATTCATTACTATTTATTCTCAGTTATCTGTGTCTTTTGTACAGATCGCCCACTGCGGTATGTGTAATTTGTTTCTTAAATGTGTTCGTGCCGTTCTATCACGCTTTCCTTAGGCATCCCAGCCCTTAAAAACATTCTGTGTTAAAGAAACTGATCCTTGTTGCATTGCTTGCAAACGTGAAACGTTCATTCCGGGCACCAGCTGGCCAAAGGGAAAAGATCAATTTGCTGTCCCTCCAACTTTGCAGGTCATGGAGCAAGACCTGGAATCGCACAACAAGCGGCTGGACCACTTGTCTGACGAAGTCCAGGGCACCATACAAAAGCTGGACAAGGGCTCCCTGACTGCTACCGAGCTTTCTCGGAAGCAAGAGCAACTCACCCACCGCTGGGACGCCCTGCTGCAGAAGATGGAGAACATGAGCAAGAAGGTGCGTTGGCATTTTGGCAAGAAATTAACGCTTAGGGGATTCTCTACTATACTCAGTTTCACCTTACAATTGGCCGCAGCAGATGTTGTGAGCCATTCAAGCCAATCTGACGCTGTGTGAGTGTCATGTGACCTTACGGAGGGGTGCAGCAATGTACAAGGTGCACGTGATTGGCTGACGGCGCCAAATTGGCCAGGATGGCTCGTGGTATAATCCATTGTAAGGTGAAACGAAGTACAAATATTCATACATACCTGCATTTTGACTGAAACACAACCTGTAAGGATCCTAAAATGTTTACGGCCCAATATTGGGTCTTTATTTTACACGAAAACTGCTGCGATGTTGGGCGGCTGAACTTCTGGCTCTCTGGTTTTTGACCATTTCTGCCTGTATGTACCGTAAAATACCGGACAAGTGCCCACCCAACTTCCGCTGAAAACTGGGTTAATCTTGACGTGGACGCTTGTTCGGCCAAATCGGGCACTTAAGAGGGCGCGGTACCTCTATTTATTCGTCCGTTTCAGCCACCAGATGGCGCGCGGCTCGAAACGTGGTTGAACGCGCAACTTCTAGATGGCGCCAGTATCGAGGTGTGAAAAGGCCCGCGTTATCCGCTGCGTGAAATAGATCCCGAAATGTGCCGTGTTCTCCCGGCGGAGGAAGTTTCTCCTTCCCCCGCGCGCGCTTGGTATGTACGCGCGTCGCGCGGTGGCCGAGTCCGGCCTCTGCGCTGTGTGATGCAGTGGGTGGCGCTCGTTTCTGTTCGGAGGTAGGAATAAAAATGCCGGTCCCCTTTTTTACAACGCTCGTTTCTATTGCTTGTTTTTCTTTTTTTATCTCAAGTGACCTACAGTACCGCCTGTTCGAAATCGTCCTTTGCGGTGAGCGATTAAGAGTCAGGTTAGCATTTTATTTGGGTCAGCACTACACGTTCAATGGAGACCTCGGGCGGCGATGTAAATATGCATTGCTCCCCAAAGTGTGTCCAAGGTGCGCAATGACAATTGGAAAGAGTATTGAAGGCGCGCGACCGTCGGTTGGTAAAATACGTGCGTTAGATTCACTTATTCAGTCTAATCATTTTTGCCAACGTCTTTTATCCGTTTCGACAAATGACATGGTCGTGTCTATTGATAACCTTAGCTAGATTGGACGTACAGAGTGTCTGGGCTTTAAATAAATTTGCTTCGTTTATGTGAATGAATAACTGTTTTCTCTTTTCCGTGCTCGGTGCTATGCAAAAATCGCTGACATGTTATGGTAGCTCAGTGTGGTGGCGTTTTGCACGCTGACTCGCTATTGCATTCACTGTGCACAATATGTGTTCAGATGGAATGTGCTAAATCGTATTTCCGATCGATATGATAGATTTACTTTGCTACAGTGTTAATTATATTTTCCCGATTTAAACTGGTTCGTCCCTGATCTGAGCCTAAGTTCAAATTCGAAGGGCAGACAGACTTAGCGTCGCAACAGCCGTAATGCCGCCCACAAAGAAATTAGTAGCATGAAAGAAAAACAAAAGGATACGAGGTGGCTCAGTGTTATAGAAGTAATCAGTGTGCAAAGAATGCCATCGTACGTGTTTTTTTTTTTTTTTTTTTAACTCTCCGCATTGCTGGTAAACGCTCAAGGTACCAGCAAAGACAGCGAGCTGGCGTGAAATTTCCATCGAGCGGAAAACGAGTGTCATTTTTATTTTATCATGCGCTTTCATTTTGATATGGCTCAAAATGGGCGCGAAATAGTAACAGGTAAGGCAACAAAATTTAGATGTTAGGTCTGGAGAACCGCCATACTCAGCCGTGTTGGGGGCATCTCTCGCGAGTCAATACGGCAAAGGTATTGCGCGTCGAACTGTACGTGAGAGTTATCCATTTCAGCGAAACCTTGATTTCGCAAAACTATTGTGGCTCGAGTCGTGGCTTCCAGTACTTGGAAGCCACGAGCGAGAAATAAATGACAGTTGATTTTGAAGGACAATCGCGACGTGGAAACCCATAAAAGAGAGTTCCAATAAGACGAGAGCTTCCCCTTCTCTTCAAGTGCGTGGGTTACGCTCTCAATCCTGCACCTGTGGTAACACTGCAGGCTCCTAAAATCGCTTTGAAAACGTTCCTCATCGCAACAACTTTTTTTTTTTTTTTTTTTTTTTTTTTTGTCGAGGCGCTATTTTTTTATTTTTTATTTTTGTCTACCTTGATACCTCATGAACGCAAAAACTACCATAAACTAAAAAAATATAGTGGGCATACAACGACAACGCACCCACTGGGACCCGATTCAAGGCAAGAACAACTAACTACTAAAAGGGGAAAAAAATCATGTTCGCATACACAGACAGAACGCCTCCATCGAAAGAAATGAATCATGCGCTTGTTCTGCCAGTCTCGTTGTGCGTCTGTCAAAAGCCACAAAGAAGGAAGACAATCAGCGCCTACACCACTCCCCTCCCCTCCCCCCCCCCCCCCCCCCCCCCCCGCCCCACCACCACCCCTAAAAAGAAAAAAAAAAAAGGTTTCTTGGGCGCGCGCGCGGTCGCCCAAGCGATGACCTTGGAAGGGTATGCGATTGTAGCACGTTTGTCCCCCGGTTGTGCCCCTGTCTCAAATGCCACGGTCCGTTTCTCCCAAGTGCCCGTCTTATCTTCCCGAGTATCAACTCCGCAGTGATTCTGAATCATTCCGATGCTTTCCAACGTTGCAAAACTGTTAGACGAATATTTGCACAGAAGTATACACTGTTCGCAGAACTATCTAAGGCGCTAAAATTCAAAAGCGCCGTGTTGGATTCGGGAACTCGTGTAGGTTTAGCTCATTGTTGGAACATTCTTATTCGCTCGATGAACTCCACAAAACGTGTAAATATTGGAATGAACTTTCCAGAGGACGATAGTTGTTGTCGGGGTTCCAGGCGACCGGACAGGTCACAATTATTGGCTGATTAAAAATTTTATTTCATAATCACAATCGTATCATCAAGGGCACGCCATTTCCTCATCACTTCTTCTACGAAAAGAGTTGCTGTATTCGTAGCACACACAGACGGAAACGGTTGAGACTGTGCTCAAATAATATCTTCTTTTGGCAGGTACTGCGCAGCGATTACACACAATGCCTCTAACATAAACATGCTGCTCCACATGTCTATTCACAAGATGCAATACATCGTTCTACCAACTTTGTCGAAATGGGCATGAAAGCGCGTAACCGTCACTTTTTTGAAGTTCTACTTAGAGGTGAAGTGTTTACCGTAAAAAGTCGTTAATTATTTATTTTTTTCCGTTCCACTACAAAGCTCTATTCACTTAAATTTTTGTTTTTATATCGTCTCTACAGCGCTTTTACGTCGGTACTTTCGTGTTAAAGGACATCACATAATGTGCGAAAAAAAAAAAACGGTAGGATCGATGCTGCATAGCCTTTTTTTTTTGTGGACATCAAGAAAAAAAAAAAAAAGATAGTAGTTGTCTTCACTTTGCACTGCATGTTTTAGCACGGAAGTTCCTATTTGGTTATAATGTCTTTACTTTCTTAAAAATTGTATACAGTAATTTAAATTACCGAATTACAAAAACATCGAAATTGTATAATTGCTTTTCGTTGGGACGCCATGACGACAACGACACTCGTGTTCCCTCGTGGTTTTCGCCAGCGTTTCTACGATGAATTGCCAGGATCGCGAGATGCAACAGCGTGACACTCCGTCTTCTGTGACGTCATTTGTTGCACTTCGGGACCACTTTTGATGTATGGCCAGCATAAGACGCTAAACACACCAGTCGGAGACGCATTGCAGGTGCCATAGTACAGCTCCTAAAAGTAGCTGTCACGTGCTTTGCTCCGCGACTGTGATTCCCTCACAGCAGCTCTGACTGAGGGTTGCCAAATTACGGTCAAACGGAGTATAGACAAAACAGACCGGAAACGAGCTGCCAGCATACGATAGTCAAACTCCAACAAAAAGGATTAGTTTCTTCCCAAGCTGGACGACATTTACCGGGCATCTTTAGAGCTGCGAAGCTCAAAATCACGCGTACTCATAATATTTTTTTTTCTCGCGTGTTTGTGATTTTTATGATGTCCTGCAAGCAAGAAAAAAATATATATGGTGAAGTCATTCCGAGGGGGTACCGATAACTGCGAGCCACGAACATGAAGGATTCGCTAACATCCGTCAGGAGTGTGAACGGTACGTCACGCAAACATATTCTCACAAGCTGCAAATATTTATTTGGCTTAGCAAGTAGAATACTAGTATACTAACGACATGTGATTATTGTACACAAGATACCATTTCTCGGTTCTTCAAAACCATTTCCCTAGTCTGAACGGTCGCGCTACGGGCCGCGGCTAGCCGTGCCCTCGATAGACTACGGAGCTGCGTTGTGTCGTCTGCTACTGTACCGCCAACAGGAGAGCGATAGCTCTGTGTGCTCCACAGATGCGTGTTGCGGTATAACTCTGTACGTCTGTCCTAGAGGAAGACAAAAAGATAGGCTCTGCGACCCCCTCCTAAGCTAACAAAAACAAACAGAAGTATACTCGTTTGGACTGAAAGGTTTACAAAATAGTGACCAGGCATTGGAAAAGCATATGTCACAGAACTTGGTTTATGAAATGGCATCATTGTTTCGAGCAAGAAATCACCTGCTCACCACTGGGACGATGAAATCGTCACTATTTATTGCGTCAGGTATATTTGCGCTCATGAAGAAAAATCTGAACACATCCTTCTCCCAAAGTCCTGTGTGGAATAATAAACACTTTTTTAAACATCTATGCACAAATAACTCATTTTTTTCTACACTTGTATATACACGTTAATTAAACAACGCAAACCGCATTTTTGATTAGATCTTGATGTCTACACCAACTACATTCATATTTTTTAGGGCTTTATTGAACGATAACTTCAACTATAGTTAATGGAACACGATGGCTCGATCTCAACAAAAACCTCAACGTGCGAAGCTTCCACAGACGGTCGCTTGCGAGTATTCTCAATGTGAGACTTCAGAAGCTTTCGCTTGCCATAGGGAGCTTGCTTTCGACTACAGCACTGCACGGGCCCGGAAAGCGCGGAGCGCGCTGCTGTGGGGAGAGGTTGACTTACAAGATGACGTGTTACGTGGTCACGTAAGATGGCGTCATTTCGTGCAGCGTGGTCACGTAAGATCACGTCATTTCGTGTAACGAGATCATGTAAGATGACGTGTTTGTGTCACGTGATCACGTAAGATGACGTCAGTTCGTATGAACTGACGTCACCTTACGACAACGCCAACAACATTAGTGCCGTCCGGAACCATTGACCTTAGAAACGCGCCTCTTCGCTTGAAGAGCTGATATGCGTTGATTGTTTTTTGTTTCTTTTGCCTACTACAGACCATTCAAAAACTCGCCTTCTGGGTGCCACCAAATTCGTCTACTGGGCTGTAAAGCGCGTTCGAGCGTGCGCAATACCTCTCTAGGCCGAAAGATTGTACACTGAGTACCGTATTTACTCGCACAATGAACGCACTCGCGTAATGAACGCACCCCCCAAGTCGGCTCTCAAAATTTCGACTTTTTTTTTCACTCGCGTAATAAACGCACCCCCAACTCGGATGTAAAAATGTTGACCCCCTCCCCCCACACGCGTGAAATTAACGCACTTTTCTTTCCTGGTACAGCGAGGTCGCGAATGCATGGGCAGCGTGGGCGAACAAAACGCCTTGCAAAAGGCGTTAAAAAAATTTGAAAAGATCCAACGGAAGCAAGTAAAAAGGACATGGAGAAGAGCTTTTATTTTGCACAGCGCAGTCTGGACTTTGGTTTCGCGCGCCGCCGCGCGCAAGGAGGTAAGAAAGAGAAGCGCTCTAAGCCAGCGAAACAGCTTGCGAAAGGCGGCAAAAGGAAGAAAAAAAAATAAATATCCACGGAACTGAAGAGAAAAACCAAAAAGAGCTTATTTTTCTTTTTTTTGCACAGCCCAGTTTGGATACAGGGGGTTGCGCGCCGCGCGCAAGGAGGTAAGAAAGAGGAGCGGAGAAGCCCTCTGAGCAAACGAAACAGCTTGCCAAACGCGGCAAAAAAAAAAAAAAAAGAAACCCACAGAACTGAGAAAAAAAAGAAAGAGGAGCTTTTCTTTCTTTTTTGCACAGCGCAGTTTGGTTAGGGGGGGGGGGGGGGTCGTGCGTTCGTGCATCGCGCGCCGCGCGCAAGGAGATAGATAGATAAGCGGAGAGCCCTCGCCTAAGCAAACAAAACAGCTTGGGAAAGACGGCAAAAAGAAAAAAAAAACCCAAAAAACAGAAAAAAAATTTTTTTTTTTTTTTTTGCACAGCTTAGTTTGGTTACGGGGTCGGGCGCAGCGCGCAGAGAGATAAGAAGTTACTTCGATTTTTCGGGAAAAAAGGTCCGTTCATTACGCGAGGAAATACAGACGCAAAAATTTTACTTCGCGTAATGAACGCCCCCCCTAACTTTGCATCGATTTTTCGGGAAAAAAAGTGCGTTCATTCTGCGAGTAAATACGGTATGCGTTCACAGCTCAATGACTTAGGCATTTTTCTTCAGGATAAATGCTCCCACGAGAAGAGCGTAATGGATATGTGAATAGAATTGGAAATTTAAAATGTTCTTGTCCAATCGCATTTTTCTTTGGTTATCAACGCTTTTTAGCGTCATCACAAGACGTTCAACCCATAATACACTGGTGATTAAAAAATAAGCACCGAAAAACATGCACCGATTTTCGCTAAAAAATAAACACCGGAAAAAACATACCGTAATCATTGCCCATGTCACCTTTTTGGGTGATATGTGAATTTCCAGAAGAACAGCGAGTTATCACCCTCTCTTAGGAATACCCTGACTACAGAGCAGGCGACCCGTTTTTCCCCGCGTTAGATTGCGGTGACCACGAACCGTACGGAGTTCGCAGGACGTCCGTGAAAAATAAAAAGGAGGCAAACAACGATCTACTCTGTGCACGCTTCATCCCCGATTTCCACGACCCCAAGGCCGAAGGACGTTTGTGTGAAGGATAACGATAAAATAAAACTTTGCGTTTAAAAAAGCCCGTTTTTAAAAGAAAAAAAAAAGTAGAAACAAGCACAACGCGTTGACGGACCGCGAGGTTGTGGAACACCTCGCGGTCCGCTTGCCACAGGACGGTTGTCTTCGACCCATAGCTCCAAGGTGAATTTGCCACTTGCGAAAACACGGAGACCTACCCAGCGAGAACCAGGAAGGCAAGACACGCACACTGACGCCTCGGCGTGCAGAATGAAACAGGATACGGGCGCGGAATACGGCCGCGGAAGAACACCTCGCACAGTGCCGATCCGGCCGATCTCCGAACGGACGATTTCGCATTTCGTGGACAGCGAGCGCCACCGCACGGGAGAGAGAGGTACCTTAAAAACGACGAAAACAAGCACCGACACCTTGGTTCTTTATATTTGCTGTAGTTACGGAACAAATCGACTAACATGAATAATTTGAATATTATTCGATTCCGTAATAAATTTAGAAGACACTAAGCGCAATACCTCTTAAGTTTGAATTTATATAATTTTGTAAATTCGCTCCGAACGCAAGAGTGCCGAATTAGCCAATTTCGACCATTTTCATGATTTTTAAAGAATATAATTAAATTTATGATGAAACATTTGTTGCGCTTAGTGTCTCGATAATGACTCAATGTCTTTAAAGCCGAAATTTTCAAGAAGATCCGCGCAGCCTTTATTATGTGAGAATTTTTTTAATTTGGTGAAAAACCTCATGTATTCTCTATGGGGCTCTGAGGTGCGCCCCCTCTTAACATATAATTTGCAGAATTCCCAATTTTGGAAAATGTTAATTGTGGGCGCTTGAACGAAGTGGGCATTTCCACAGTATTTTACGGTAATACTTTTCTCAACTTTGGAAGTTATTTTTCTTTCGTCCATGGCCCTGCTTTGGTTCTTTCGTTAGAAGTGGGCTCCTATTTCATTGGAGACATACTTGTAGAAGCATGAAACATACATTTGTTCCTTTATTCAGTATTTGCTGTTCCTGAGTTCGTGATAAATGGGTGTGACTGTATCATAATTTTTTAGATTTTAGGAACGGCCTGCTGCTATATTTCTTTTCCACGAGCTTGAAGGATCATGACCTCTGCTGGAAGTCAAGGCCAGGGGTTTTCAAACTTTTATAATCCGTTTGCTACTTTAATTAAAAGATCCCCTCTAAGAAAGGTAGGAGTACCTAGCTCTCTTTATCAAATTGATGTATCAATGCATGACTCGGCTATTACGCTCAAATTAGAAAACAGATTTTACTGGGGCCCGGGTCATTCAAGAGTAAAGTTGCCGAATTTCCTAAACGGTCCTTACTTCTTATTTCTAGTTTAAAAATCGACTAGGCATAGCTGAGCTGTGTGTTGAAAGTCTACCATGAACTAGCCACTCCTTCACCTTTCTTTAATAGTGTATTGACAGAGTTTGGAAGGCTTGTTGCAAAAAGGCTGTTTTTCAGAAGTGAAAATTTTCTCTAACCCAAAAGACTTGGGGATCTTTGATGTAGGCTTACGAATGATTGTGGGGTTTTAGTAAAGTATGTGCGCTCTCTATTTCAGTTGGACAAATACAGTGGAGAGCAGAAAGTTCAAGCTGAAGCTGAAGAAAAAGCATTCACTTACAGCCAGTTCAAGAAGGAGCCACATGTGAGCTCTTCTAAGTCGTCCCTCGGAAGAGAGGTCAGTCTTGTTTTTTAGCACTATTTTACTCTTGTTTTCTAGCACTATTTTACTCGGATCGAAAATCAGCCTTGGTATTTCTTTTTCTTTCTCTCCTTTTTTATTTTTTCCTTCATTTTATTTGCTTAAATCATCCGATAAGTCAGTCAATAAATACCTTTTCCGCAGAGAACATTACAAAGCGGAGCGAGCAAAAAAAAAAAAAGAATTCACATGACTAGAGTAAAAAAGGAACAGAGAAGTTATGTTGAAAACTAAGTACCATAGGCATAATATTAGCAAATAATGGGTAGTATAGAACTTAAACAAGATGTGGCAAGCTGGTTTTACTTAGTACCTGTTGTGTGAATGAACCTTGGCTATACTTAGCAAACTTTCTTAAGTGACTTGGTATTGAAAACTCCTTTCATCTACCAGTTTCTAAATTATCAAATGTTGTCAGACTACTTGTACATGTAGTGAGCAAAGAACAAATCATCCTTATTGGAACTCATGCAATGCTGAACACATCATTCATACTTCTTGTAGGGCCTGCATGAGTACTAATACTGCGTAAGCTTGAAAATTAAGTAGCCCTCTGTGCCACATAGAAATGAAAAAAGCTCTACTTTTCAACAAGAGGCATCTCATATATGCTCTAGCACCTTTTTATAGAGTCATGCAAGACACTGGCTTACTATCTCTTCTGTTAGCACACATTGTGCTTTGCCTTTCAAGTTGCATCATTTTGGATTAGTGTCGTGATGTAGGCGAGTTGGGTTCATGGTAACGGAAATAAACAGTGCGCAAAAAATACACAAGGATGAAAGGAAGGTGCGAACGACACAAGCACACAAGTGCATCATTTTGTTTCTTTGTCCTTCTCTATAGTTGCAGTAAAGTAGTGAAAAAATCCACCAACGTTCTAAACAGTAATGTACATACAGGGTGTGTGGCATATACCGTATACGGTTATGTGTCAGTGGACGTATTAGATCTTCTAAATGACATTGCTTATACTGGAGGGACACTTCACCTGGGGGTCCCTTGACCATACTCTGAGGAAACCAGTCTGAGAACCTAGCACCTAGGGCAATGATTTTCAGCCACTGATCTTTCGGGGACCCCTTTAAAGTTGGCAGAAGTGATGGGGTACCCCACCCCTGCCACCAAGGGTTAAGGGGATACAGTCGAACCTCGATATAACGAACTTCAATGTAACGAAATCCTCGATTTAACGAAGTATTTTATTTTTCATAATTTCTTGCCCATAGACCCCATGTATTTTTAGTCCCTATATAACGAAGTCTGTTTTGCTGCTATTTCAATATAACGAAGCGCCATTGCCATAGAAGGCAATAAATAAATCAACTCTAAAAAACAACTTCGCAAAAAAATTGTGGTTAAAAAAAAAAAAAAATTATGCGCAAACGCGAGCGCTTGATAGGTTACTTCACGGGGACAGGCCTTCCAACGTTCCTAGGCTGCCCGAGGATGCGGCGCCGGTAGCGCCGGCGAGGCATACGGCAAAGCGGATTCCGCGAGGCTGGCCAGAAAATGCCGAGCAAAAAGTTAACACGGCATAACAGCATCACCACTGACATTCCCTGATCATCATAGTCCACTGTACCGCGGGTAGCGCGGGAGCCAACTTCAGCGGGGGAGCGACGTGATGGCGCGACCGCGCGACCGCACGGGCAGTGCCGTCTAGGAGAAGACCGAAAAGACCGATTATCGTCTTGCCAGTCTTGCGAGCGTGATGTAAAGCAAAGGCGCAAGCACACTGTGGGCGCAAGGGGGCAAGTAAACTGTGCGGTCAAGAGTGCTGTGTAGGTTGGAAACATTGGCACCGCCTAAACTAAACAGCTTTATTTTTTAACCGGGCGGTTCACTTACGTGCTTGCTGCCATAAGGAAACGTAAAGTTCTTTCTTTGGATGAGAAAGCAAACGTTTTGGACGCCATCCTGAAGAAACTGCCGAGATCACGAGCACTCGTGAAGTGCTCGACGCAATGGACGTACTGAGGAGGTACACGGCGTCGCATGGGCAGCAAGATGCCGTGCAAACGCTCTGGGCGCTCGAACGCCGTATGACGCCGCCGACGCCGCTGCTACTGTCGGACAAGGCGCAAGCAAAACTCGCGGACTACTTTGCCCCTAAATAAATGTCATTTTTGGTGAGTTTTCATACCCGTAAAATGTTTCGGAATTTTTTTTTTTTCGCATGCTAAAGCCAAATTTCGATTTAGCGAAATTTCAATGTAACGAAGTAAATTGCGAATTTTACCGACTTCGTTACATCGAGGTTCAACTGTATTGAACAATTGCAATGACAAAAGGGTGAAGAAAACTAAATGCATACAAACCAACCTTGAAGCTCTGAAACTGAGAGTTCCCTTGTCACTCAGTGGACATGGTTTGAGCTATTTGGCATTGTGGAACAGCCAGCATAAATAAAATGTCAGTTTCATTGCTTAGCTTAACAGACGATCGAGGGCTTCGGGAACCCAAGAAGGTCTTCAGGGACCCCAAGGAGGCCTTCAGGAAACCTGAGAAGGCCTTCAGGGACCCCCAATTGAGAACTACTGACCTAGAGCACATGGGTTCTCAAATTGGGTTTTTAGGAACCCAGGTGCTCCCTAGGGTACCCTCATGGGTTCCCCAAGCTCAAAAATTTTCTCGCCTGCCCCTCCCATAAGTATGCATTTTTCCAGTTATCTTAGCAGATCTGAGCCACCCATTGATGCATATCTATAAGACAACCACTCTCTAGTATATGCGTTACTGTTTACAAGGTATATAGTTCGTTGCAAGTTCGTCTGCTCTTTGTGCACCTCGTGCATTAGTTTACCCCTCCCCCCCCCGAATGCGCCACATACACTTGTTTCCCCCCAACCTCAGCTAATGACGGCGCGTGCTTCGCTGCCTTGTCATTGCGCGTTTCCTACGCATTCTTTATGTGTATCTCTGATTGAAGTGCTCCTACTTGCGTTCCAATACATGAAAGACACATATTGGAACACTTGCTTGCTGTATAGTAGGCTTTCATACTGCTTTACTGCATCAGTACTGAGGCTGGGAGAGCTTTTTGGCTGCCAATCACGGCAGATAGGAGTTTCTTGAGATGAAAAAAAATTATGAGCCATTCCACTCTGTGAAGGTGGATGACCAGCGAAGCTGTTTAGCGTACAACACAGACCCGCCCTGAGCCAGAGGAAACGAGACACACACGACGGGACCGCTGCTTGGTGGAAAGTACACATGCGCGATAGGACTGCCACCTCGAGAGAGTGGGAGGAAAGAAAGCTAGGCATGCAAGTGCTTGGAACGACGACAAAGAGAGGGCGGTGCAAGCGTAGACATGGCCGACGTGAGTTGCGCAGCGGCAAATCTTTGAGAAACCTTTATTATCTACCTGAGAGTCTACTGATCTTGAAAATGGTGCCTATTGATAACTAATCTACTGAACAAACCTATTTGCTAAATTAACTGAGCATCAAGGAGAATGCAGGAAATGGTGGTCCACGTGCCGCACTTGCCGGCGTCTGCAGCAGTAACAGTTCTAAATCGAAAGCCTAAAACAAATTGCATCTTGCACGTGGGTTCGTCAACGCTTTACTTTGGTTATTTACTTTGAATATCTTATACAAGGAAGGTGTGCGCGTGCGGCGCCGGGGTCTGCAGCAGTAACTGTTCTAAAGCAAAAGCCTAAAACAAATGGCATCTTGCCCGTGCGTTCGTCGACGCTTTATTTTGGTTATTTATTTCAAATATTTATATGAAAAAAATGTGTGTGCATGCGGCTGTGTGAGTCTAGGGTTTTTAGTTACTGCACACGAAAAATCCACGGAACCCTAGCCATAAACAGCTTTGCTGTAAAACAGACAACTGCACAAAGTGTGCTGCAATTGCCAACGGTAGCTGCAGCATTGGGGAAGGCATGTTGAGGGAGATTTGCTTTCAGCCAGTGTGCTGTACAGTGTTTGCATTGGGTTTTTTTGCAATGGGAGATGCGTGCTTCGGTTGAACGGTTGTGCAAGATCTTGCATGTGTTGGAAGAAGGACACGGGGACGTGCTTTCTTTTTGGCTGATATGCTCTTTCAGAACGGGGGTGTTCGCAACCGCGTCCATGGTGGAAGAAGCAAAAGTAACGTACGCGGGCTGTTTTGTAGAGGCACGGAGAGCACAGGAGAATGGAACCTGGGCAGCGGCAGTGGGGAGGCAAGGGAGCGTGTACGCACAGCACGACCTCGTGGGTTTTTCGCCACAGTGGCTGCCAGAGGGGAGGGGTGGGTGGGAGGGTGGGGGTGGGAAGGGACATTGTTGCCTGGGGGTGTGCGGATGGGGCAGGGACGATGGGGAGGTGAACAGCACTCTCCTCACGATCATGTGGGTTTTCGGAACAGTGGTGGCCTACAAGGGGATAAAGCAAGAGAAAGCCTTGCTGCGGTTTGCGTGCAGTTTTGGGTAAAGTACTACATCTAAAAAGTGCTTGAAGTAAAGTACAAGGTAAATGAGAGGTTATATACTTCAAGTAAAGTGATAAGTACACTGAGTACAGTGTACTTGAAGTAAAGTACTAAAACTACAACATACTTTTAAAGTAAATACATGTACTTTTTAACACAATCTTTCATGATGCCTTTCATTCCCCTATACATTGTCTTTTTTTAAAACAGGTATGCAGTGCCCTAGGGGTAATCGGGGTGCACCAGTTATTTTCAGAAATGGCAGCGAATAGCAAAGTCAAATGGCTTCAGAGTTGACAAAGCACTATTTCGTAATACAAATTTGACGAGACAAAATTTGGGAAATGTACTTTAAAATCGTGAGTTGTACTTTCCTCGGAAAGTACCAAAAAAAAAAAAAAACTTTAGGTAGAATACAAGTGCATACCAAGAGAATCTACTTCAAGTAAAGTACCAGCATTCTAAACCTCCCTGAAGTAGTACTGTACAATGTACCTAAAGTACTTCCCAATGGTGTTTGCGTGTGTGTGTGTGAGGAGCAACGGGCAGGGTGAGAGCAGTGCCTCTGCTGTAGTATGGGGTTTTGCGTCTGTACACAAGCATTTTTACAGCGAAGCTGTTTATGGCTAGGGTTCCGTGGATTTTTCATGTGCATCAGCAAAAACCCTACGCTCGCACTGCCGCACGTGCCGCACGCGTACGGCTTCCTGTATAAAAGATTTGAAGTAAATAACCAAAATAAAACATTGGTGAATGCGCATGCAAGATGCCATTAGTTTTAGGCTTTTGCTTCAGAACAGTTGCTGCTGCAGGCGCCGGCGCCGTGCACACGCGCCTTCCCCGTATAAAAGATTCAAAGTAAATAACCAAAATAAAGTGTTGACGAATGCGTGTGCAAGATGCTGTTTGTTTTAGGCTTTTGCTTTAGAACAGTTACTGCTGCAAACGCCGGCACGTGCGGCACGTGGAGCATCATTGCCTGCTTTTTCCTTGATGCTTGGGTAATTTAGCAATAGGTCTATTCAGTCGATTAGTTATCAATAGGCACCATTTCAAGATTAGTAGACTCTCAGGTAGATAATGAAGGTTCCTCAAAGATTTGCCGCTGTGCGACCCGCGTCGGCCATATCTACGCTCGCACCACCCTCTGTTTGTCAAGCGCTGCGTGCCTAGTTTCCTTTCTTTCCACTCTCCTGGGGTGGCAATCCTGTCGCGCGTGTCTAGTTTCCTCCGGTTCCTTGGGGCGGCGATAGTCGTCCATGCAAAATAGTGACCACCGATCAAGACAACAATTAATGTGTGTGTGTACCGTACCTTTCATCACGATGACCACCGATCAAGATAATAAATGTGTTTGCACCTTTGTTCAAAGTTCTGTGTTACGCCTGTGTTGTATGCTAAACAGCTTCGCTAATCATCTGCTTTCACTGAGTGGAATGACTCCTGATATTTTTGCTGGGGAAGGGCACTAACAGCTACCGCCGTAAATGTTTGAGAACCTCTGATGTAGAAGACAAACAAACCCTCACATTTATGGGGGCTGCTCGCAGCCCGTGTCTGAGTTTGGGGCGAAGAAGCGGCGCCTGGACAGCTGGAAGGTGAAGGAGTGGCAGCGGGCACTGGAGAATGTCACCGCCTGGCTGGAGAAGGTGGAAAACTCCCTGGGCATCGACCCTGAGCAGCCTCCGACCCAGGAGCAGCTCCAGAGCCTCTGGGAAGGGATGACTCAGGGGGAGCTCCAGGTCCTCACTGAGGTCAGCCTCCTGGCACTGGCTCTCAGAACGGTGCCGCATTTGCTGGTTCCCTTACCTCTTGAAAGTCTGCTTGGGACCGCCTAATTGATGTTTTCGCCACCACGGGCTCGGCGTTGGGCTTCGGAACGCATTTGCGGTTGTTGGTGGCTCTTACACAACGCATGTTGTGTAAGAGCCAGCTAGGACGTGTGGTCGGGCTGACTTCTTAGTCCTTTTCTATCACCAGTATTTCCACTAGGGGTCAGTGTTAGATTAATCTTTTCATACAGTAGACTCGGTAATTAAATGTTACTATGTTTAAAGCCTTGGCCCATAGTCTTGGAAGTTTTATGTGGAGTGCCGTGGTAAAGATTGCTCAGTAATTCGAAAGGTTGCAGCTCTGGCCTCGGTAAACCTTGAGGTATTTTGGTATGTCTCGGTGACCAGGGATCTCTGGGAGCATAAAAGTCCTGCGGCTGCGATTAGTTTAACCAGAACTCGGATCCATGATTATGTCGTCCATTTTCCTATGTAGGGATGTCGCGAACCACCTTAGATTCGATTTTGAAAGGTTTCGATATTTTCAAAGCGAACTGAGGTTCGAATTTGAAAAATTTTGATATTTTCGTACCGACCAAGGTTCGAAATTGAAAAATTCTCAACTTTCGATCATAGTGGAGTTTTGAATTCGAAAAGTTCAAAGCTTTCACGGTTTGTCGAATTTCGGGTTTAAATATTTCAAATATTTTTTTTACTTGACGTTCGATAAATTCGAAGATTTCGAACTTTCCTAACTTGAAATTCGAGATATATTCGAAAATTTTGAATTCTCTGGGATCTGAAATTCGAAAAGTTTGAAGATTTCTAAATTCTTTGAATATAAAATTCGAACACTTCAAATTTTTATAGACATAAAGTTAGAAAAGTTTGAAGGTTTCGATTCTCTTCTAACGCTAAATTCGAAAAAAACAAAACAAAAAAACTGAAGATTTTGAATTTTTTTTAGGTTAAGTTTTCAAAATTCGAAGTCCGGTTTTCATGTTCCTCCACAGTTTCAATTTCAGATAACGTTTTCATGACTCACTGGTTTTCACGAAATCAGGTTTTGAAAAGTTAGGGTGTGATAATTAGACTTCGTGAAGTTGGGTCAAGCAATTAAATGAGACGACGAGTGTCCCTGATGTGCTGGAACATTTGCCAGTGCAGAGTGACGTGTGACCATAGATCAGTAATTGTGACCGATTGCCAGCCTGGGGGGGGAGGTCTTTAACATGCATCACATAGGAGTAATCACACAAACACACTGTTTTACGATACTCATCCAGTTCGAAACGGCCGGGGGCGGACAAGTGGTTGAGGCACAGAAAAACCTTGAAGCGACCTGGCAAACTAACCTCCCCACCCCCCGCACGCTGGTAGTAATCCGATCGAATGCCGCCCGAGTGACGTTGGCATATAGTAAATTGAGTTTGTAATTGTCCTGGAGGTTTATTTTCCAGGACGGAGGTAACGCCTCGCGAAAAGCATAGAAGCCGGCACAACTCGAGGTCGAGGAGCGTTCTACCATACAAGTGGCGTCGGAAGGAAAAATGGGGGGGGGGGGGGGGAAAGGGAGGGAGGGAGGAGGGAGGGAGGGAGGGAGGAAGGGGGGGAGAGGGGGGAGGGGAGGGAGAGAGGGAGGGAGGGAGGGGGGAAGGGGGGCTCTAGCCCCCCTTTTTCCCTTCCGGATATTTCGAACTGTTAAAGAAAACAATACAGAGAAAGAGGGCGTGGTCAAGCTTATTTTAATCTGAAATTATTTATGCATATGTATAGCTACTGTCGCTCTTCACTGCGTAAAAGATAGCGTAGATGGTCATTCTCGGAAACCCGTTGTCAGAAGGCACTACTTGTCACATGCTTAGTGGTTCGGAAGTTCTCAGCTATGTCTTTTCGACCTAAATAACTGTGCCCTTGATAAAAAAAAAATAAATAAAAATAAATAAAAATAAACATAACGATAAATGCGGGGATAAAAAGCTGGAGAAAAAGAAAAAACTATCAAGAATTTGCCGGAAGTGTTGTATTCTTGCATATTCTGAGGCTCGAACTTCGAAACAAGTTTCTCCTACCAAAATGTGTACTGGCTAAAAGAAACATGTCCCAAAAACCTGGAGTGAAAGAACAAATGTTTATTTTTTAATGACGTGCTGAAATTGAACAATATTAGATATTTTCTCCCATGAGATAATTTATTCCTTAACGTGAAAAAAAACAATAAATACATTATTTCGTATTCTGCAGATGGCAATGATATGTACTGCCTGTAGTGTTAATTTAAATGCGATACCTCAAACAACTTAGACGAAAAAAAATACCAAGTTTAGGGCATAATTATTCGTAGATACATGTTTGGAAATTTCTTCGAAACTTATCTCTAATGACAATAATCACATCTTAAGACGACACTTACCTGGGCTATACATACATCACTGTTAAAAAGTTTAACATCTCTATCATAAATAGCTTCGGCTATAGCGCGCCTCAAACATAGCACAAACGACAATCGTCAAAATACCGTCGTCCTTCCTCACCCTTTCGAGAATGTATTTCTTTAAAACTAAGCATGCCAAAACATTGAAATAAATGGCATTGTCTTTTGTAAGGAACACAGCACCGCATGTAAAAATTTGAGAAAAAAGAAATTACGAATGTACCTCACTACTTGAATTCAAATGAAACCGTCCACCAGTCTTTCGAAGTTCGACTAACGTCAAACTTTTACCCTAAAAGTTCGAAGTTCGTTGAACTTTTGACATTTCAGAATTCGAAAGTTTGAAGCTTTTCGAATTCTCTTGATAATAAAGTTCGAAAGTCCGAAAATTATTGAGTTCCTTAACGTAGAAAATTCGAAAGTTTGAAAAGCTTCGAACTTTTTAGTGCAAGAAGTTCGAAGTTCGTCGAACTTTTGACATTTCAGAATTCGAAAAGTTCGAAGCTTTTCGAATTCTCTTGATAATAAAGTTCGAAAATTATTGAATTCCTTAACGTAGAAAATTCGAAAGTTTGAAAAGCTTAAAACTTTTTAGTGCAAGAAGTTCGAAAATCATCTAATTTTTTGGTCTATCAAGTTCGAAAGTTCAACAAGCATCGAATTTTTCAGCGTAATAAGTTCAAAAATGATAAAAAATTTTAGCGTCATAAGTTCGACGGTTCGAAAACCGTCAAACTTTTTAGTTTAACAAGTTTGAACATTCGACTTCCGTTGAATTTTGCATTACAAAAAGTTCGAAAAAACGAAATCTTTCTAACCTTTCGAACCGACTTTCGTCGAATTTTGCATTATGGAAAGTTCGAAAAAATGAAATCTTTCGAACCTTTCGAACCGCTTGATTCGATAGTCGAAACTTCGGTTCGAAAAAAGTTTGCGGCATCCCTATTCCTATGTGACTGACCGCTCTGTGATTTGTCCCGGCTGCGGCTTCTGTTGATGCATGCACTCTTCAACCTAGGTGCTTCAAAAATTATGTGCATGCGCATCACACATTTCTGCATTAGGCGAATTGTGCCGTGTTTGCCATTTGATATTCTCCTGACATTAGTGTTCAACTAGTGACCAGTTTAGTGAAAGGTACAGCCGCCAACTGATTTTTCGGACGCCAATAGTTTAGACTTGTCTGATATTTTTTAAAGGAGGCACTGTTACCTACCTGAAAGAAATAGTGCATATTCACGACCAATGTCTCGAACAGCTTGAAGTCCGAAAGTTAAATTTTTCGGACAAAATTGTCGCGAGCGATCAATGGGAAACAGCACCGGGAAGCCACCATTTTAGATTCTATGTTGGCGGCACATGAATTGGCTTGGTTTGGCAGCGCTACTTGAGTACTACCAAGTTCTACCACCAGGTGGTGCTATGCTATGGCATTTTTTCCTCTAGCTGTGTGTCATTATCATCATCAATTGTTACCATTTTGCTTTGTTCATTCGCCATTCTCAGTCGTGGAATGGCCCCTCTACTCTCGTCTCGGTGAATTGTGTTTTCGGACTACGCTGGCTTGGGGCGTCATAGCCCCATCTGTTGTGCCGCTGCGAAGTGTCGCTAAGAAGTGCAAAAAGTACTCAATCATAACGATAAAAAAAAAAATGACCGCATCTCCACGTGGTGAATGATGTTGATTGGGGCGAAGCTCTGGTGGTGCTTGTCTGCGTAGACGCTGAGCCGCAGCATGCCGAGCCTTTCGTTCGTTTTCATCCATGTCAGAAAGAGAATGTGTGGTATGGAACGTGGTTATATATGCATTTGAGCATTTGACCGCAGCGCCCTCTCGTCTGTAAACGTTGAGCCAATGCATGCGAAGTTTAACGCTATTACATACGCTTTTGATTGCAGCGCCCTCTCCTGTATAGACGTTCAGCGGCTACATGCAACGTTTCATCCATGACATCCCCAGCTCTTGAGTTACTACCACATCTCAGAGCCCCCTACTCGTCCCGCAGTCGTGGCCGAGTGGTTAAGGCGATGGACTAGAAATCCATTGGGTCTTCTCGCACAGGTTTGAATCCTGTCGACTGCGCAAACATTTCTTTAGGGGCAAAGGTCCTTAAGGTCTAGCCTTGTCCGTCCGGCGTCCGTTCTCACATCGATCTTGCTGGTGCTCGTGCTCGTGATCGTGCTCGTGAGCTCACATGCTCGTGTAGAGCAAAAAAAAAGAATGATGAAAAAAAAAAAGGAAATGTTTGCGCAGTCGACAGGATTCGAACTTGTGTGGGGAGACCCCAATGGATTTCTCGTCGATTGCCTTTTCCACTCGGCGACGATTGCGGGACGAGTAAGGGGCTCTGAGATGTGGTAGTAACTCAAGAGCTGGGGATGTCATGGATGAAACGTTGCATGTAGCCGCTGAACGTCTATCCAGGAGAGGGCGCTGCGGTCAAATGTGTATATAATCGCGTTAAACTTTGCATACATTGGCTCAACGTTTATAGACGAGAGAATGCTGCGGTCAAATGCTCAAATGCGTATATAACCACTTTCTATACCACACATTCTCTTTCTGACATGGATGAAAACAAACGAAAGGCTCGGCATGCTGCGGCTGAGCGTCTACGCAGGCAAGCACCACCAGAGCTTCGCCCCAATCAACATCATTCACCACGTGGAGATGCAGTCAATTTTTTTTTTCAACATTTTTTTTTTTTGCTTTACACGAGCACGTAAGCTCACGAGCATGATCACGAGCACGATCACGAGCACCGGCAAGATCGATATGAGCATGGACGCCGGACGGACGAGGCTAGACTTTAAGGAGCTTTGCCCCTAAAAGGAGGCAGCGATTCTCAAGCTAGTGGCCGTACGAAAGCAGAGGCATAACTTGAAGCAAAATTAGTACTATTAACATTTTTTTTTAAGCCGGCTTAGACATAATATAGGCAAGTTTTTTCGTATGCTTGGACTGCTTTATTATTCAGACATTCTTTCGACCCATGTGAAGTCCGACAAATCGATCGGCGACTGTAGTACTCAGTTGTTTTAAAGCACAGCTCTTAGGCACCCGTTTCTGGCTTGAGCGGCGTCGGCGTGACCGCGACCCTCCTCCTCCCCCCCCCCAAGGACCTCGGGAGGACTTCAGGTACCTTCGGTGACCTCAGGGAGGGGGGTGGGTCACGTGACCCTCCCTCCCCAAGGTCACATGACCCCCCTCGAGGTCACATGACCCCCTCTCAAGGTCACGTGACCCCCCCTCGATTTCACATGACCCCCCCTCAGTACCCTTCCCTACTCCTCCTCAAGAGCTGCGCTCTAATTCGGCGTTACAGGGAGTTGTAAACGGCTTTCGCTTTTTTTCTCCTTATGACAGGACGTTGAGAGCCAGTTGGCAATGAACAACAGTGAAGTGTTGCAGCTTGTACAGCAAGGAAGAGACGTCGTGGAAGGCCTTGATGCTGGTAAGTCAGGCAACTGCTGTGGGGCAACTGCTGTGGGGCAACTGCTGTGGGGCAGCTGGAATATGCTTTCTGTCTAAGTTAAGCTCCAATAGTGACACCTCCTGTATGCTTGAATACAAGCGATGGCTGAGTTTTGAGAAAATGTGTCTAAGAGACTACTATTCGGTAGTCCTTCCACAAACAGATTTGCTCAATTTTCTCTTGCCAAGCCAACTGGAAACACTCCTGCATTGCCTAAGGCTAGGATTGGCATGCACCTCCAAATTACTTCATCTCCTCGACAGCAGGGACCCTGGCACGTGGAGGGGTCAATAGAACATATCCTTAGTCAGTGTCCTAGCATAATGAATGACAGACCCTACGAGACACATTGAACTAGTAAATAGATGCATAGTCTTTCACTGTTTCCAAAATGCTTGGAGTCTGGAACACAGTGGAACAATCCACAAAGGCATCCAAAGCTTTGTTCCTTGCTAATACCAAACCCTCAATGTGTCTTTTAAGTTTCTTTTTTGGTGGGGTAGCGGTGTGTGTGTAAAAGTGAATTTCGGAACCCTCCTTGTCATGTCTACAATCATCACCATCATTTTATTGTGCTGTCTCAACACTACGTCTTTCTTTTCCCTCTTTGCCTAAGCTCAGTGCAGGGTAGCCTCTCCATTTTTCTGCCATCAACACTAGTGATGGGGCGAAACCTTTTCTGAAACAGGTTTTGGACCCGGAACAGGTTTCATACCCGGAACAAGTTTCATACACGAAACAAGTTTCAAACCCGAAACAGGTTTCGGCTCCGGTACAGGTTTCGGTCTTGGAACAAGTTTCGGTTCCGACACGGATTTCGGACCCGAAACTGGTTCCAGACCCGAAACTGGTTTGACCTGAAACAGGTTTTGGAAAGTTTCGGAAAAACTGCCGAACCTCAATGTGTTTTGGATAGGTTCGGATAGTGTCAGAGCATTGCCAGAGTGGCCAGACCACGCTGTAGAGCGTTCCAACTTTTGTGAAGAAAACATGTCTTATGAACCACATTAAATCATTGAAATCTTAAATATAAATGCTTAATTTAACAAAATAGGCTTGTTAAAATATAATTAGAGATCCGGAGAAATAAATAACGGACAACACAGTCGTGGTCAGAATGGTTTTGATTTCACAACTTCCATATACTTCCATAGTCACGTCGTCAAGTGACCATTATAAAGCGGGCAGGTAGGTGAAATCGATTATCACAAACCGCGATGCTCGTGTTAATGTATCATTAGTATTATTAGCTTGACAACGTGTGTGGTATTTGTTTGGAGCGCTGGGAGTGTTGTGGTTTAAGTTGACACAACACAGGTGGCATGTGGAAGTGACTGTGTTGGAAGATGTCCAACATCTGTGTTACTATTATTATGCAATGATCCTTCGTTCACACAGTTTTGACTCTAGTACAAAGCATACATTAAGCTCCTAAAATAATTAATGTAGTTTTATTTATTTTATCTTTATATATTGAAATCAGGACAAACAACGCGGGAAGCACGAATAAAAGAAATACATAGTGCTGTACGTTTCCAGGGTGCTGCACCAAGCAACTATTTTTCACAGCAGCACAGGCTGCAAACAAATGGCAATGACAGACCTTTGCAAAGCTAAATCTATTTCACAGTACAGGTTAACAAAGTTTGCTTTGTTTCCCGTCACAATCTACTGGAGTAGCTATGTAACTCATTCCTAGTTCTTCAGAAAGATACTAATCCACTGCCTACTTGAAGAGGCTTATTGCTTGTGCATCACAGTTAGGCGCCTTTCACACAGAGTGAAAGGCGCCTAACTAGCTGAATACCGCTGGCAGTGCGTTTCCAGAGTGGAAAAGAAATCAATGATCAGTCAACCGTCATTCATGACCAAAATGTTCAGGAGGCCTAAACACTGCACCAAGAGCTCTGACATGTACAGATGCACAAGCTACCATAGAGCTTTGCTTTTTGAGCTCCTGCAGTCAGTTTGGCCGTCATTTTGAACACGGATGAAGAATGCGCTTAATGGGTTGATGCGCTCGCAAGGGGATCGTAGGACCTACGCACTGCGGGCAACGTGGTATGTTTTGCTATAATGTAGAAAATAAACCAAAAATTGATTGAATTTCGGTTTGTATCAAGGTTTAGAGTCTCTAAACTCTCATGACGGCCACAATACCAAAAGGAACATCGCCATGTTGGCTAGATAGCGACGAAACTGCCAAACCTTAAAAACAACCGAAATTTTGTCCAAAAAGTTTCGGAATCTTTCGAAACAGTCCGAAATCGACCCTCCAGTTTTTCGCTCCATCACTAATCAACACCAATCAATCAATTGCATGTTTCAACTTTACAAAAACAAGCTGGACCAAGGGCCGCGTGATTATTCTACGCAGTTGGGGAGCAGACGAAGGAGGTGCAGGGCGTGCTGCGAGAGGTGGAGGTACGCTGGCACGAGGTGCAGAACACGGTGCAGGCGCAGAGGGAGCACCTGGAGGGGCTGTCCGCCTGCAGGGAGCTCCAGGCCGAGAGCGATGCGCTGGAGCGTCTGCTGGAGTCGCACCATCGCTGGCTAGAGTCCTCAGAAGCCTCGGCTCACCAGCGCAGGCAGTCGGACGACCTGCGGCGACTCTTGGAGCAATGCAAGGTAAGGGTATGGCTTGACAACGCACGCGCAGATACGTTTGATGAGCCTTATAATCGAAACGACTCTGAAACAGTTTTCTTCTTTTACGTACTGTTCAGAATGGATCCCTTGCATTTATAGCACAAAGCTACATTTGCCTTTTTATTTTGTTTAATAAGTTACACCATTGCATAAGTTGTACCCCTATAAACGGCTGTTCTAAAAAAAATAAAAGTCGTTATGTAAGTTACACTTCTGCGTAAGTCACACTTCTTTGAATGGTTCTCGCAGAGTTGCACTATACCTGTGCTACCGCGTTTGGACAATCTTCGTACTGCCGAAAGCGTAGGACATTGGCCTTTTTTGCCGATCCTCCTTTGTCGTAAATGTTAATACAGCCTACGTCTTGCATAGTTAATTTGATACTTAAAAAAATAAATTCATATAAGTTGTTTCATAGTAGGTGATGCATCGGTGAAAATTTGAGAAAAAAAGAATGTCCATTATGTGGCAGAAAACACTGTATAATATTGAACAGCTTGTTATTTGAAACCTGCGCTTGAAAATAAGAATATTCGTACAACACTGTTCATAGTCCATGAAGTATGCCGAAGCGTGGTTGATATTTGTCACGTCGAAGCGGAATCTCCTCCCAGAGCTAGTTAGTTGCTCGTTGACTGGACAGTAAAGGTTCTGCATCATTCTTTTGTTGCAGATGAGGCTAAAGACATTGGATAGCCAGGAAGACAAGGTCCTTCGACTGCAGGAGAAAGCCTCTGCACTCCGAACGCGTGTGCCTTCTCTTGGCTCGCAGTCCATCTTCAGTCAGCTGGAGATCCTCGCCGCTCGGTGGTCCGAGACTGGAGCTCAAATAGGTATGGTCGCCGGAACGGGCTAACATGAGAACTCGGCAATTTATGCTTCATCAATTGACAATCCCTCGTGGGTTTCACAGACTCTAGGAGTGACTTCCAGTAAGTTTGTTAAGTTTCTCGGCAAAACATTGGTTTCCAGGACGCTTCCAGGAGGTTCCTTTTGTAAAAAAATTGTTGCCAAAATTGCTTCGCAGATAATTGTTAAAAATGTGATTTCTATTTTAATGCTTGGAACTTCGTGGATGTGGTGGGTTCGAATCCCGGCCGAGGTGCCTGTAATCTGACGGAGGCTTATTGCAGAGAATTGCTTATTGCAACCGAGCTTTCGGTTGCACGTCATAAGATCCTCAGGTGGTCGAAATTAATCCTCAGTCCTCCGCTGGGGCGTGTCAGATGCCCGTCGTTGGTTTGGCTCGTAAAACCCCCAAATTTAACTTTGAACTTTGCGGAAACTCTTAGAATGTTTTTCATCAACGTCCATGAAATCTATTGCATTTAAGACCAATTAGCATAATTTTCTGATTTAGCTATTTCCCATGGACGGGCCTCCCACGACCAACCATGACCAACCAACGACTTTTGTAGCATTACCGTAATATCCCGAGTCATCGCCCATCCCCGAGCCATCGCCCACCCCATTTTTCGGGCCAATATCGATTTCCGAAAAAACACCAAGTCATCGCCCACCCCTTCAAATACCCCAACGCAGACTCTGCGATCCGCGAACACCCATCCTACCCGAATGACGCGGCAGCGGACTTTACAGTTGGAGGACGTCCGTGACAAAGTAAAACGAAGGAGGGAAAGACACTTCTTTTTGTTTACGCATTTCCTCCGTGAGCGACCCCGAAGTGGTCGTGTGTCCGTGCGAAAAGAAAACGATGGAGATAACAAAATAAGTATGTTAACGTAACCGCGGAGTGTTAGGTCAAAGTCTGTCGCCGCCGAAGTAAGGTCACCGCGAACCCGCTCCTCCTTCCCGCCCGTCGCGACCGCGGTTGTGCAATATTTTAGGCAAAGCCAAAGCGTAAATAAAGCTTTGCTGGAACGTCCTACACAGACGTTTGCAGAGCGTCCCAACCGTGCATTGATAGCCCGCCGTGCACGGACGCACGTATGTACGCACCAAACAAAAAAGTTGCGCAAGAGCTTGCAATTGACAAGGCGCCCGACTTGGCCCGACGCCAAAGTATTTATTTGCCAACGCGACCGCCGGCTTTCCCGCTTTCCCAGCATTGCTCTTGGTCGCTTCTTTGGTCCGCGCGCTCGCTCGCTCGCTCGTTGCGCCTGGTCGGTTTTTCTATTTTCGAGTAGACTTTTCTTTCTTTTTTTTTTTACTAACTAGGACAACATAATGGTGACATTCTTTCACGGCACAAACGTTCGTGCTATCTGCAGATCGGCGGTGTTTCTAGCGCGTATGCAAGCAACGGACTTCGCTACAGTAAAATATTCTTTCGTGAGCATTTTTTTTTATAAAACAGTGAAACTAAATCGAGTTTTGAGTTTGATGTATCTCTTGTGCATCAGCGCTAGCTACGCAGAGAAAAATAGGCGGTTTTTCCGCTTTTTTTCAAGTGTTTGTGCTCACCCACCGAGACATGGCCCACCCCACTTTTTTAACGAATTTCAGGCGGTTGGGGGGTGGGCGATGACTCGGGATATTACGGTAGTAGAATATAAATGTTTCTTTTTTGGAGTAACAATATTAAACATATATACCGTAGAATACCACGCATCCACCCATTTCACATTAAGCGCCCACTCCCAAATTTGTAAGTTCTGAGAAAATATGCACAGTACATTGATATGTAAAATTGATGACTGGACAAGCAGCCATCCCCCATTTTTTCGCGATTATCTCTAAATTTTGAGTGGGCGCTTGCCTGGTATTTTACGGTAAATATAATAAGACCTTCAATAACTGTATTTGTCGTTTAGAAGCTAATATACTGTATCACATTCATTAGGTGCATTAACCCCTGTCACACATAATTGAAGTAGGTATATAGCAGATGCATTCTGCCTGCTTCATTGGTTTCAGCATGCAGACCGACACGAAAAATGCGGACGGTTTGCTCAGAGGTGCTTTTTAATTTAATACCGTATTTACTCGCACAGTGAACGCACTCGCGTAATGAACGCACCTCCCGAAATTTTCAAAAGTCTCAAAATTTTGACTTTTTTTTTTTTTTCACTTGCTTATTAAATGCATTCCCAACTCGGACGTCAAAATTTTGACCCCCTCCTCACGCGCGCGAAATGAACGCACTTTTCTATCCTGGTGCAGCAAGGTCACGAATGCATGGGCAATGTGGGCGAACAAAACGCCTTGCAAAAGGCGTTAAAAAAAATTCGAAAAGTTCCAATGGAAGCAAAAAAAAAAAAAAACATGAAGAGGAGCTTTTTTTTTTTTTTTTGCACAGCACACTCTGGATTTTAGGGTCGCGCGCCGCGCCCCAGCGCCGCGTGCAAGGAGGTAAGAAAGAGAAGTGAAGAAACCCTCTAAGCAAACGAAGCAAATTGTGAAAGGTGGCAAAAAAACAAAAAAAAAAACAAAAACAAACCCACAAAACTAAAAGAAAAAAAAAAAGCAAAAAGAAGCTTTTTTTTTTCTTTTGCACGGCAGAGTTTGGTTGCTGGGAAGGGGGGGGGGGGCACGCAAGGAGGTAAGAAAGAAGCGGAGAAGCCCTCTAAGGAAATGAAACAGCTGTAAAGGCGGCAAAAAGAAAAAAGAAAGAAAACAACCCACAGAACTAAGAGAAAAAAAAGAAAAAAAAAACAAAGAGGAGCTTTTTTTTCTTTTTTTTGCACAGCGCAGTTTGGTTACCTGGGGTCGCCGGTCGGGTCGCGCGCCCCACGCAAGGAGATAAGAAAGATTAGCGGAAAAGCCCTCGCCTAAGCAACGCATAAGTAAACGAAACAGCTTGGGAAAGGCGGAAAAAAAAACAACAACCCAAGGAATTAAGAGAAAAAAAACAAAACAAAGAGGAGCTTTTTTTTTTGCACAGCCCAGTTTGGTTACGGGGTCGCGCCCCGCCCGCAAAGAGATAAAAAGTTACGTAGACTTTTCGGGATAAAAGGTCCGTTTATTATGCGAGTAAATAGGGACGCAAAACTTTTACTTCGCGTAATGAACGCCCCCCCAACTTTGCATCGATTTTTCGGTAAAAAAATTTTGTTCATTCTGCAAGTAAATACGGTATGTTGCAGAACTGTTCATGCAGTCATTCCAGCTTTCACTGCTGCTAAGAAACAAGTCAATGTTTTGCAAGCGTCTAGGGCTTGACACTCATACAATTAATTCTAAGCGATGCTTTCTCCCACAGCGGACTTGGAGACCAGACTGGGCAGATCCCTGGAACGGGCGCCTCCTCCCAAGTTGATGGAGGCTGTGGATGCCCTAGACGCCTGGATCAGAAGCGTGCGCCTTGCCTTGGAGTCCGAGAAGGCCGTCGTCGACAACCTTGATGCGATGGAGGACCAGCTCCAGAAGTACAAGGCAAGGGATTGTGGACTGTAACTTAACCGAGCATTCTTCTGACTTTTGTCTTGAGAGGTGCACAAATTAGGGAAGCTGAGAAATGTAAAAACGTTGAGGAGCGCATTGTGAATTTCGGACTGGAAAGTCCAACTCTAGTGAAAGGAAACTGCTATGTGTCTTCTTATGAGAGCGCTTGAATTTTTCTTATTAAAACCTCTCTATGACTAAAAAAAAAAAAATTTCAATTTGTAGAAAGTATTTTGCATCTGAAATTTTGAACGGTTTCCTTACCAACATGTTTAGCTTGTACTCATTTCCTAAAAAACTAAAGGTTAGCCAATGCAAAGGGCGAAATGCTACGAACTTGCGAGGACCTGTGGAACGCCGTGCAGCAAACGGCATGGCTCTCGTGAAGCCCCACTTAACCCTCAAAGGAAAAGCAACCACATAACCGGTAGAAGGATCTGCGATCTGGAATTTATTATTTGTTTTTCCGCACGCAAGGTTTGCGGGCAAAAGAAGTGCCCTTCACCAGAAGGGCGCTTCCTTTGCGAGACGGTTCCTGCGACGCTTAGCCTGCCATTGACGGTCTCTGCGACACGGCGTGAAACTTTGTAACACGGCTCTGGTACATGACGACCGCAGGAGATGCAGACGACGGTGGACGAGGAGGAGTCCAACCTCCAGTACGTGACGAGTACGGGAAAGGAGCTGCTGCGCAAGGAGCCCGAAGCCAGCTGGGCCCGCGAGCTGCGCGAGAAGCTGCATGGCCTGGGCGGCTGCTGGGACGTGGTGTGCACTCTCCTGCGGGAGAGGCTGCAGTTCCTCCGCAAGAACACTGCTCTGCTCAAGCGTTTTCAGGTGGGCCGAGAATAGGTTTAATACATAACATAGCTGGGATCTCGAGCTCCAGCAACCCTGTGCTGCATACTTGTTTATCTTTTGCAAAACAAAAAACATTGTGGTCAGATTGTGCGAGAATTGCATTAGAAACATACTTTTGAGGGTGAAACAGTTGTGCGTCTCTTTGGCATTTTCTAAAGGTACTTCAAATTTGTAGCTTTTTTAGGGCTTCTTCGCACTCTTTCTTTTTTTTGGGGGGGCATACAATGACGTGACGTCGTCAAGGCTACATCCGTGGACTCGAAATCCATAAGAGCCGTCCCCATACATGCTGCGCTTTTAAAAAGACGTTTGTTTCGTTTCCTCATAGCAAAAAATGTGCAGACTGCTGCTCTGCCTCGAGGCAACATTGGGCAATTATTTTGCGTGAAACTGCGGAGCACAGTTGCCTTGAGATTTTTGGCTGGAGAGGAGATAGCTTCTTCTTAGCGACACCATTGGCTCGTCCTCTTAGGCAAGGTGTGCTCGTGTACTGACTTATTAGGATCCTTGTACTAGTTTTGGTGTTTGACCGAATTATTAAAAACTTATCTTTTCCACTTTCCTGTCGTGAGTGGTTGAGTATGTTCAGTCTTGTCAAACTTTGTTCCACTACAGCAGCTAAATGCTGCATGCTAGCTGAGTTTCTTACAAGTAGGCCTAACCAGATGCCTGGAAAACGTCTCAGACTAGTCTCTAGACCGCATCTTATTTCATCACCTCGGTTGCCTCCCGGTGACTGTACTCTTTCGTGTGCTTCTTCTGTCATCATACCCTTGCTGCTCCTTATGCTCTCAGTTCATTTGTGGATAGCTCATGTTTTTGTTGCACGTACTGTCTTTATCTTGTTTGTATTTTGTATCTTGTTTTGATTTTGCCCCTCCCCTCTGTTATGCTTCTGCACCCAAGGGTACTGAAATAAATAAATAAAAAAAAAATTTAGGATTGAGACAACCTGTGGAATTATTTGGCAGATTTTGCAATGTGCCATATTTATTCGAAAAGGGTTGAACTCTTTTTGAACAATGCCTGTGTGCACATTTGTCTGCAATGCTCAAGAATAGCCAATCATTGAGATCTACGGAAGATGCCCAATGAATGATGAGGCACCTATAACGTCGGAACGCAGAAATGAGATCTGTGCGGATCACATTTTTTTTTATTCCGATTGTTATCTCTGATTTTTCCTTCTCCGGCACCTTTCATAAGTCTTAATGATTAGTCTTCGTGGGTTCTGTGGGAGAGGAGACACACAAGTCTGTTCATAAAAAGGGTCAACCTATTTTTAAATAAATACGGTACAGTCAAATCTCGTTAATTCAAACTCTTAATTCAAACTTGCGGATGATTCAAACTAACATGCAGGTCCCATTCTATGCGTCTCTATGGGAGGAAACTCCCGGTAATTCAAACTTTGCTTTATTCAAACAAATTTTCGGTCCCCCTCGAGTTCGAATGAACGAGATTCAACTGTATTTGGTTGCCAATTTGAGGATGCTTCAATGCGTAGACGGCATATGCTGCCTTCCATGTGCTCCTGTGCTGTAACAGAAAACTATAAACTTTTTCCTCAGGACGAACTGGAAGGCGTCCGCTCCTGGATTGGGGACGTCACGACATTCCTGCAGGACGAGGAGGTGGCAGTCGGCGACTTGGAGAAGCTGGAAGCGCAGCTGGAGCAATCGAGTGTTAGTGCCTTTGTTTTCTCTTTGAGGAATATTGCAACCAGATTAACACCGAAATGTTTCAGCCTAAATAGAGTCTGCCATAACCCGTTATAGACCACAAATGGCGATATTGGTTCTTTTACTTACAATGTAAAACTGCATGGGGAAACAAAATAACCAATACTAATATTTTTGCCCTAATATGGCAGCTCGCAAAAGTCGGGAAAGATCAGAATCAAAAACTATGTTGCGAGATAATTTGTTCACAAAGTTCGTACTGGCTATACAACTTCATTGTCGTCTTTAAGGTGCAACATATTTTGTCAATGTTTTTATCTCAAAAAGAGATTGTGTGGCTGTCGTAAACATGCTTTTGGACAGGAAGCACCCAACAACTTGACATAGCGGTTACTTAACTCTGAGACGAGGGTTGGCAATAACAGGTGCGGTTGTTCCGTTTTTGTGCACCATTGGGTTTAGGTTATTAGGAGCTTTTGTTTTAGAAAAGTTTTGGAATAATCTGTCATGAGTGTTCTCTATTCAAATCTGCCACCTTAAGATTTGTTTGATTTCACGTGACTGTTGTTCTTCTAGTGATCAATACATTATTCAATGCTGGTGCTTTGTTGTTCCTCAGGCCCTTGAAGAGGACATTGAAACCCTGCAGCCGAATGTCGACAGTCTAAATGTGGCTGCGGAACGGCTGATTGAGAATGCAGACGGTGAATTCGCAACCATGATGCAGAGGCAGCTTGATCAGCTCAATGACAACTGGAAGCAGGTGAGGCTCCGAGTTCACGCAATGCTATTAAAAGAACCATGAAACAAATCTTTTTTTCACTCTGACTATTGAGTGCTCAGAATAATCACTTCATATTCGTCAAGCTCTAACAGGAATCACTTCGTGTTTACACTGCGAGGTTCTAGGCTGCATGAGGTCACAACAGTGTGCATAGGAAGAACTCTAGGGATCGTGGGACTAGGGAAGTTTATGACTAGGGAAATCTGGAAAAGGGAAGAGGGAAGTACCAGCATGAAGAGTGCAGTGCGTGTGTGTGTGTGGAGAGGTGGGACATACAAGCATGCAAAGGAGTTGTGAGAATAAGGAGTGAAGTAATGCCTAACAACTTTTTTGGAGTGTTATATCTAAACCCAACAACACATGTTGGTTTTTGCTAAAAGTGCAGTTATGACTCTCACACTCCTTTTCCCTCTCACCTTCCCGTCTTTTCCCCGACTGAACCATCTTGGCTTCTAACGAACCTAATGAGGAAAGGATTATTTCTTGGCGACAGATAATGCACATAGTTGTGCTTGTGGGAGGTTGAGCACAGATGGGCTGTAAGCTTCAGTGGTAGCAAAATAGGAAGAAGAAGAATCGCCACAGCCGGTTGTTGCTTTGGAACACGACACATCACAGGTGGGACCTGTTGGCCCTTGCAGTAAGCCATCAAACTCTGCTCCTTACAGATCACGAAGATGACGGAGAGCAAAAATGCAGCCCTCAAGAGAGCCGTTGAGACGAGCAAATCGGCCGCTGAGGGCATTGCTGATCTCTGCAAGTGGCTGAAGGAACTCGAGGCAGAGGTGCCGCCCGAGAGGTCCATCAACACTGCCTCGGAGCTTCAAGTTAAGATCAGGAAGCTACAGGTGAGTCGGTGCTTTCTCTCCACCTAAGGACGTGCAACTCGATGGAGACTTGGCACTAACTCTAGATTACTACAGTTTGTGTGGGACTAATGACATATCTGATCCGAGCTGAGAGAACAAAAATTACAACCTATTATTAAATGTAGTCGTATGTGTTGTGGGTTTTTGTTTTATCTTTGGAAAGTTGTGTGAATGGCTTGGTAGGCTAGCTTATCCTTGGTAGGTCAGTTTACCTGTAGAACGCAGGATTTAGCTGCTGTAGCAGAGCAAAGTTTGACAAGACTGAACATACTCAACCGCTCACGACAGGGAAGTGCAACAAAGAAGCCTCATATGGTAAGCGACTACAACAAATCCTTTATGAAGTTTCTGATTCGACAACTTGAACTCACTCACTGTCGTTGAAGAGATATATTTCTTTAGTTTGCACTCCTTTTTTTACCACAACCAATCACAAAGCTGTTTGAAACTGGTAGAAAGAACTTTAAAGGTATACCTCCTGGAAATTTTTAAGCTAAATGGGCTGTGCAGCAATTTTAACCCATTTGCTTCCGAAGACGGCGATCCGCCGTCCGCGGGAGAAAGGGCCAAAGTGCAATAAGACGGCGAATCGCCGTCCTCCGCAAAATAATTTGTTTCCAAAATATATTGATAGATGGCGACACTTTACAGGCTGTAGGTGTTTTGACTAGTACTTTTGACACCAGATGGTACCACGTACGTGATTATTTTATGAACATTTCGAAGTGAAAAGGAAGAAGTTCGCGGTTCTTTTTCTTTGTATGAAAACATGGCGTCGCGGAAGAGGTGTCGTCTCACCAGCGAGGAAATTCTTGATCTGGTGTTTGAAAGTGATGAGGATGACGACTGCGACGACCCGGAATTCACCATGGACATCGAAAGCAGTGATTCAAACAGTGACAACGACGCTGAGGCTTCGGACTCAGAAAAACCACTTGATTCTTCGGTGCCCGTCACGCCACCACCATCGAAAGCTCCAAGGCTCGACGCCTGGCAATGGGAAAATGACGACAGTGCCGACAAAGTCGCAAAGATCCCATTCGCCGTAACACCAGGTGTAAAGAGAACTATTCAGATAGCTATAGGGGACAGTCCTACAGCCCTCTCAATGTTCAATGCTTTGATAGGCGAAGACTTTTGGCAGATGCTTGCACGTCACACGAATGCCTACGCACTTGAGAAGCAGGCCTCCTCTCCGGACCCTTCGTGGTTTCCCACAACTCCAGGTGAGATGAAGGCATACTTTGCCCTTTGTATTCTCATGAGCCAAGTGAAAAAAAGCAGCATTCAAGCCTACTGGTCTCAGAGAAGCGTCATTAGCACGCCCTTTTTCGCGTCCGTGATGCCCAGGCAGCGGTTTTGGGCGCTCTCACGGTACTTTCACCTGTGTGACAACAGCCTGCCAGTTGATGACGACAAACTTCGAAAGCTGCGTCCAGTCCTGGACTATGTTTTGAAGATTTTTGGCGAATCGTATTCTCCAGGAGAGGGACTGGCGGTAGACGAGAGCCTCATGAAGTTTCGTGGTCGTCTGTCCTACATTTTATCCAGATATAAAATTTTACAAGCTGTGCGAGTCGTCAAGCGGATACTGCCTGAACTTTTCTATTTACACGGGCAAAAGTGAGAGGACCCCGGCAACAGCTGGAATGCTATGCAGCGAGGCTGTTGTAATCGACCTTGTGGGAGACCATCTTGGAAATGGTCACACCATCTATACAGACAACTGGTACTCGTCCCCGCTACTCTTTCTTCATATCAAGGAAGCGGGGTCTAACGCTGTCGGGACAGTTCGGGCGCATCGAAAGAACATGCCGCAGGAGCTGAAAAAAATCAAGCTTCAAAAGGGTGACTGTCGCAGCCTCTTTTCCCGTGCACTGATGGCTGTGACATGGCAGGACAAGAAGCCCGTAGCCTTGCTTTCAACCTCCCATGACGCAACAAACCTGACAGACACAGGAAAACAGAGAAAAGACAACCAGCCAATCCTCAAACCCCAGGTTGTGCTTGATTACAACAGAGGTATGGGAGGCGTCGACCGTGAGGATCAGCACATGGCTTCGTTTCCCATTATGCGGAGATATGCCAAGGGGTACAAAAAGATCTTCTACGTCATGGATGTAGCTGTCTACAACAGCTGTATACTTTGCGGAAAGACCACAGGCAAGAAGTCTAGCTACACGGACTGGAAAGTCGACCTCGCCGAGCAGATCGTGGAGGAGACGGTGTTGCCCGGTTACAAGCGACGGGGAAAGTCATCAGTGAGTGCCTCGCCGATGCGCCTAGAGGGATGCGAATGGGCGCATTTCCCTCGCCAGATCCCAGCCAACGCTACGAAACCAAACCCATCTAGGCGGTGCCACGTCTGCAAGGTCCAGGGCAAAAGAAGTGAGAGCCGCTGGGAGTGCGAAAAATGTGAAGTCGCTCTTCACATGCCCGTGTGCTTTAAGCTATTTCACACTCGAAAGTCTTTTTAAGTGCATTCCGTTTGCCTGTAATTCAGGATTGAAATAAAAAAAAAGTTATATTCCTGTGACGTTTTTTGCGGAATTTATTAAACTTTTTCCTCGGCGCCGCAGAAGGCACGGGCACAGTGAAAACGGGGCGCGGTATACCACGCGGAAAGGGGCCGCATCATAGCGGAAGCGAAGGGGTTAAAGGGCAACTCCGCTCTATTCCGAAAAATTTAGGCTTCCATGTGATTCACATTCACAAAGCACTACTAAACAACTCTACGTCTTCGGATTCGCGAAATGTGAAATATTATTTGTGTAATCCTAATTTAAACATCAGCAGATACCGAAACCGAAACTTCGGTTGCGTCAGGCAACATCGGTCTCGGGTCGTCAGAGTCATGACCACGCTTGTTGAACCACGTGGTCTTGTGACGTTCGGGAGGGAGCGAGAAACAAAACACGCAACGCAAACAGATTTTTTTTTTTTATTGGACGCGGGCAGGTTGCTTTGCGTGTCGTGGACGGTGATGGCCCTGGGGAGAGGGGGAAGGGGAGAAGACGAAAGAGAAGGGGAGCAGAGAAACAGACCGATAAGCGCGCAGGGCAGCGCAAACTAGCGCATCCGCGTTACGGTGATCACGTGGACGCCCGGTCAGCCAACCCTGGAAGGAGAAACTCATGACGTCATCGTTCAATTTCGCTCTGAGAAGTAAAAACAAGCAAAACGTGAGAATGACGTACACATGCCTCTGACGTAGTGGTTCAACGTTGGCCGCTCCAACTCCGTGGCATTGACTGCGCTGATGATTGCGCCTCGCGCCGCACGCTAGAGTTGGCAGATTTCGGTGACTTGGCTCGCTTGAAGGTTTGCTGGCCAGTTTATTAAATATATAAACGGAATTAGATCGTAATATTTGACGTGGGGTCTTCCTATATGATACTGAGGAAGGCTACATAGTTTTCTAAATATCAAAAATGAAGCGGAGTTGCCCTTTAAGGTTGAAAGAATTTACTGTTTGTATTTTTTATATTGCTTATCTTACCACAAGTAAACAAAAACATGTATCCTTCCCCCGAAATACGATTCCGCTGCGTAATCGCAAAGGAAAAAACAAATGATTTGCCAATCTGCAGCCGAGTGTGGTGGTTACACCACACTCGGTGTCTGTGTCACCGAGCACGTGACTCGGAAGCACTTTGTCGCCAATGCATGAGTTGAGAGGCTCCAAAAACTTCAATGTTTGCCATTTTTTTTAAAATAAAAATTAGCGCATAAAAGCAGAAATGTTTTTTTGTTCTTGGATCTAGTCAATGGTTTTCTGTTCTTGGATCTAGAAATGACAGAGGCCAACTCCCCCAATTATTTCTCTTAGATCTAAGCATTCTACAGTAGTGAATGGAGCAATGCACAAACTGAGCATGGCAGTTTTTTTTTTCTTTGCTTTTTTGTTGCTTCCTCTTGAGCTTTCTAGAGAAGCCCAGAGCACGCTTGTTTAATGGAGCAGAGCGCCGTTGTATGTCTTAACACGTGATGTTTTCCCCTTGCCGGGAGTAACATGGAGTGTTCGAGGAAGAGGTTTAACTGGCACTGGGGTCCAATCAGTGAGGAGACAGTGCTGCGTCAGCATTTGGCTGGCAGTCGGCCTGCCGACTTCCGTCCCTGGTTGGTGTCCGGATATGGTTAGGTGCCAGCCATATAACACATTTTGTTTTAAAAGTAGACTACCACTCTGAGGCCTCCCAGAGGTTCCTTTTCAAGCTTTGTATCATACTGTTGCAGCAGGTTTTTCGCTGTTCCTATATGTCTCTGGTAGTTGGGAAACTTTTCGTAATTCTACAGGAGAGCTTTTTGTAGGGACAAATTGAAGCATCAGAGGTGCGGGTTTGACAGTAGGGGGAATTAATTGAATCCAGCGAGGAACTTGCTAGGAGTGCGATAAAGACATCCATACTCACCTCAAAATGTCGCCGAGCCTTCAAGAATGCTTCGTAGCTTTTTCAGCATTTTTGAATGCAGCATTGATAGTTTGCACCTACAGTTCCGTCGCCAGATGCTGGGGTATGAGGACGACGAGGCTTAACAATCGAAGCAAGGTGATACCAAGGGTACGAATTAGTGAGAGTGGAGGACTGGCTCTGTTCTCTATTGCAGCAACCTGGAACTTTAATATTATTGAAATTATTTCTTTTCAGACGTACGTGCAACGTCTGCTCAAACTGTACTTAGTAAATTCTACCTAACAACATATTGACAAGCTCTGCCTTTAAGACTGCTTGGTTTCACAAAATGTTTATTTTATTTTGATTCAATCAGAATATGTTTATTTTTTTGTTTTTATTTAACTGCACCAACACACTCACGTTGAACTAAGAATAATACCTGCAGTGGAAAAATTTCCTAAGGTGGAAAAGGGCTGAGTTTTCAGACCAGGGACAATTAAGGACCATAGCTCTACAGTCAAGACCAGGGGTTCTTAAACTTTTAAATCTTGAGGAACTCTTCTTTGCCTTGACTGACATCCAAGAAGCCCCTCCTGGTCTTGGCATTCATGGAATGATGCAGTGCAGAAGCCTACAGACATTGTAAACAATAAAGCCCATGCTAAAATGTGTTTGGCTCATACAACACGTAAACTACCGCTTTTAAGACACTTTAAATGGCCCGCAAAAATGGGTTTGTCAATGTATCGTGCTTCAATTTACTACAGAGGTGCATGCAAGTAATAAGTGTTTACAGTGAAAAAAAAATAAAAAATCAAGGAATGAATTTATTTTGCTTGAAAGGAAAAATTCAGAAACCTGTTTTGGGCTGCATCGAGGGAGTGGCGGCCGACTCGGGTTCTTTTGAGGGATCATCTGCTATCATAACCCGAACCGGCCGGGGCTCCCTCGGCGCAGCGTACGCCATTTTGTTGGCAGCACTTCTCGCTACACATAGGCATAAATTGCCCAGAACAGTTTTTTGTGTTTTTTCTTTTGAACGAGGTTAGTTCACTCCTTGATTTTTTCCCTGTACACTTCCACCACCTACTCGCACCTCTGTAGTATATCGAAGCGCAATACGTTGAGAATCCGATTTTTGCGGGTCGTCTAAAGTGCCTTAAAAGCGTTAGCTGACATGCTGTAGTTATGCGTTAATCAGTGGCCCAGATCTGCTAATATAGTGCTTAAAGTGGAAAAATGCTTATTAGGGGCAGGTCGGGCTATAAAATTTGAATGCTTGGGGAATCCGTGAGGATGTGCTCTGCGCAACTCATGGGTCCCAAGGAGCTCAGTTCGAGAACCCGTGGTCTAGACCCCAATGAGAATGAGGGATTGGCATCAGCTATGTATTTTAAGGCTGGGGACACGCATTAATCATACTGTTTCTCTGCAGGTTTGCAAGGACAAACTAGATTCCAAGCTTCCAGAATACAACAGACTCAGGGAGTCCTGCTCCAAGCTGGTGCAAAGTGGCAAGCCCAGAAGCTCGGAAGACGCACGCCGAGACGCGGCGTCTTTGACAAAGCTGTGGGAAAAGGTCTCGGACTACGTCACAGCACGCCACCAGTCTCTCAAACAAGCCGGCACCAACTATGCCGAGTTTCGAAGTAAGAACTTTTCTTTTTGTCGTAGGAAGGTTTTCTAAGAGTTTCTCCGCTTTTTTACTTCACACACACAATTTTTGCTTCATACACAGCACACCATGTGTGCTGGTATGGCAGTGAGAGTTTCTTGAAGCAACCCCAAACATATAAATTTTGCAAAGCAATACACCCCACAGCAGTGACTAGTGTGTCACTGTTGTGGGGCCACTGTATTGACTGGTTGTGCAAAAATTAGTATTTTCGAATAGTAGTTTAGGTAGACTAATATGCTGTTCGATATTTGGTACAAGAAGAACTATAGGATGCATACTTTTTTAAGTGTTGATCATGGCGGGTTAGCTTTGTTTAATGCAGTTCTTATGCTATAGTTCCCACTACGGACGCAACGAGCCGCACGCAAACCTAAGCGCAACAAGCGGAATGAGTTTGTTCAGACCACGATTGATTGTAATCTGAACGTAATTGTTCCGCTTCTTGCCCTTACATTTGTATTTGTTATGAATGATTGGCACATTGCATCCTTAGTGTGAACATAGCATTACTGAGCACAAGTGCGCTGAAGAGAAGCAACCTCTACGGAAGCGAGCTCTGCGGGTGTTGCTTCTCCGCAGTGCACCAGTACTCGGTAAGAAGCGTGCTCTATTAGGCTAGCCCACCACAATTAACATTTTGAAAAGTATGAATATTGCAGTCATGTGCATAGGAGAAAAGCACACTTTCCAAGTAAGATGGTGCATGCGTGCTCCTGGTGTATGTATTTAAAAGAAATGGAAACTTTGTAAATGTTGATACCTGCGCTGCAGTAAAATTTTTAAAATTTAACTGGGGCCATTATGCAAGAGTAAATTGACCAGATGTCCCGATTTAAGCGGGGCAGGTCCCGTTTTTCCGGCTGTGGTCCCGCTGTCCTGCCAAGCGTGCTTATGGGACAGTGTTTTGTCCTGCTTCGGCACTCCTGAACAGTGAATAGGTAAAAGACCTGGTTAAACGAAAGGGTCACACCAGTGACAGGGGCAAGACTCTGACTGACTGACTGGGTGCTTTCTCTTATCAACAAACAAGATATGCTCTGCAGAGAAGATGCAGATGCTGAAGCTTAATTTGCGTTTGACATGTGAACAGTATTATGGAAATAATATCTACAAAAATAAATACATTATTACTAAAGAAATAATCCAACCAAATGTATTAGATATGCATGCCAAACAATATTCTAATTGGGAAAAAAAAGAAATGCACATAGTGTGTACAAAATAATAAAAAAAAATGTGATAGGTTACTAAAATTTAAAGTTTTCGAGTCTCACAGCACAGTACTTTATGCAAAAATATATGTTAGACAGAGATGCCCTGACAACCTAACTGCATTCATAATTTGTGAGTTTTTAAAAAAATTCCAGGTTGAAACAAGAATTTTTGCATAACGCAAGGTTTATAATTCCTGACTTAGGAAATTGGAAACAGTGTGCGAAAAGACGAAGACAATGAGAGAAGAGCACAGGACAAGTGCTGTTTCCAATTTCCTAAGTCATGAACCAACTCGCTTGCATCGCCACCTTAATACAGTTTATAATTCCTCTTGATTAGGTATAGCATGACATCTCTATAGGTTTACTAGTTTTATGTCACACCTTCCATTTACTTGCCATCCCGTTGTAGACATAGTACTTTTTTGAGGCCAGTCCATTAATATATTTAGATTAAAATTACCTTAAAAATGGACAAGTGGAAGCTTGGGAATAACCTTCATAAGTTCAGCTAGGTTTTCATTTAAGCATTGTGCAAAGTGAAAGGCTTATGGAATTATTCACTGTTTAATGAAAAAACAGTTGGCCGAAACCGCTATTCATTTCGAATTCGCTTCGAACACAAAATCCACTACTTGCACATGCCTAGCATTTAAATCAAATCATTTTTATTTTTCATCATTGAGGTATACTGTTAGACACTGTTAACGCAAACAGGACCTCGGCACATTTTCGCATTCAGTTCAGACGTGTTAATGACTAACACCAAATGTGGCCACTTATGTTGTCCCAAATGAGTATATTCCACCACGGTGGCAATTTTAATGATTAACTTTTCAGTTTTTATCAAAATAATATGTCATCCTAAGGACAGGAGAGAGGGATTGACCAGCGTCACTACGGGTAGCGATTTTGTGGCAATCTTTGCAATTTTGTATGTGTAAGTAGCCAGATTGAGTGGTAAACTTTAGGTGGAACAAACTTGTAATATGGCCACCTTGAAGTTACCTAACATACGCTATAGTTGCAGTAATTAAAAAGTTTATTAAGGGGGGTCTCCACCTTAAATTTGAAATTTTTTAGAACAAAAAAGACTTTATATTTATTTATTGGGGTTCGACAACTAATAATAATAGTACACACTCCTGCAAATATTTATTGCAATATCTGAAATATTTATGAAGCAATAAAACCTTTTCGATAAGCCGACGATGCAAAATCATGTTTTGGAAATGTGAAACTTTTATGTTTCCTATTTTCTAACAGCTGTAGCTCCGCACCGGTATGCCCTAGAATGATGATCATACTCTTGTTCGAAAGAGAATTTGTTCACAATTTCAGTACATTAAACATATTTGTACGAGAATAAACACTATTCGGACAAGAACACCATAAAAGTCCTGCTTTCCCGTGGAAGAGGCTATGCACGTGGCCAAGAATCGAAAGGCCCGCCGTGATTGAACAGAAAACTAACTAAAACCGACATTCGTTTATAGAAAGTCATGCGGGTTTGTTTGCTTTGTATTTCGACAATGCTTTCCCTGCCCCTAATTGCTGATGCTCATTCGTGCATTGCAAGCATATCCAATTCCTCACTCGTTTCATAATCAATGTCCACATGTCGACAACAAAATGACAGTTGAAGAAAGCGTTTTAAGCTTGGACTCACTCAGCGAGGCCATCCAGGAGATTAGGTGTAAGGAGAAGGCACAACTTATGCTCTTGGTGCCTTTTAGTTGCCACTACCACCTGTAAAATCAAATGTAGTGGTGTGGAAACTTCAAATAGCTTTATCTTTGTTTCACTTTTTTGCAGCAACTTTCATTTCAGGAAACCTATCATTTCAATGAATTGCAGAATTCATTCTTTGCTGTGGATGTTTCTGAAGTGAAATTTACTGAGGAATGTGACTAGATATTTTGTTTTTCTATTTGAATAAAGTTTTTATTGCCAAAAAGTTGGGTTTTGATGAGGAGAAAATGCCCCATTATGTGGAATGCTTTTCAAATTGTCATTTTGCATAGAAAAAGCGCAGATTTCAGGGTTAAAGATAGAAAGCCGTGCCCCCAATATGTTCTAGCTATGGCTGAAGCTTAGAAATGCTCAATATTCTGCAGCACATTTATAATGATAATTTTCTTGCCAAGTGAGGCGACTTACATCAATAGGTGTGTACCTCCACCTGTAGCTTATTGGAAAATTGTCCTATGGAAATGAAACGTCATAAAGTGCATTTGGGCAACGAGATGAATAGACCCTTTAAATTTCATCAATATTGGTTGACTGGTTTAGAAGTCAACAGTTGAATGTGGTGTGACCCCTTAACGAATTTTAGTTAATTTAGAAAATTGACGACTACGACTTTTCTTGCACTTTGAAAGACTTGGAGCATAACCTAGGTGCAAAAATGGATTTTGCATGTCTCATGGTTATTTTTTCTTCTGAATTTGGAATACTTCATTTTTAATTGCAAGTATATGTACCACGTCTGCACGGTTCTAACACACCTTCAATTCTAACACCTCAGGCAGATTTAGCTCCCAGATATTCAAAAAGTAAATTGCTGCTGAATCTGCTGCGTAGGTAAAACAATGGAGGTTGAACAGATATTTCATTGAGCAGATTTTATGAAGCACACGCCAATAGAGAAATGAATTCTGCGCACTAGTCGCCGTTGTCGGAGTCCGACGATGGTCCCTTGCTGTCCACAGAACTAATCCTTGCTTTCGTTTAAAGCGTCTTAGGTTCCGCACTTTTTGCCCTTCTATGTGCGTAACCGTCACCTCTGGGAGGGTCTTCCACACAACTTTGCGAGATCGTCATGTTGCTGGGATTGCGAGGCCACGCAGTACTGCTTCATTGTTATCTTTGTCCGCCAGCGTGATGGCCTTTTGTTTAAATAAAGCCTCCTAGTGGAATTTCTTCTGTTTTTCTATCATAAAATGGCAGACACAGGTCCTTAGACGCGAGAGAATGTGCGTGATACAGATACTAAAATGGCAAAAGATGGATAGATGGATGGATGCTAATGTCTGTACCCTTTATATCGGGTGGTAGCTTGCGCCACATAGCCTAGAAATTAGGAACCAAAAGTATGATTCTCTTTTTCTCCATTTTGTTAACCCTTTGCAATTTCATAACTATCACCAAGCAGTGTGGGATATCACCAGGATGACCTTTGGAGGATCGGGTAAAAAAAAAAAAAGAAACTTCACCCACCATCTGTTCCCTCCGGTGAGGGGGCCAGAGGCGTGGGAATGTAAACAAACTGTCACGATGGCGATGGGGCTAGCCACCTTTTACCGAGTGTTGCATTTTTTTTTTGTTTCGGTTTTTGGGCCCAATTGTAACACACTTGTATTTTTGGGCACCGATTTTGGCGAAAAAAGTGCACGTTAGAATCGTACAAACACAGTAGAGCTCTGCACAAGGCCGGGCCGACCCGAAAGCCCAACCTCAGCCCGGCCTGCGGGTTGAGCCCGGGCCGGCTAGCACAGGTTGTTTCCTGGCCCGGGCCTGGCCGGATTGTTTTTGGGCCCTGGCTTGGCTCGGGCCAGGAAACACGCAAATACTGAAAATTTTTAATTCATTGTGACTTTACTTAATACTGGATTGCACAGAATCTGTGACTTCTATATGTCCTATAATGTCTCGAAACTTTTCTTCATCTTTTGAAGGAGTGCCATTAAGATCTCCATGTTGACATTCACATTTTTATGCCAACACATAATGTCTTGACAGCATCTTTCATGCCAATTAGGCTAAACGAATCAAGTGCACCAACACCTCCAAATGGCAGCTTTAAATTTAAGAGATGAGGCACACTTTGGCCTTTTACCAGGCTGGGCGTGGGCTGGGTCTGATCAGGTAGGCATCCCATCGGTCCGGGTCCGGTATGGGCCTATTAGGTAGGCATCCCATCGGTCCGGGTTCGGGTCGGGTAAGACTAGGAGTCAGTTGGCCCGGGCCGGGCCGGGCCTCAAAAAGTAGGCCTGTGCAGTGCATAATACACATTATTATATGCAAACTTTTAAGTTTTATAGCTTGTCATCTGATACAATATTTTATTTTGATGTAGAGTTTTGATTTTTCTAAAATATGTGCAATTTGCTTCTTCAACACATACTCTTACCTTAAAAGATAATGCCTCATACCTAATGACAGATCACAACCTTTCCTTTCCCTCAGATATTCTCATGATGGAGAATGACTGGTTGGACAGACTGGAAAAGAAGCTCAAGCGTTCTCCAGAGTCTGCTGCCGACGCAGAGGAAATTTCCGAGAACCTAGACGTGAGTTTGCTTTTCCTTTGCGTCCTTTGACGACACTTATCGCTGGCTTGCGCATCTTCTTTGAAAAAAAAGCATGCGTCGCTTCCTCTAATCGTCGTTCCACTTATCAACCGTCTGATTTTTACGTGTTTTAGGATCTAGAGAACTTTCTGCGAAATCACCCCGACGACAGGATTTCCAAAATCCAGCAGCTCTGCAAAGACCTCGCGGAGAAGAATATCTTGGTCGGACTCGTAGAACACGAGGCAGAGTCCGTCGTGAAGAGGTGGCGAGAACTCGTCCAGAAGGTACGAGCACCAACGGACACGATAACACACCAACGGGAAAGCATATCAGTCTTAGAAGGACCATGAAACAAAAACTTCTCTCCCATGTGTGGCTTTCGTGGGGTAGACAGTGGCTTCCCCGTGTGACTATTCAGTGGACCGAAGCAGTTTTTATACTACTCTGTTCACCCCTAAGCTGACAGTGTGGTGGAAGCTGCTTGCTCATTGGGCCAGTCAATTGTCCATATTTCACCGCATAATCAAGCTCCCCCCCATTACCATGCGGAGAAAGCGGAGCCGGGTAGTGTTGTGCAAATATTCGCATATTCGAATATCAGTTTCAAATATGTTATTCGATATTCGCTTCGAGATGAACTGCCATATTCCTGCTTTTCGAAGTGCTGATTGCAGCGGGTTAGGCCCGTTGAGTGTGCTTCCCACTGAGAATCTGTGCACTGCGGGGAAGCTATACCCACGAAGCTTGCAGGTTTTGTGGGTATTGCTTCCCCGCAGTGCACAGGTGCACGGTGGGAAACGCACTCACCGGGGTTAACCCGACGCGATTATGTAGAAGAACATGAGGGCAGCGATGTCTTGACAACCCGCGCTCATCATCCATGCTCCTTTTTTTTTTGGTCAGATTTCAAATTAAAGAAAGAGTATTTGCATTTAGCAAGCAGATTTAGAAATCCCATCGATTAGGATAGCTGTGACAAATCTGTTGCTGCATGTCATAGTTCAGAAGTATAGTTATATTAAAATTAATTCAGCTTAGAAGTGGACAAGTGGAAGATAGGGAACAACTTTCACGAGTTCAGCTGAATTATTGTTTAAGCATGGTGCATGGTAGTGAAGGGCTTGGAGAAACTATTCAATATTTGATTTGAAAATATTCGGTCCAAACAACTAGGTATTTGCTTTGAATTTGCTCCGAACTCAGAATCCACTATTCGCACATGCCTAGGGTCAAATGACGAAAAGGAGGCAGTTCAACAGTCGCCGCACTGTCAGCTTAAAAGTAAACAAAATCTGTATCCTTTTTTTTTCTTTTTCTATCTTGTTATTTTTTAAGGTTAGTATCTTTCGACCTCTGGCAAGCTCGACTAGGCTGATCCTTCATGATTAAGCGATCATTCTTTTCATGTTAGCTTTTTTTAAGGGTGGGACCATCTAATTGGGGGTAGGAAAGCGGTATTTAGGGAGGATGTAAAATTTTTATCCCAAACACTATTTAGCTGCAGCAGAGAAAATATTTTCATAGTGCCCTTAATTTGGATTTTCGTAAAAAACAGGGCTGACGCCTTAAGAGTTTGATATTTTTTTTTGTGATTTTTGGTGGGTACAAAAGGCCCCCCATCCCAAGAAAATATTTATAGATTTTTTTTATCTGATTACAATGGTGTTAATAAGTTGGAAAGGAAAGAGAAAAGAATACAGTACGAAATTTAGTTTTACCCATGATTTTTCTGTAACCTTTGGATCATAGTATATTTAATGAAAAAGATTCCATGGGTTAAAAATTTATTATTTTCTTAAGTTAAATACTGGTATAACTTCAGTGGAAAGTGCTACTGATCTCTCAGTGGTACCAGTTGAAACCTCAGTGCAAAGTAGGACAAAGAGAAAATAAATTAGACAGTAGAATTTCTCTAAGTGGTTCTCTGATAATGGGACTTTGTAAAGTGCATGTTTCATTCCTCGTGTTTTCAGAGTGGTCTTTGCATCTTCCATTAACTGAAATGCCCGCCAGGCATAGCATATTTTTTTCGTCCCTCAAAGTTTCCTAACAATATTCTACTCTAAACGACAATTTAATAGTGTGCTGCTTGAGAATCAGACTTGAACTGTACCACCGTTATTTCCATCAACCAGTTGCCATTACAGTGAACCATTACGAGTTTCCGAATATTAGCTCGGCTGTTATGATCTGCAGGGGCACGAGCGGCAGCAGGTATTGGAAGACAGCATCGTGCAGTATCAGAAGTCTGAGCGCCAGATTCTGAACGTCCAGAACTGGATGGTGCACATGGAACACGCCCTGCAGAACCGGCTCGACAACGACATCAGCGCTCAAGATGTCCCGGAAGAGCTGGCTGTAAGCTGGGGGACGACTTGCTCCTTCCTCTTGACACGTACGGTTTGGAAGTTTCTGAGACCCAACTACTGTTGCAGCAATTCAAGCAGGAGTTTGGCGAGAAGGAGAAGCAAATGCAGAGCCTGAGCGACCAAGTTGAGGCCTACCGTGCGCAGAACAGGGTGGAGGCTGCCCTGCGACTGGACGAGCAACTTCAGCTGATGAAGGTGATGCTGAACAGCTTTGTTCCTCGGTAGGGCTGTCTCATCTTCTGGGTCTGTTGAAAGTGGTGTGACATTCTCATGACGTGTATGGCCTTTCTCGCCTTTGAACATGCTTTTGTTTGTCCAAGTGGACTGTTGGAACAGGATAAGTTCAGGGGAACCTGGTTGTGATGTGCTGAACTGAGTCGTGACCAGGCTCATTGGAACAACTTAGATTCAGAGGAGCCTGGTTATGACCTGCTGAACAGGAACCAGGATAATGGGGTCATGCTGCTGAATGCAGAGGCACGAATAATATAAACAAAACAAAAAAATCTATCTGTGGCTGCAAATGTAACTGAGTGCATTTTTCTATTGGTGCTATACCTATGCTAACACTTTTTGATTTTGAAAAATGTTTTCATTATAGTTGCGGGGTTGCTTCAATTTTCTTTGTTAAAAGCAGGCTCAGTTCATACTATTGAAAGTATGCAACACAGAGCATAAAACGAAAATCAGTTGGTTCTGTCTAGTATATTTTGACATCCCCACATTCCCTACAACGTAAGCTCGATGCAATGTAAGCTTTAAACGTTTGCACTGGATGCCTGCTCAGTGTTCTGGACAGATAACATTACATACAAAGTCTAATCTTAAAAGATGTGCTTCTCGACTTCTGGCGATGCGAAACACACATCGATGTGGCCAACTTTGCTTGCTCGTGGCACATGCAGACAAAGTTTGAGGACATTTCGAGCAAGCTGAAGAGGTTCCAGCGGCCCAACGATTTCGAACCCAAGATGGGACGGATCAGCAAAATGCTGACGGAAGTGGAGCAAGGCATGAGGCAGCTGGAGCTCAACTCGGAGAGCCCAGACATCATTCAGGATCAGCTTGTGCAGTGCATGGTGAGAGCAGCCTTTTTGGAGTTGTAAAATAAATAGGATAATTTATGGATGCTGGTGTGCTGAACGATCCTTACCTTCAGGTTCAGTTGCTTATTCCTTACTTCAGCCTCATAGGTTTTAGTACTGAAAAAATGTTGGCCAGCTTTTTCTCCAAGGAAAGTCCAGCAGAGGCACAAGAGTGAAAGAAACTGGTAGGGGACACTCTAAAAGAAAGCAATGGACTAGGGGAGAATAGCGACTGACATTTCGCGAAGGGACTTTGTGAAGCAAAACTTCTAGCAATACATTGAATAGTATGACTATGATTGTGTTTAAAGGGGCACTGACACTTCAAAATCATATTTTGTTTTATTATCCCGAACGATTGAAAACGATGCCGGAACATTACCCTCCAAATTCGAAACTTGGGAATTCAGTGTTTCTGAATTAAAAAAACAATTTCCAAATGCCGAATTCGAAGTTCCCGCGTGATCCGCGCCACTACAGTGAGTCAAATTTTGCGGTCTCCTGCGGCTCGACTTTCTTTGGGACCTCCGTTGCCACTGCGAGGAGGTTACCAGGCGGGATAGAAGGGCGCCGGCACGGGAAAAAAACGGTTTCTTCCCCGAATCGCCGGTAAGCCTCTGCTCGAGCGCCGCCAAGTTTTTCGAGGGAGGATACAAATCCAGGAAGCGACATCACACCGAAATTTGATTTTTGCTATTTGAAAAAAAGGGGTCGTAGTGCGTTTGCAATTGCGTTAAAAAACATGTTTTACGATTGCCGTTATTAAATGTTACAGAAATGTCGCCTACAAAGCTTCTAAATTTCCTGATTTTTGACGTCACCGATCAAACGAAGCAAGGAGGTGAGCACGGGAAATATAAATGCCAAAAATAAAAAGGCGCGCGGGCGCTTGGGGAAATCTTTTTTCACAATGTTTTTTTTTTGCGTGTCTATGACTAACTTTCATCGTTTTAGACAATAAAAAATAATACAACCTTTGGGGTGTCAGTGCCCCTTTAAAGACCGAAGTTAAGGACATTCCCAAACCCACCATTTTTGTGCTTTTTATATGAAACTTCTCCCCTATAATTGCTGCACCCCTCAAAAATAGCTTTGGTTTGTGTTTGTAAAGTTGCATTAGTTGTGGAGGTAAATAGGGTGCATTGTTCTTTCAAGATTGTACTACACTCCACCACATTTATATAGCTTTTTATTTATACTTTTTTGTGTTGACAGGTAGGTCTGGTTGATTTCATCAATGTAAAACTGAGGCTTCACTTCCTGGAGAATAAAAATAATCGTAAATCTGTGCAACTACAACATGCCTGTCTCCTCAACATTTGTCTTTGCTTCTCTGCAGCACTTCTACAAGCTCCTGAGTGAGGTGAAAGGGGAAGTGGAGCAAATAATCCGCCAGGGGCGCCAGCTAGCCGAAAGCGGGGATGGCGATCGCCCTCGTGACCTCAATCTGAAGTTGGACAGCCTCAAGAGCCACTACAATCAGCTGGGAGCCAAGGCATGAGAAGGCGTTTACTGTGCTATGGTCTGTTACAGCATGAGATCTCCAGCAGAAGCCCCACTTCCAGCTCACACTTGTTGCCTTTTGTCGTATTTAAGTACGTCTGCACCGCAGTGTTACTGAAGGTGGAAAACCTGCACTGGTGTTGGGGCTTCTTCTGCAGGCCCTATTTTGCAACAATAATATAGTCCTTTTCCTACTCGGTCAGTATAAAACTTTTTTTGTTTGTTTGTTTGTAATAGTACTTGTTGCAGAGATAATCTATAACATGTTACTATATATAACTTTTCATGACGCATGTTAGTAAAAGTGCAACTTAGGTTTTTAATTTACTAACGTCTTTTTGCTTTTGTTCAGTTTTCACAGCGGAGCTGTTAAGTGCTAGGTTCTCCAGGATCGTGTCCGGTATGTCGACACAAACCTACCTGGACAGCTACCACCATCTATAGGCGACGGCGGCAAGCACACAACCAGTATGGTTACCGCCGTCGCTCGTAGATGGCGCCAACCTTTCCAGCTATAATAGAAGAATGGATAGTTAGGTGCGTTGGTGGGAATTCATCGTAGGAAACGGCGCGAAAAACAGACGGCAACGAAGAAGAAGCACACAGTGTATCAAGTACAGCTCCGCTGGTCTTCCTTCTTCATGAGAGTGGAAAGGCTGAACATTTTTTTGTTTTAAATGGCACTGCATGCACTAGTAATTAAATAACTACATAGATTGGTAAGTAAATCTGGCTGTCTCAGTTGAAGCGAATTCCTCATTTTTGAATTAGCAGTTGTAAATTGACGGGCTTTATTTCTCTTCCTCTCTTTGTACTGTTCGAGATTGGATAGGAAAAGGCTTCTCCCATCTTAGAGAAGCCTCGGAGGAGCAAGCACCAAGTTACGAAATTGTTCCTACTATGTACAACCAACCTTCTCACTTAAGCATATTGGCTAGTGGCTGCATTTGCGTTCCTCTTGTTACACGGGATCAGCTGTCCATGTTCAGCTCTCCAGGCCTTGGAGTTGTGTCACTAGTGCTTGAGTCTCCCTCCATGTTGAAGGCTCTGTCATCATCCAGGCTCTTTCGGTTGGCTTTTAAAGGTGACTGAGAGCAAGAGCATCCTGGAGCAGGCACTGCGCCTAGCACGCTGCCTCCAGAAAGAGATGATTGCACTGCACAACTGGATGGCGGCCACAATGGAGGAGGTGGAAAAGCTTCGAGACCCTGAGGACGAGCTCAAGTTTGCCGAGGTATGCAGCACTACTCTCTTGGGCCTCATTGAGTGCAAAAGTAAATTGAAAGTTGGGAATGTTTATCCGGCAAGAAGTCAGTCAGCCCTCGAAGTATGGTGACATTGATTTAACTCTATAGAGGAGCAATTTAGACAGTGCGGTATGACCACTGACCACATGCATCATGCAGTAGTGACTATACGACTGCAAACTGTTATTGTGATCATGTGTAAATGCAGGGATTAGGGTTGAACCTAATGATGACCCTGGGTTTCATAGTGCAAACTCTTGCTTCATGTGCTCTGAGCTGTGATGCACTAACTCCCTTAACGAGCGGCGTAGACTTCCCATTTTCCCGGGGGGGGGGGTGGGGGAGGGGGGGGGGGGGGGGGGGGGGCAGGCTGAGAAGTTTTTCCGGAGGGGGGGGGGGGGGGAGGCAATTTTTTTACACCAGCAATTATCAGTAGTTTATTTCAGAGGGTACATTTTACAGTGTATATATATCGCCATGTGTCCGTTGCTGTGTGCATTATTTTGTTTACACGCCACTACTAGAAGCTCGTTACATGGCACATAAACAGCGTCTCAGCAAGGATCATCGCCCAGGGGGGTCTCTCCCCCCCCCCCCCCCCCTCGGATCTCACCAGGGGGGCACGAGCCCCGATGCCCCCCCGTAGTCTACGCCTATGCCCTTGCCCACCCATCCACCTCTTATTGTGTGGTCTAGCGTGGAGTTTATCCTCTACAACGTTGAGTGCAGGGTGAAGCCACGTTTTATTTGAAAGCCTCAAATCTTGCTCATTTCTTCTTGAAGAGCAAGCTTCGTGAGTTGGACCAGAAGAAGCCCTCTATGATTGCCATTGTGGAACTCAGCGAAGGACTGACTGCACTCACGCCCAACCACAAGCTGCCGTCACTGTCCAACACCGTGCGGACCCTGAAGCAGCAGTGGGCAGCCATCGACGAGAGCCTGAGGAAGAAAGTGCCTGCGGTGAGCCATCAATGTGACACGCCACTTCCCGTTTAAGGCCTGTTCACACAAACACCTAGTGCTAACTTGGTGCTATAAACAAAGCACTGACTGTGCTGCATCAGTGCTTCGATGCATGAGACCCTGCCTTTTCTTGCTTACACACACAGTGCAGTGCTAACTCAGTGCTGAGTCTGCACTGACAATAGTGCTGCTACAGAGTTGACTTCGCATTGTCTCAGCACCGAGATGCATGTGTTAACCGGCCTTTCCTTGTGAGACATGCAGGGAGCTCTTTTCACACTGCTTGCTTTTCGTCCGCACAGGGTCCGAAGGATGTGGAGAAAATGTTCTCCAAGTTCTGCACTCACCTGACGGCCATCAAGACGTGGTTGGAAGGAGCGGAGCTTTACTTTGTCGCCAAAACTGAGTATAAGGAATCTGCTGCTGGGCAGAGGAAGCTCAAGGTATGTGTGTGCCACAATGGATGTTGGGGAGGGGAGTGCTTAAGCGGGGCTTTTTTTAGTTTTGACGAGCATGTTGATACATTACAGTAAAACCTCGTTATAACACAATGGGATATAACAAACAAATGGATATAACAAAGCAATCATAATTCCCCTTGCTTGAATAGTTGGAAGAAATGGACATTGGCTATAACAAACTAATGGTTATAACAAAGTAATTACGACCGCTCCTTCAACTTCTTTATAACGAGGTTTTACTGTAGTTGCACCTTAGGAAGACAGTACACAGATGGAAAAAAACGGACAAAACATTCTCTCAACTTCAAGAACATCTAATCATTTCGGAAGAGGTCTGCGTGGTTGGTGAAATCTGAGAAAATCGAATAAAATCACCAACCAAATCTTTCGCGGAGGCCCTGTTGTTTCAAAACTGACTCGGTTTTTTTCTTCAGGAGCGACTATTTACAGGTAGGGGACAGCAGCTTTGTTTTCTTTTACGGTAATGGTCTTTTTTTTCATATCTTTGTAAGAGGTAATCCGTTTACATAGAATGATGGTACTGTGCCATTGCACCCATTGACATTTTCTGGTGTTGTTTGGATATGTCATGACTTTATAAAAACCCGTTGGCGGAAGTTTGTCTCAACATTTATGATGCGGGTGTTTGCAAAGTCGATGCGATGGTCATTGTCCTCACAGTGCTTCGCAACAGCGCTGCTCTCGCGGTCGAATTCGTGCACATTGTTTTTGTGTTGTCGAATTCTTATTGGGAGGTTCTTTGTTTCACCGATGTAGGTAGGTGGCAGGGCACAGTGTGCATGGAATTGAATACACAGCACCCTGCACTCTTTCTTTAGAGGGACAATCTTTTGGCCGCGGCATCGTACGGTCCAAGTGTTGATACTGGTTTGTGGGACACCTGAATACTTCCTTTTCCCAGCATATGCACCAACACTTTGCTAGACTCCTTTATGTAGGGAAAGCAGGTGCGGGTGTGTGGACGGAGTCACTTGCTGCTCTGTGACTGAAGGTGCAAAATGTGTGGCTAAAGGTGAATGTGCGGGAAAAGATACGGGTGTGCGGCTCCGCCCGCACACCCGCACCTGTGTTCCCTACATAAAGGGGACTAGCGAAGCACTGGTGCGTACACCGGAAAGGAAGGTATTCAGGTGTTCCATAAACCGGCATCACCTCTTGGATGCATAACGCCACAAGGGATTGTCCCTCTTAAGAAAGAGCGCAAGGTGTTGTGTATTCAGTTTTATGCGCAGAAAGCCCTGCCACCTACATCATAAATGTTGAGACAAACTTCTGCCATCGGGTTTTTATAGAGTCATTGCATATCCTAACAGCAACAGGAAATGTCAATAGGCCCACTGGCACATTACCATCATTCCATGTGAACTGACTAAGTTACCTTACACACGAGTGAAAAAACAGACCATCACCGTAGAACAAAACAAAGCTGCTGCCCCCATCTGTAAATGGTCGCCTTGAAGAAAAAACCTAGCCGGTTTTGAAATGTTGGGACTTCCTTGTAGGATTTGGTTGGTGATTTTATTCAATTTTCTATCATTTTATTTTGTCTCACTCAAGACATGCACATACAGCATTCTGGGCACTCTTGTCCTTCCATTTCCACCTGGACAACTGGAAATGGACGAGCATTGAGGTACCCTAGGCTGGAGCCTTGCACCATGAGTGCTCAGTAGTGATGGTAACTTGACAACTTGTGTCAATTTTTTCACCGAATGTTTTCAGGCCCTGCAAGCTGAGATGAGCGAGCAGAACACGAGAGTGCAGGTGCTGAAGGAAGAGGCCCTGGACATGCTTCGTCAGGGCCCCAGGTACAGGCAAGCCGTGGAGTCGGAGCTCAATGCCCTTAGCGAGAGGTGGAACACGGTAGTCGACAAGCTTAAGGTAAGTGATCTTGCGGCAGGTTCTTGGCGTCGAATAAATTACGTGTAGCTAAGGTAGTGTCGGATTCATATTCATAATAATTATTGTTGTTTCAACATTGGCATGGAGGTTATGAAAGAAGGGACGACGCATCCGAAAATGTCAAAGGCATCTGCATTTATTGAACAGGGAATGACCATAGATGCTTGCTCAGACAATAAAGGGAAGAGACATACTAGCACCCACAAGAACTCTGAACCCGCCGACCTAGACAAGCTAAACTTTGCAGAGTTTTTTCACTCTACGGAAATGGTGTATGAGCATGCTGGGGGTAAGGAAGGGGCTTTCTTCCTCCACACATGATGTTACAAGAGCAGAAGTATACTAACACAAGCACTAAGCTAGAACAGACAGCAGTAGTCGCAATAAAAGAAACTGTTGCATGTGTTTGCCGAGCACAAAGACATCTCTGACCTATGCAGTTTCCGCACTCCCTCACTTTCAGTATTTCTTTTAAAATTCTTCGAGGATTTTTTTACCTTACACAAAATGAGCCTGTTCCCATGTAGGGGAACAGAGCTGACACAACTCGCTAGTTCAGAATGAGGAGTTGATATTTTTTACTTTTGCTTTTGTGCTCAGGAGGTCATCACCATTATGCCGCCCGCATTTTTTTTTTCCTTACCCCGAGTGCTGACTGGCTCTCGTCGGCATTCCCCGGTTGTTTTTACTGTTCATCTTTTCTTCAGATTTATTAATTCTCTCTTGCGTCCCCCTCACAGACAAAACCGGATGTCCCTGCCCATGGCCCGTCCGGCGCCGAGCCTGTCTGCATCGACGTGCAGCGGACGCTGCTGAGCGAGCTGCGTGCCTCGCCCGTCAACCTGTCTTCAACGTCGTCGGAGGCCGAGCTGTCCGCTCTGGAGCAGCAGGAGGCCAAGCTGCGGCAGGTGGCCAAGCGTCTGGAGGCCCTGGAGACTCACCTGGACAAGGGCATTGACCTCGTCACCAACGACGTCCTCGAAGAGAGCGAGCAGATCATTAAGGTGCTACTTCAGTTTCTCTCACTCTTACTGTAATGTGAAACAAAATGGGCTGTGAGCAGTTTATATAACAGAACCTTTCAATGCGAACCGTGCTGACTGAAGTTCGGTTGGGCGGGAAGGCTATGAACTACCATAGTAGTGGCACACTTAGTTCTGTGATGTCCTTAGGATGTCCTAACATTCTGGGGATCTTCTGTTGACACTCGTGGGACATCCCAGAACGTTAGGACATCCTTAGGATATTCACAGAACTAAGTGTGCCGTCAGGGTAGGTTTGATTGAGGAAATGAAACCTGGTTTTACAGCCTGCGTTAATATTGCAGAAAGCTGAAACCTTTGCAGATATGACCACCAGTGGGAATACAATGCACAAGTTTGAGAACATGAAATTACTTTGATCAAAAGACGAAAGGGAAAGACAAAATTTTTCTATGAATCTACTTTTGCCAAAGCCTAATTTTGTTAAAACAAAGAATAACATTGTGGATGCCTGCGGCATTTATTTTAGCGAAACAAGCCGAAACAGTATGAAAGAAAACAATGTTGTCTTTCTTGCCGACAGGTTCGTTTTACTCCATACGCTTGTTTGGTTAAGTCGAACATAGGCTGATGGCAAGCTAATACAATGAAACTTTCACAGCCTGCACTAGCTCTGTTTCATTGTAATTGTTGTTCATTGCAGTTAATAAGTGGGACTGTGCTTTGATCATGCCCAGTGAGCAATGTGCTTGACCGGGGCATCCAGCTACAGTTAAACCTGGATGTAACGAACCTGTATACAACGAAATCCTCTATTTAATGAACTTTTTCAATTCCCTGACGCGATTTTCATAGAAGCACTTGTATTTGTGAACTCCATGTAACGAAGCGTTCGCACTGGATAACCTTGATTTAACAAACTCGCTCCGCCGCAATCTCCATTTTTTTTTTTTTTTAATTCCGATAATTTGGATTTGTTTGATATTTCGGACCTAGAGGCGGAACCATGACTTATCCCATAGAAATAGTGTATACTATCGAAACCGGTTATAACGAAGTCGGTTATAACGAAATAGCGGGTACAGCGAAGCAATCACGATTTCCCATTCTCTTTTGTACTTTGTTATAACCGAAGCCGGTTATAACGAAATGGCGGATATAGCGAAGTGATTTCCGATTCCCCTTGACTTCGTTATAACCGGTCTCGACAATATTCACGACCAATGTTTCAAACAACTTGAAGTCCGAAAGTTTGATTATTCGGACAAAATCGTTGCGAGCGATCAGCGGAAAAAAACCATCGAGAAGCGGCCATTTTGAATTCTATGTTTGCTGCAAATGGATTGGCTTGGTTTGGCAGCGCTACTGGCGCTACTTGAGTACTTCTAAGTCTTACTGTTAGGTGACGCTATGCTAGCCCTTTTTTTTTCATTTAGCTGCACATCATCATCATCATCATTATCATTTTGCTTTTCCCGTTTTTTTGCGTCACCAGTCGCCATTTTGTGCTCGTGGTTTTGCGCCTCTTATCTCGTTCGCACAAGGCTGGCTTGGACGTCATCTGTTTTTTTGCCACCGCGATGTGTCATTAAGAAGCGCAGAACATACTCGACCATAACGCCAGAAAAGGAGGCTGCGATTCTCAAGCTAACAGAAAGTTGCCGAACGGAAACGGATGCGTAACCTGAAACAAGGCATTATTTACAGCTTTTTAAGCCCACTTGGAAGTAATGAAGGCAAGTTTTTCAATCTGCTGATTTTTCGGACTGCTCTATTATTCAAAATTTTTTCGGTCCCTGCGAAGTCCGAATAATCGGTCGGCAACTGTACCTAAAATGCAGATATATTCTTGTCCAATTGCCACCAAAGGCGAGCAGCATTTGGTGGCTATCGCGAGGGAGGTCTTAGATGCCACCGATGTATTACGCCGGGTCGCCGGTTTTCAGGACGACGACAGCGCTCTAAATGCTTTGGTGTCCTTTAAGCGCTGCGTGCTGCCTTCGCTCGTGCGAAAGACACAAGGCAAGCTTACAGACTTCTTTTCCACTAAATAAATGACGTGGTGAGTTTGCCCACGTGGATTTTTAATTTTCGCTTTCTTTCCAGATGTCTTTTCCGAGTTTTTCCGCGAAAACTGCATGTAACGAAATCCTCCATATAACGAATTATTGCAAACTTTTATCAATTTCGTTATATCCAGTTTTAACTCTAATGCTACCTGTTGCAGGGGCGGATTTATAGGCCAGGCTTGGGGGGGGAGAGGGGGAGAGGGAGAGGAGGGGCGGGGAGGAGGGGAAGGGAGGGAGGGAGGGAGGGAGGGTGGGAGGGGGTCTGCAGTGGGATGACTTCACGGACAAAGCGTTGCCCATACCTATTTTGTTGACCTAACATTCAGCATGTCATCAAAAACTAAACATTATTTTTTAAAGAAGCTAATATATTTTCTTTTTTCCATAAAAAAAAAAAAAAAGACCTGGTGGTGGTGGGGGGGCGGGTGCTTAGTGGGGGCTCAGGCCCCCCTCAAATTTTCCAATAACCTGTAGGTTTCTAAACGTTGAGTGCGTTACAGGCATAAAGGAGAGCTGTATATTGGGAGAGTCTGGCCAGTGGGTCTGGCGACGAAGGCGCTGGAGAGAGGGGAGTGGAGGAGAGGGAGGAGAGTGCCTAAGAAGCAAGAAAGGAAGGAGGGAGCAAAGAGGAGACAACCGCCATTTTGACACAACACGGTTTCCGTACAAAAGCACTAGAAGCTACGCGTCGTCTGCTAGAGGCTGATCTTTTTTTGGCCCGAATGAAAGTTTGCAGTCAGACATCAAGAAAACTTCATTTGTTAGCTTTTTAACCCATCAAGGAATAACAGGTACCGTGTTTGCACTATTCTAACGTGCCCCCAATTCTAACGCGGAGGCAGATTTAGTTTCCAGATAATCAAAAAGTAAATTACTGCCGATTCTACCGCGCAGGTAAAATAATGAAGATTGACCAGATACCTCATAGAACAGATTTTATAAAAGGCACACCAACACAAAAATAAGTGCAGTGCACTGGTCGCCGTAGTCAGAGTCCTACGATGGTTCTTCGCTGTCCACAGAGGTGATACTTGCTTTCGTTTAAAGCATTTAACTGCCGTGCTTCTTGCGCATGTATGAGTGCACGGCTGTCGCCTCTGTCAGGGTCGTCTTTCAAACACTGCGAGCTCGTTGGGTGGCTGCGATTGTGAGGCCACTTAGTGTTTCTTCGTTGTTATCTTTTTCCACCAGCCTGATGGCCTTTCGTTCAAATAAAGCCTCCTAGTGAAATTTCTTTTTCTTTTTCCATCTCAAAACGACAGACACGAGTCCGTAGACGCGAGGTAGAGAACTTGTGTGATACGGATACCAAAATGGCAAACGTAAACAAACGGTTGCGATGGGGCCCGAGCATTGTGTTTTTCTTGAGTTTCAGTTTTTGATTTCGATTGTAAAGCACATGTAGTTTTGGGCACCGATTTTGGCGAAAAAAAGTGCGCATTAGAATCATGCAAACACAATACTATATAATTTCCTTGCCAGAGCCAACAATATAAAAGGAATTAACCGAAATTTAGATGCCAATTCTGTGCATTCTACTGAGTGAATGAATGAAAATGGCGGCCCTCCCCGCTCAGCTGGGAGCAGCCGGGAGTTCACGCACATGCGCTCACGCATCTCACTCTGCACCACGGGCTGATTAGCTTCCTTGGGAGGGGAGCGTTACGGCGGCGAGATCATAAACTGGCCAAACTCCCAATATACGGCTTTGGCATAAAGGTGCCAGCCTCTGTAATCGAGTAATTAGATTATAGGAAGCGACTTATTAGCAAAAAAAAAAAAAAAATCGGGGAGTGGGATTGGGGAGGGCATCGGTGACTAAATTCAAGGTCTGGGTGTACTAATTGAGTAAGTTGGTGCATGTTACATCAAATAAATAAACAGATTGGGGAACACGAGGGAAAGTAGACAAATGAAGACACAGACACTGTGGTGACTCTCAATTGTCGTTTCTCTTTAGTTCAAGATCCATAAAAAAATATTTAAGGCAGGACAATTTCCCTAACAAACAATCCCACATAAAAAAAAAAAAAGCTGTTAGACAAAATGTTTACAAAATGAAATTCACCCTTTGAGATTGTAATTTATGGTACACTAGTGCATAAATTAGGACCGCAATACCAGATGTAAAAAAATGACCACATCTCCACGTGGTGAATAATGTTGATTGGGGTGAAGCTCTGGTGGTGCTGATGATACTGATTTTGTTCGTAGGTAGTGCTGATGGTGCTGATGTTTTTTTATTGCTCATAGGTAGTGCTGAGTTCCGGGTTGCATTTCGACTTCATTATTACTGCTTTATGGTCGGTGAAATGCAGAGCCAGTGGTTCTTCTAGCGGATCAGCTTGGATCCGCTGGAAGCCGTGGGAACGCATCTCCACCGCTTAAGTCAACGGTCCATGTCAGAAAGAGAATGTGTGGTATGAAACGTGGTTATATACACATTTGAGCATTTGACCGCAGCGCCCTCTCATCTATAAACGTTGAGCCAATGCATGCAAAGTTTAACGCAATTATATACGCATTTGACGGCAGCATTCCTCCTGTATAGACGGTGAGCGGCTACATGCAACGTTTCATCCATGACATCCCCAGCTCTTGAGTTACTACCACATCTCAGAGCCCCCTACTCGTCCCGCAGCCGTGGCCGAGTGGTTAAGGGGGACACTACCCAGCAAAAACAATTTCTGCAAAAAAAGTTGATTTTGAAAAATGTCATATTTACATCCACCAACATCTAGAGAGTATTCCCAGAAAGTTTCATTAGTCTACACTGCATAGTTAAATTTTTATAAATTATTTTCGGTCCACCGATGCTAAAGAAAAGGTAGAGGTTGGAGCACTTTGAACGCATTTTTCTCCATTCCACTTTTTGGCATAAATTTCACTTTAGGAAAACTATCGTTTTGTTATTATGCAACTTGGATTCATTTTTATGAGTTTTTCTTGGGTGAAATTTTAAAGGGAAGATAACTATGAGCTTGTATTTTTTATTTTTGTCATTTTTCATGCTCAAGAACTAAAAGTTTGGACAAAGGATGGAAATCTAAAAACTGTATTTGTGTTTATGTGGCTTTTTTGTCATGAAAGATGGTATAACATAGAAATATAGCTCCATAGTTATCTGTTCTGAACTGTCCTAATGCAATGTAACACATGAAAACGACAAATTTATAAGTAATTTCAAAACAATAGTTTTCTTACGCAGACACGCCCACTTTCGTCTTTGAACGTTTGCTATTCTTTTTGTACTTCACCCAGGTTATCAAAAATTGTCAGAAATGTTCTCAACATCAACAGAAACAAGCCCTGTAAGTATAATTTAAATCAGACAAGTGGTTCAAAAATTTACTTTTTTGGGTGGTGTCCCCCCTTAAGGCGATGAACTAGAAATCCATTGGGGTCTCCCCGCACAGGTTCGAATCCTGTAGACTGCGCAAACATTTTTTCTTTTTTTAAGAAGACAGATGGGATGGCAATCGATGTGAGCATGGACACCAGATAGACAAGGCTAGACCCTAAGGAGCTTCGCCCCTAAAAATCTATATTTTGTTTCACCGTTAGTCTGAGTGTAGCTGACGGTACGAATTGAGGGGCCAGTCAACGGTGCCGACAGCGCAACGTCACGGCATTCGACACCTTTTTGTGTGTGCTCAGTCGTTACTTTTCCAATCAAGCACAGAGCGTATGCCGCGACTTTAGGCTTTTAGTCTGAGAGTTTAGAATAAGAACCAGGGAGAAAGCGTAAGATAAAGGGGTTCTTAAACTTTCCTCTCGTGAGGAATATACCTACCTATCTCTCTTGACTGATAGTGATGGAACTCATCCCTGTTTTGGCATTAATGCTATGAAGTGGTACAGAACCCCATGAACCATGTAAACTGTAATGCCTACGCTAGGGAGTCCTTGGCACAGTTGTGCTTCAGTAGGCGCTTATATCTGTTAAAACAGCAATAGTCAATAAAGTTTGAGCTCGGGAACCTATAAAGGTACTGTTGGGAACACCCATACTGTTGGGAATCCATTTTGAGAGCTCATGCTCTAGGCTTTGGCCGCGCTTGGACTTAAATTGAAACGAAGTCTAGAGCCCGTTGTGCTCTCAATGTTGCGCATCCGGTACAGAAACTCTCGTCGGAGATGGAGCACCTGGGCCTGGCGGTGGACCAGGTGTGCACGGACGCGGACCGCTTGGTGCCCCGGCTGGGGCCCGTGCCAGCAGCCCTGGAGCGCCTCAAGGGGGAGGCTGACTCTCTGGAGGCCCAGTGGGGCGCCGTGCGCAGGGCAGTGGAGCAGCGCAGGGCACGCTTCCAGGACCTGGTGGTCCGCTGGAAGTTGTTCCAGCAGCAGACAGACGCCACCGTGGTCCAGATGGTGGTGCTCCTCAGGAACCTTGAGCACGCACGCACCGTGCAGAGCCGACAAAAGGTGCGTCCGTCTACGGGGGATGAGAATACGATGCTTGGCATGCAACTTCGACCGGTATGCTAAGTGTCCTGATTCTGCCCAGGCGTCGAAAATGGTCCAGAAAAGTAACTAGTTGCGTCATGGGAATTGCTGTGTCATGCCGTCTCATGTCGCGATCCCGGTGATTGGTCGTGGAAGTTATGGCAAAAAGTATAGGTGAACGTGAGCATTGCTGTTGTCGCGGCGTCTCAACTCCCGGTTGCCGAAGCTTCCCCGAACTCTCAAGCTGGAGAGCGACCTGCTGCAGAAGGGGTGTCTACCACAACTACCTCTGCTGTTGTGCCACTACCAGGATCGTGGCGAGCAATGGCGTGACACTTCTATGACGTTGGAAACCACACTTGAGAATGCGGTAAACGCACCAGTGAGAAACACATTCCAAGTACAAAGTGCAAATATTTACCATTCTCAAGATGGGGTGGACAAGCAAGGTGGGCTTGTTCGACTACGACGGAGGGCAGTGCAAGAAAACGAGGTGCGTCTCAATTTGATCGGCGGAATACGGCTCTCATACAAGAAACGTGGAAATGCGATAGCATTTTGATGTAGTCTGGAGTGATGCGCTGCAGAAATGCATCCTCGTTTTTCGCCTTGCGGGTTTAAGATGGCAGTCACAAGCAAATCGCAAAGCTCGATTGGCTCGGCTCTGTTGGTCGAGCAGATACTACGAAATGCGGTACTCGGGGACCAACCGTTCGGTGACCCTTAGGTTCTCCTGCCTGTCCCTTGTAGGCGGCTCTGGAGCAAGCGGCTCGCGTGGGGCAGGAGGTGGCCTCGCTCCAGCAGCAGGCGTGCACCCTCGAGCGGGAGTCCGGGGTGCCTTCTGGAGCGACCCAGGCCCAGCTGCACCGTCTGCTCCAGCTGTGGAACCAGGCTCAGGGCCACGTGGCCTCCCTGTGCAAGCCGGAGCCCGCATCACGGGTGGCGGATGGCACCCAGACGGAGCAGCCACTGGCTGTCATCATGGACTCTGGGGCCGTGACCCGCATCCCGGACTACCTGGCCAAGGTGGCCAAGCTGCGGGAGGCCCTTGTGGCCGTGGGACGCCAGGTGCACTCGCCCGAACTGTGCGGGAAGGACTTTGAGGACTTCGAGAAGCAGGAGGGCATCCTCAAGGTGGGCTTCGCTTCCCTCGTGGGTTTTCGGACACGAGAAATCCTGATTTACCAATAATGGTAGCCAAGGGAAACCTCCCAATCTCGGTATCGATGCAATAAAGCAGTTTAGGAGCCTACAGGCCTTGTAAGCAGTAATGCACATGCTATGGTCGCCGGCAAGGTGGGAACGGCAGGGAGGAGTCTCGGTCGTCCCTCTTCCAGCCCAAGCTTTCTACCTTCAGCGACGCATGAACGCCTCGTGCACCTCGAGCGCGTGTGTGCCTCTAAAGACATGGTGCGCACGCTGGACGCCGGGCATTTGAAAGGTGCACCCTGCCATTTTCACTCTGTCGGTGGCTATAGGAAGGCTTTGGGCCATAGCTACGGATTATTGGATGGTTTAAACCGCTACAGTTGTGCTTAAACTGGGAAAACAGTTTACTTGAGGACAGGGACGGTCGAGGAAATTTGAGGGCTCGGGGAACCCCGGAAGGAATCCCCGTGTTTCCGGAAACTTTGTCTAAGAACCTATGCTCTGTCTTGCCAGTTGTGCACAGCACTGTGGAAGCCACATGCAAGACAGAGAGAGAAAAGCCGCTTTTGTGTGAGTCTCAAACGACGGGCTAATCCTCCAGGGAAACAAAAGCGACATCTGGGATACAGAAAAAAGGGTCCAGTTAAGAGGGGAGCTCTTCCTTCCTCCCCTCTCCAACTGCTTGGGTTACTCTTTCGCACCCGTACCTTCAGTAACGCTGCTCGCAACTGGCGCGTAGGGTATGAACTCCGCATCGCATTTTGATAGACCGCAGGCGGTGCTACGGGCCATCGCAGCCATTTCAATGCCGTGCAAGTGTCACGTGACCTTTGAGAGGGGCGTGCCGGTACACGGTGCACCTAATCCCCGTGACGGGTTTGCAGTGCTGGATTGGCTAGGATGACTTCTCGCATCCTCTGCCGTCTGTCGTAAGGTGAAACAGAATATAGGATGGAAATCAATTGTTCGAAATAGTGCTGCCGTAAACAACACAAAACAAATCTTATCCAGTTGAAATGAATTTTAAAAAAAATTCATCTTGTGCTCTAGGCCACCATTTTTTACTGCAGAGGTGTAGCTAGGTGGCACATTCGTATTGTGAGGATATTGTGAGAAAATTTTTTAATGCGTTAACGTTAGTGCCTTGGTACATGCACTGACCTTGGACTGGTATGGAGCGCACATATTTAAAGTTCGCAACATTGCCATGGGATGGTGCCACGGCCCCACTGACTTAAGGAGTGACGCCGTGACTAACGCCTAGCAACCGAAGGTTGCCGGTGACGTCCCCTTCACCAATTTCGGCGCCGCGCAGTGGGGAACGGCGGGTGTGTCACTGGGGCGTGTTTAACCCACCCCAACCACCCGCTCACGCCTCTTTGTGGTAACAGTCTGTGGATGGCTCATTACAAAATATTAGCCCACCTTGGGCCACCTGTACACGCTGCCTCACGGTGCCCCGCCGGCGGACCAACTTCGCCCTAGCCCCGCTGTCCCCCACTGCGCCACGGGTGCTAGGTATTACGTCACGCTGTCGCTCTCTACATACCAGTGTCCGAAATCCTAGCCCCCAGCAATAAAAATAGTAAATAATAGTCTCAAATGCAGGCTCTTGTGAAGAGGGGGCTGTGCATAAAACTAGATTTTTCCTTTCTATAGCACTCTTGGCATTGGTGTTGTTCTTGGAGCTTTGTGACTTTGCATTTTTGACACTCTTACACTATATGATATGTGTGAAGGTTTAAAAAAAAAAAATTAAGAGCCCTTCCGCCCCGTGAGGAGGGAAGTCTAGCAAAGCTGGCGCTCTGGTGGGTTTTGCTATATTGGGGTTTAGCTATATTGGGGATTTGCTAGACGGTCACACAAGACACACGTGGCGCCAAAGGGGTTCTCGCTGAACTCTCTCCAGAACCTTGAGGTCGTGCCGGGGAAGCGTTCCAATAATTTGGCGCCGCGGTGATATGCGTCGTGCTTATGTTCAGCTTCTCTTGCTCAATTATTGTCAATGGCATTGGCTCGACGGTGCCGGTTAAATTGATGCTGTTGCACGCGTCGACGCTCGACGCGGGCGAGGTCGTTGCCGGGCAGCTTGGTCGGCAGTCGAAGTTGTTTTCTGGCTGGGAGCAGCGGCAACGGCGGTTTGACGTTGGTGACTTGCCCATTCTCATTTCTGGACGCGTCGACGCTCCTCGTACTCCTGCTGCTCCTCTTTGGAACAGAAAACAGGGGTGTGACCCATGTGAAGTTTGAAGTTCAACTGATAAGGACAGTGATGCAATATCTACGTTGCAGACAAAGGACACACACGATTGGTGGGTAGAGACAATGACGTTTTATTATAGAGCGGCTACACCAATCACGGCGCAGGCTCTAGTGCGCCACACAGGTGGCTGCCGAAGAGCGTGTGGCATTGCGCAATGTCGGGGGGGAGAGATGCCGCACGTGGCGAGGAGAATACACAACTGAGAAGGAGGCGGCAGCGGTGGAGAGGAGTATAAAGTGGGGCATACCGTATTTGCACGAAGATAACGCGATCACGAATTTAACGCAAGGGCAGGTTTTGATGCTCTCAAAAAGAAAAAAAAAAATATTACTCTTAAAACGCCAGCCGAGGCCGCATACATTTCCTGCACTCGGGGGCATAGCAGAAGTGAAAAGTCAATGGAAATCGAATAATATTAGTTTATGTGTTGACTTCCGTTTACAATCCACTTGGCGACTATGCAGATATGCAGCAGCATGGCGCCGCTTGTCTGGTAGTTACGTTTTCTTCGCGTGAGCTCCTTGGCAGACCACAAGCAAAGCAAAGCATGAAGCAGAAGCACTAGCGGACAAACACCAGACCACTCTGGAGTAGAAACTGCAAATTGCGCAGTCAGAAAAAAGGCTGCCGAACCTTAGACACGATCACACTTATTCTTGTACTGGTCCCGCCGTATAAACAAACACCTCTTGTTGCTTGATTGCATAAACACGGTTGGTGGTCTTGGCTTGGCTTGTGTTGACTTGACTTGACTTGACCTGACTTGGCCTGGCTTGGTTTGAATTGGCCAGTGAATTGGCCATTCCCGCTTGGCGCGCTGCGCACGGTGTGCAAACACAAAAGTGATAAAAATGCTTTTTATGTTTTCTATTCACCCCTTCACGTGGCCCAACAGCTAATAAATTCCCTCCCACACCCCCACTTCTTTTCCCACCCGATCTCCTGCATTGAGCGGGAGGGATGGCTTTCTCCTCTGGCTTTCTCCAGACTCGCACGGCTTGCCTCGTGGCTGAACTCGATTCCGAATATAACGCGAAATGCGTTTTGAAGCACGTAATTCACAAAAAAAAAAAAAACTCGTGTTATATTTGTGCAAATACGGTACATCGTTGCTTTTGAATATTGTGGGCTTACGCTCGATCTGTCGCCAGAGGCGATCCGTCAGGACCTAGCCTTAGACAACTTTGCTGTAAAAACGGAGTCTTGCAAAATGCGCTGCCCCCCTACTGAATCATGGCGTCAGCATAAACAAACATGGTGGCACCCATGGAAAAGAGCAGACAGTGGTCTATAACCAGCCAATCCTGTATAGCCACCGTCCTTCATTCACACACTAAGGGACCTGATCTGCTGGTGGAGGCATGCAGCTTAGAGAAGTTTGTTTTAGCGAATGCCGTTTTACCAACCCCATTTTATTGGATTGTTTTATAGGGAAACCCAGTTTAGACACAATGGCAATGAGTCTACTTTTAGCGAATGTGGCCACCGCGAAGCAGCATGTACGGGTGAGCCTTTTTTAAACAGGATCCCCTTTTCAACAAACGGCATTCCTCTAAACTGAGACTCAGCTTTCTCTAAACCGAGCTTCAATGAAACGTGCCCATTCTCTAAAGTGTGTTTCGATGAAATGGCGTTAGATCAACTGTAGTAAACCCATCTGTTTGCACCAAGGAAAAGAGGGGTTTCGGGAATGTTTACCTCGCAGAAAGTGCTGAGAGGCTGCATTCACCATGCTTTGTTATATATGACCGCTGCGCGAAATGCTCACGCATTTCTTCGAGAATCAGCATGATGACAACAACAATTTTGGCCCATTTTTTAATTTCTTTTTTTGTCAAAGGGTACAAAGAAAACCCTGACTTTTTCGGTGGGTCGGTGTAGAGGTAAGCATAATGAACAAAACCCGAGACTGAGGATAATGCCGATACAACACGGTCTTAATGGGATTACCCTCATTAACTCATTTGCTTCCTTTTCTTTTTGTGAGTTATGCCTTTTTTCACATCTAAGATAGAAAACATTTTTTTGGGCAAATGGGGTGTTTAATTTTAGGGGAAACAGGGAAGGCAGGGAAAAAAGGTTATTGCTATTTTTCCCATTTTGTGTTCTGTCCACTTGAGTCTCTTGATAGCATCCAACAAATATTTTGCCCCTTGCACGAAAGTGGATTTTGAGATTGTCTTTATGATGCATGCTCAATCTACACACCCTTTTAGAAAACCAGAAATTGCAGTCATGCCTGAACTTTTTCTCTATTAAAAATGTGACCAAACATCACATTATGCCCTTTTCTGAGATACATCTAAGGAAAGGGATGTGTTGCTTTGTTTGTTCATATTTTTAATAAGGAAAAAGGGTATGCATGATTGCAATCTTGGGTTTTCTAGGATGCTTAGTGTGTGTAGATAGAACTAAAATGGATAACGTTTGCCTAGCTACTGCAGTAAGGTAAGAAAGCAATTTTTTTTTTCATTGACATGTTTTTGGTAGAGTTTTAGGTGCACTTACTAAACAGTGTAGTGGAACCTTTCTACAGTAAAGACAGATTTAGTTAGGATTTAGATATAGTCAAGCATTTGGGGTGCTGGGTATGGTGGAGATACTGGTGTTAAAGAGGTTCTTCTATCTAGTATTTAGAACCTTTCATGAAATAGGTCGTTTCATTCTGGGTTTCGTTTTCTGTGCTTTGCCCTCTGCAGTCTGTCAAAGAGGCACTGGATGCCCTAAAGCCGACCGTGGACTCTGTGAAGCAAGAGCAGGCTGCCATCATGCAGAAAACCAACGACAAGGACTCCCTGGAAGTGTCCAGAGTGGTTGAGAGGCTGAGCGAAGACTGGACCAAGCTGAAGCAAGTCTATGCAGACCGTCACAGGTATTGACATGTGAATGGAGACAGTTGTGAATGTGTAGTTGTGAAAAAAAAATTTCGCCGTTTCCCATACTTGATACTAGAGATTTAGTCAAAAAGAACCTACTGGAAGCCTCAGAGTGGCATCCGGTAGGTTCTTGCCTCATCATCGCTGGCAATGATTTGGTGCTGTGAAATTTCTAGCTGGGAAAAAAAATCTTGGCTGCGACTCAGAGGCTTAAAGGAGGTTCCTTTTCAAGTCTGTCCTACCAACTTCGACTACCTTCATGATTTGTTTGTGTCAGAGTTAGCAGAGAAACCACATTGACATGGTATTGCGGTGTTTTCTACAGGTTAGTTTGAAATTCCAAATCTTGCTACCCAAGTTGCAACCCAAGTTTGTGACTGCACAGATTAATATTACATTTTTGATTAGGCATACCAATTTTGGAGTTTGCTATTCTCTGCCTGGAGAAGTCGTTTTTGATTTTGTTTAATTTAAAGGAATTGGGAGTAATAATGAAAGTTAAATATGTATGAGACAATTTGTGTCTGGACAAAATACACAAGTGACAAATACTGTAGGCTCGCAATAATTCAAACTCAGATAATTCATACTTCTGGTTAATTAAAAAAATAAAAATCAGTTTTGGTTGTCCCACTATGTTTTTAATGTATTCATAAGCCACTTAATTCGAACGGCGTTTTCGTGCAAGTCATACTTTTTGTTCTTGCGGCCCCGTTGATTGTGCTTCTTTCCGAGCACTGGTGCACTACAGAGACGCAACACTCGCGGAGCTTGTTTCCGCAGGTGTTGCTTCTCTGCAGTGTACCGGTACTCGGTGAGAAGCGCACTCAACGGATCGGCATCCACATCCAAACCGCATCCACAACGTTCTTAAATTATTGTATCCCTATCTGTGCCGCACCCGCAGACTTTGTGTCCGCATCCGAACCACATTCACAAAATTTGGAACTGCATCTGACCCGTATTCTGTGCATTCATTTTACATCATGAAATCAAGCATGAATATAAAAAAAGCATCTGGATGGTATTCTATAAGCCGTCTGCTTACTTCTGTGCACAGAATGTTTCGTGTCAGAATACAGTGAAAGTCATTTGATCGTATTCTGTTTTGTCATATTTGTATTATGAGCAATCATCCTTCTAGAGACTTTTCACATCACTTGGAGGATGATCGCAGTTATGAGATCTTGGGAGTCCATGGCACTCCGTCCAGAAGTGCTCAAAAGCAAAGGGTGATTCCACAAGAGATTGAACCTGCATGTCCACTCAACATTTTTATTTTTTTCTGTTTCTTTTGTATGTGATGTAGACTCGGATGAATCGCACTAAACTTAACTTTTTGTCTCGAAAAAGTGTTTTCACTATACGAGAAGAAGATGCTTTTAGATTGCGCGACGGCCCTGCTCCCACCGCGGACTGCAATAGTTGCCAACTTTGCAGTCCTTTGGAAGGCCGGCAAAGAGTACAGTGTAGGCCGCATATAATGAATGTCGTGGGAGTTGCGAAAATCCGCACTGTAAGCGGTACCGCGTTATAACCAAAACATCAATTTTTCAGGCCAGAATACATGCCATAAGACAACTTACCTTTGTAAAAGAATTTATTTTACGTTAGATGAAAAATAAAGCTTAGTTTGAGGAAAGTCTTTATTTCATTAGACTAGTACATTTCTCTCTCACGTGTGTCACACATTTTGAAAGAAATGAGCGACTTTTGCCTGGTGCCGCCTTTTAACGGCGTCGCGGGTTGCGGACGGACGTTGCGAGCATTCAGGATTGCTAACCCTAATCACTTTTCTTCGGCGATGAAAACACGTGAAAATTCGCATCCTTTATACGGTACGCGCCAGTAATACCTTCAACTTGAGCACAGGCATGAAATGCTCCAAATAAGAAATCCGGGCGATATTCGAAAACACAAATGCTTAGAAAGCACCACTGTAGTCGAAGTAAACAAACATGACGACACGGGCGTTTCTGCTGTCTTGAGAGTGCCGCCACGACATCGCCGCGCGAGTAGGTGGATCTTCCCTTCTAGTACGTGCTGGGTTATTATAGCAACACACAACGAAAATTCACAGTCAAGGATAGCGCTTTTATGCGGAATGATAAGCTTCCACCACGCCGTCTACGTCGACCAACAACGATCACAACTGACGCCATGTTTGCAGATGGAGGCAGCCGGCCCGCGACCGGCATGCAATGCGCGCGAACACTTCTCCTCGACTTGCGATTGTCTGTGGTTGCGGTTGTTTCCAACCACGGTGTAGTGTTTCCAATGCAGCGGAGGGACGCACGCACGTGAACGACACGTGCGTGCACGTGAACGACACGTGCGTGCGTCCCTATGTCGCTATGGCAACTGAAGCCTCTCTCTTCGCTTCTCCTCGCTTCTTCGAGCAACCTCCTTGCCCCGCGAGTGCCGCAGTCCATGCCGGTCAGTCGACGCGGACTGCGGGCTGTTCCAAAAACCGCACTATAACCGGTATTTCCCTTCGCGCGCCTGCATTTTAAGCGGTATGTAATTACATGCAGTTCTATGGAAGGCGAACCGGTGGTTTAAAAAATCCGCGTTATACCCGGTCCTGCACTATAAGCGGTTACGTTGTAAGTGGTCTATACTGTAGTACACCAAAAATGCTTCCTCTTTCATGCAATGCACAAAAGTTTAAGTCAACCGCATGCAATTATTATGTGTTCTATGAATTAAAAAAAGATATATAAAAAATTCATAACTTTAGACTAGTTGAAACAAATACACAAAATTTGAGGCCTTCTATCTCAATATGTATGGCATAAACGAGTTTGAAAATTACACATAATATAGACGCTTTACACACGCGCTAGATTCCAGCCGCCATTGCTGACCTTCTCTTGTCTTACCAAGATGCAGAGCCAGTGAAGCGAGCGTTAACGAGATACCACAAAGGCCAATGCTGGGGTGAAGGATGCAGTAGAATCTAAAAATGGCAATAACCTGCCCTGCTGTGGTCATGATGACGTGAAGCAAGCGTAATAGGGGAAAACAAAAATTGAAGGTCAGTTATGGTAGCGCCCATGCACAGCTGCTGCAAAGCGTCTATAGGCCAGGGCCTCTAAAATAATCCTTTAAAATATATGAACTTTCAATAAAAATGTTAACATAGAAAAACATTATATTGAAAGAACACATTTTAAAAAAAATACCCATATTTAAAAAAAAAAAAATAAAAAAGTTCTTAATTTTATTAAAGCTCTGGGGTACAACTCTTTTTAGGTCAGGAAAAAACCACATTCAAAAACATGTTGTGCCATTTGCTTGGTACAAAAGTTCCAAGCGGTCAAAGTGGCGGTTGCGAAGCGTCTTGACTCCGTCCTTTTTCACTTCACCCCACTGCTGGTATCTTTTTTTTTTTTTTTTTTTAGAAAAAAGCAACTTTTTTTTTTTTGCAACAAATAAGAAATTGATGTGTTGTAGCTTGCTGTAATAGAAAATATCTTTCCAGATTTTTTTTCTTTTTTCTTTTGGTCAAGTATGGGCATTCATGAAAGTTTATGCTCATGCGTGGTGTGCACGTTCCGGTAGAGAACCAGCATACCCCACTTCTGTGTTCGCTTCAGTTTTGTAGCTGCCCTGGACACTTGTGAGGAACATACAAACAGGAAAAAATTATTCCTGTTTGTCCATTGAAGCCAGCATCTTCCATTCTGAAATGGCTCAAAAAATTTTATGGGGGGAGAAAACAGGCAGAGATTGAAATAGAAGTGTTGACAAAAATATGCTCAAGCTTAAAGGAGCTGTGCGACAGTTTCAGTGCTTTGCTTGAATAATTTGGGAGTTGGTGTCTCGACCTTTCTGAGGTGAAGAACAAAAATCCGCTTTTGCCTGCATGTCCTAGTTTTTATTTTCAAAATGAACAAAGATTGAGGTTTTCGGCACCTCTCAGCTCCTTCACCATCTTCCGAGTCACGTGAGCTGTGACGTTAGTGGGGGTTTGCTCGGTGTTCCGGTGAAGCTCTCTCTCTAGAGCCATCAGTCAACAGCGAGAACTCATCCCCTCGCGACCGCGTGACCATGTGCTGGCGGGCGCGCCGCGAACAATATGGTGAAAGGAGGACAGTCTCATCCAGGTCCGGCCATACCCATCCGGCTCTGTCCCCCTCCCCCTCCGGCTTCTAGCGGCTGTTCGCGGTAGCAGATAGTGCTGACGGTTTTGTGGGCCTAGGATAGATGGCACCACTAAAACTCTAAAACTCCGTATAATAAAAGTTGTGTTGATGATACCAGGTTTTTGACGCATTTATATTTGTTTGAACAAAATTTATATAAAAGTTACCTTTTATCGAGCAGGTACTCGCACAACTTGCTATCTTTTTACAAGACCCCCTTGACGTCACGCCGCGTGTTTCTCATGGCCGCCGCTTGCTGCTGCAGGTCGGGGAGTATTCTAATCTTAGCCTTGCGATTACGCGGCGGTATCGCAACATTTCGAAGGATGGAGGTGTGTTTTCTGTCCTTTGTGACAAGGTGAACAATGTCAAAAGTAGAAGATGCCGATTCTTTCAACGTTAAAATCGTTACACAGCTCCTTTAAGTATATAGGCGGTACTTCCTCTTGCGCATATTTCTGTCAGCACTTCCTTTTCATTCTCTGCCTCTTTTCTCTCCCATAAGATTTTCTGAGCTGTTTCCGAATGGTAGATGCCGGCTTCAACGGAGAAACTTTGGAAAGTTGGACATACCTGACAGCGAGAGCAACCCTGAATCACGTATACTGCCTGGCAAATGTAAACCTCCTTGGCTACGCTTGAACATAAGCGCCCTGTACCCTTTTACCCGAGGTGTCATTCTTTTATTTTCTACAGTTTTAGTAAACGAGACATGCGAAGTTCAAGCGCCATCAAGTTCATGAAGTCCTGCCTTGACAAGCCTCCCCCCCACACGCACACATACACAGACACCGGTTCACTGATTAGGAGTTCATATTTCGCTTATGAGGCACCAAAACGGGAATCATCGTTCCCCGTTTGTAAGTGCCCGGGGCAGCTACAAAACTGATATGAACACGGAAGTGGGATATGCTGGTTCTCCACCAGAACATGCACTGCATGCATGAGCGTAAACTTCCATGAATGCCCGTAAACAACCACAAAAAGAAGAAAAGTATGGAAATATATGTATAATTACAGCAAGCTACAACACATAAATTTCTTATTTGTGGAAAAAAAAAAAAAGGTTGCTTTATTCTTGAAAAAGAAGAAAAAAAAGATACCAGCAGCAGAGTGAAGTGAAAAATGCCAAAGTCAAGACACTTCGCTTTGGAACCGCCACTTTGACTGCTTAGAGCTTTCTTCCAAGCAAATGGTGCAACAGTTTTTTGTATGCTGTTTTTGCCTGGCATAAGGAGAGTTGTACCCCACAGTTTTAGTAAAATTGAGACCGGGTTTTTTTAATTTTGTTTTTCAATATGGGCATTTGTTTTAAAATTCAAAGTAATTTTTTATGTTTATATTTTTATCGGAAGTTAACATCTTGCAGGATTATTTTAGATGCCTTAACCTATATTATGTGCAGCTTCCAAACTCGTTAATGCCATACATATTGAGCTAGAAGGCCTCAAAGTTAGTGTATTTGTTTCACCTGATCTGAAGTTGTGAATTTTTATACTTTTTTTTAATTCATAGAGCACATAATAATTCCATGTAGTTAACTTAAACTTTGGTGCGTTACATGAAACAGGAAACATTTTTGGCATACTACTCTTTGCCATAGGACCACAAAGTTGGAAACTATTGCAGTCCACGGTAGGAGCAGGGTCTTCGTGCAATCTTAAAGCATTTTTGTTTCATAGTGAAAATGCTTTTCCGAGACCAAAAGTTCAGTTTAGTGCGATTCATTTGTGTGTACGTCACATATAAAAAAAAAAAAAAAATGCCAAGTGGACATGCAGGTTCGATCTCTCGTGGAATCACCCAGGAATTTAGTTTTTTTTTCTTTTTGCCTTGTAAAACCCACTTCAAGCAGACACATATTTTATATACATAAAAATTAACAAAGTACATTGCATCATTTTATTTAGGCCAAACAATAAAATAGGGGGAGAGGAAAGGCGGTCACTCACCACAGCAAAGTACTCATGTGTAACGTGCAAGTACACCACTGGGAAAATATCACAATATTCAGTAATGTCAATACCTTCTATCGGGTTCAGTTTTAAAGACAAACCTTCAACGGCATGCTCGGAACCACATAATTAAAAACAACTTGCCAACTGTAAAAAAAAAACAAAAAAAACACATGCAACATTTTGTTTGCTGAGGTTGCTGTGTGGAAGAAACAGAATATCGTCAGCTTGGGCGGATTCAGACTGTTTTGCCGCTTTTAAATTTAGACCAGCTATGAGAAGTTTCTTTCTGCTGGTGCATTTAATGCTGGGATGTCATGTACGAACTGCGCTACAAGAGTGAGGTACGAAAACTCGTGCTGGCTCAAGTTTCCGTACCACTCAACTAGTCACTCTACACTCTGCAGTCGCACAAGTTTAAGGGCCGGCTCGGCCAAAATGTAGATCAGGACCTGCGGATATCCTAATCCGATCTGCATTCACAGCCCCTGGCATCCGCATCCATTCCGCAATCCGTCAAATCTGATTAATCTTGATGTGCATCTGCCAATTGATTGTGGATATCTGTGGAGGATCTGCAGGTAATCTGCGGATATGCAGGGCTCTACAAATGATCTATGAAAGAAGGCACCACGCAAAAATTTCCATAGCAACTTTCGCTGACGCTGTGACGTGGTGGCATGGCCTAGGTCCATGTCACAGCGTCTGCGCAAGTTGCTATGAAAAGTGCCGCGCAGTGCCCGTTTTCATTGCTCGTGTATCCCCTGCTTAATGGTCCACATTAGACAACTTTTTGGCCTGATGAACAAACTTAATTTTGTTTTGAGTTGTCATGTGCTGTCTAAACAGTCCATGATAAACAACATTTTTGAGGGATAAATAAACTTGTCGTGAATTTCACAAATGTTTCACGTGTGGCATACCTGTTTATGATCAGTTGGCCTATGTAAAGAAAATCATAAAATATCTACTTTGTATGTGTAGCCATTCATATGGCAAATCATAATTTTACTGTCGAGACCGGTTATAACGAAATCGGTTATAACGAAATAGCGGCTACAACGAAGCGATCACGATTTCCCATTCCCTTTTTCACTTCGTTATAACCGAAGTCGGTTATAACGAAATAGCAGATATAGCGAAGTGATTTCCGTTTCCCGTTGACTTCGTTATAACCGGTCTCGACAGTACTTTTATCATATTCAGATAAATTTCTGATAATTCAGACAAAATTCGTGGCTTCTTGGAGTTTGAATTAATGAGTCCACTGTAGCACGAGAAATTAAATGAGATGAGAGAGAAATAGGAACAGTATGCAGATAATAGATGAGGAGGAAAGGAAGGTTAGGACAAACCCACCACTGCTTTTTTTATGGCAGTGGAGAACATACACAAATGGTGAAGCAACTTAACATATTAAGGTTACTGTAGATATTTAATATTTTAGCAATTAAAATACTTTTTAAGGTGCCATGAGATTTCTGTAGCTCAGTTGTAACTTCATTACATTTTCGGTGTAATTTGTATCTTGGTCGTTAAATCACAGTTCTCAAAAATTATGTTGATGAACAAATTTACAGTAATTTATAATTTATTCCCAGCATCAGTGCTATGTGTTGTCAATGCCTCAAGCTCTATTTTGAGTAAGATGCTGAATCGGAGTGGAGCTGCACTAATACCGTATTTACTCAAGTATTAGCCGCACTGTTTATGGAGAAAGCCTGAAGGTTAGCTTTTTCGCGGAGCACGCGGATCGCTAATCATTGCGATGGACAGCATGACTCCAGCAGTTTACAGGACAGAGATAACGTCTTCGTGCGAAGATATCATCCGTGAAGGTTGCATTTGTATAAAGACTCGGGTTCGTGATCTGGTTATTCGCTGTGTTATTTATGCACAACATGATGATTGGCTGTATACATGTTCTGCGGAAAAGTAGACGCAAGGGCCTTGTTCATAAATAGTGCAACTATTGCTCGAGTAAATACGGTATCTGATTTGCATTGGAAACGGGAATGTCGTCACTTGCAGTTCACCGCAGCACTGTACAATATTCTGAAACTGAAACATGACTTGGTTTGTAACTAAATTAGTTTGAAGGTTAACGTGTGCGGCTCTGGGAGAGATGCACGAGATAAGCAAGACCGGTTAATATCCACAAAGACTACAACACTCTGTGACTAATAGCGCTCATCCTTGTACCATAGAAAATTAGAAATTGTGTGTGTTTGGCACAACGTAGCCTACATTGTTTTTGTGTCTAATTATGTTTCATCTTTAATTATTATCTTTTATTTAATTATCTTTAATCTTTCATTATAGTCATTAGAGCACTCTACAGCGTCTTGTGAACTCCTAATAGCTATCTCGCCTTTTGTTTTTCTAGCCGTTGGCTGAAGACACGAGAATTTTGGCAGACGTTTGACTCGAGCATCCGTGGCCTCAACTTGTGGATGGAAGAGATAGAGACCATCCTCGTTCAGTGTCGTCTTCCGAACGGCGATCTCGACATGGAGCTCTCTCAAAAACATCAGGAGGTGAGGACACCTTTTGTTTGCTTATATATCAATGGAACGGTCGGTTTGCTCTTCTTCCTTCCTTGGTACACAAGCAAATACAGTGAAACTTCACTTGAACAAACTTCAAGGGACCTCAGGAAAAAGTTTGTTAAAGTGAAAGTTCACTCAACTGAAATAAGTATGTTGCAGCTTGTTATCACAAACTAAAGGAAAAATCGAGTGTTCAAATGATATTTCAACCCATTCATTTGTCACTCTGCTCATTTGCAAGTGTATTTCCGACACTTAGCACTCTTAATTGTAGACAATGACGATGCCGGGATCCCAAATGCTTTCGCAGCGTCGACTCGACGCTGCCCGGCGTCCAGCCTTCGCAAAATATCCCGTTTTTCGTCTAGAGACAGGCGCTTTCGCTTGGCGCTCATGATTAACCAGCATGCGATCGCCTTTTCTTGGTGGCTGAAGCTGCGGCTATGGCTATGGCTGTGAAGCCAGCTAAACACGCAAAACCAGCTATGGCTTCGGCTGGCTACGTGCTTATCTAGATAGCTAATCCAGTTCAAAGCTAAAATGGCGGCAAATTATACGTCGCGCGCTTCTCAGCGTGAAAATATGCAACAAAAAGTGCGGGTTGTACTTCTTGGAGTGATCAATATGACCCGGTAGATACAGGATGGTGCCGCGGAATAGGTTCGTTGAACTGAAATGCGCATTGCTCTGAGTTTCGTTAAACTGAAGGGCGTTTGCATTGGGTTCAATGGTGCTTCGGTGGGGGATTTAAAAAAGTTCGTAAAACTGAATAGTTTGTTTAAGTGACGTTCGTTCAAGTGGTATTTTACTGTAGTAGTGTTGGCCAATGTAAAGACACGGCCATATGGCTGTGGGTCTTGTTTGTTCATCAGTGCTGTGTCCTGGTTTGGGAGAAGGCAGTGAAAGGCCTTCTAGTCTCTTCATTCCCTCTCTTTTTCCTCGGGACTTTTAGTCTATGGAGAAACAAGTCACAGAAAAGATGCCTCACTTCGAAGAGGTCAAGAAGATGACTCAGCAAATAATGGAGCAATGCTCGGCCGCTGACGGGGTGCTGCTGCAGCAGAAGCTCGAAGGCCTGAAACGGAGATGGAAGGCCATAATCTCAGAGCTGCAGTCGAGGAGGGAAAGGTAATATACCACCATATTTTTTAACCTTTTTTTGACTAAGTAATAAGGAGTTATTTCCTTAAAGCTAAATTTATAACAATACTCAAAGAAGCTACTGTATATCTCCCAGTGAAACACCATTTGCCACATAACGGCTTCCTGGTGGTTTCTTTTTCAAGTTCTTTCTGAGAGCTTTAAATATTTTTGTTTTGCTTAGAGATTAGTATACAACACCAAGACAACCCAAAGCATGCTCCTCTATAAAAAGGTTACACAACACATCATAATTTGAACATTGAACATTGACAGGATGCATTCTTTACTTCATTGTGAGTAAAAATTTCCACACTAGACTTCAAGGAAGTCTGAAACCCCTCTCTAATCCCCTAAATTTTTTGTACGCACTTTGATAGGACACTGATGCCACAATATGTGTTTTTAGCTCAGAAACCATTTTCTAATTCAGTATTTATGTTGCGAAACAACTTATAAGTTATTCGTGAAACTAATGAAACTAGTGCAAACTTTCTAACTTTCATTTTGAAGGACCAACCCTTAAATAGAAGTTAGTTTAGGTTTCACTCCTAACTTAAAATATTTCTCAACACATAAATATTGTGCAAATTTTATTTTTTTTTTGGTAAAATTTTTGTTGGTGACATTGAATCTTCTAACTAGACACTTAAAAAGAAAAGTGGGGAGAGAGTTTTGTGTGCTTTAAGATAGGTGTCTTAATCTCCTTAAAGTATAGATAGGAAAGGAAGTAGACAATTAAACAAGCTACCGTGGTATCTATCCTCAGAGATAGCCCACCTAAAATTGAAAGCAAATCGGGGGAAAATTAGGACTAAGCTAACTCAATGTGCAATAAAAAAAAGTTGGAGAAATGCTAGTTCTAGATTCTGTGACCTACAAAACTTGTGATTTCAAGGATGAATTAAATACGACTGCCCTTCCCAGTCAGCAATGTTTGCTTATTTCCCGTCGTGGATAAGTAACACCATTTCTGCCGATGTCACCATTGACCAGGGCCTTGAAATTATTAGAAGTGGGTTATATTTCGGTGTTTCTGAACAAATAGCAAATCCTGCCAAAAATAGGGGGCGGGTTATTTTTCATGGGTGGGGCATCTCTCGGGACATTACGGTAACTTGTTTGTGCAAGGCTAAAGAGGGGGAAAGGAAGAACACCAGCCAATAGACTGGCAGGACTGATAATGCCGATTCCCCAGACGTTAGACAATCAGTTGTTTCTTGGATTGACGGAAAGGTAAGCCTGCAGATCTCACAGTTACGCAGTGAAAATTGTCACACAGCCAAAGACCTCCCACATGTTCTCTTTTTTCATGCGAAGCTTGTCTTGTCTCTCTTTCTGTGAACCAGACTTGCAGTGGACAATTCTCGTCTGGAGCAAGTCAAAGAAGACATGTCGGAGTTGAAGCCCTGGCTTCTGGAAGCAGAGAGCTTGCTAGCTTACAGGCCGAATGAGGGCGATGACATTGAGAATTGCAAGGAAAGGCTTGAGCAGATTAAGGTAAGTGGTACAGCTGTAAAGTAATCTCGTGACAGGATAATTGATTCATCGTTAATTATGGTCAGCAACAGCTTAAGGGCCCGGTATGGGCTTTGCATTGGGCACAACCTTTCTGCATTTGATAATGCTTTATCACACATGCTGTCAAAGCCTGGCGAAAGGCAACGAGCGTGCGCTGGAGGCGGAGCACCGACTATAGTTAAAAGTTCAATTTACTCCCCAGTAGCACATGAGACGAGACCTGCAAGGGGCCTGAGTGGGTAACTTTTTTAAGGTTGCGATAAAGTTTCAGTGACTATAACTGCAAGCTACATAGTTCTATATTTTTAGAGCAAGTTGAAACTTAGTTGCAGTTATTTCTTAACATGATGGTGGCAATCACAAATTACACCAGTTTATTCTGAACATCAGTGCTATGTGTTCTGTTGTCACTATCTTAAACTCCACTGTGAATAAAGTGCTCACTTGAAATAGAACTACCCAGTATCTTCTTTAAAAATTGTTGGTGAGTAGTTGCAGCACATCCTAAAAGTAATTCAACCGTCACTTAGTTACTTTTCATGTGTAGGGGTAAATAGATGCATCTGTTAAAATGTTTACTAAATGAACTGCGTGTCAACTGAAGTAACTGTAATTTAATTAGTAATTATTTTCTAAGAAATCTCTGGCAAGCTGAATGCAAGAGTGTGCAACTTTCTGTTTTTTTACTTTTAAAATTCTAGTCATATCCCACTTTTCCTAAAAGCAGTGCAGCAATTTTTTTTTAGGTTAACAGTTTTATGTGGGAGCAAAAATAATGGTGATATTTTACTTGGTCCAACTTGATTAACTGAATAATTGATTTAAGGAACTAACCAGACGCGATTGCGGCATCAGATTTTGCATGCTTGCCGTTGTTGTTTGTCTAGAAATGCGAGGAAGAGATTGGAGCCAAGAGATCCAACCTGCTTTCCGTGATCCTTGGCGGCTCACTGGTCAAGCCTTCCGAAGTCGAGAGTCTGGAGGCCAGGTTTCAAAAGGTGAGTGTCTCTCCAAGTGTGGACATGTTGCTTGGATTTCCTAAAGGGCTGGTGGCAACAAACTCGTGTGGTTCATGTTCAGTGTGGGTCAGATGAATCTAACACACTTCCAATAGATAGCAAAAATCGGTTTTGTATCCAAGCTAGTTTACAATGAAGCTGAAGTTAGGTGTTCTACTAATTTATGTGGAAATATTAAAGAAAACACTTGCCTAAATCAGCGGTTCCAAATAAGAACCAGAATTTAGTATGGATCGATATGGAGTTGAGCCTTTTTTACCCCAATGTGAGCAAAAAAGGCACTTCTTTTCTGTGAGTGAAAACAGTGAAAAGAGCAAAGACAATCATTATGACTGCTGAATTTTGTGATTTCATAAAACGGAAGCTGGTGGCAGAAAACAGACTTATTGAGCTCTCCCTCGTGTGAGTATCTTGTCAGGGTGGCACCAGGTCTGTTGCATGATTTGGGTTGTTCTAAAGCTGCTACTGTTGACAGCATTCTTTTGTTCAACCTCCAGCAAATTTGGCTAAACCTGTGAAACCTGTGTCTGTGTCTGTGAAAAAAAAAAAAAATCCTTCGACTCTTTGTTTAGTTAGGAAGTGGGGCCATCTGGTCAGAGTAAAAGTGGAGAGTTGTCAACCTCATAAGTACAATTTATGCAAAATCAAAACTTTATTTCTGTTCCATTCTTCATTTCATTTATTATGCCCTTAAGCCCAAAGGCATGACACAGGGGGTGGGTTAATTCAAAAAGACACATGAAGAGAACATAGCTTAAAGGGGCACTAAAGAGGATTCTGCAGTGATCTGTTTTTGGTCATAACTAATTCTGCAGGCCCTAAGAATCTTAAAAGTCCAAAAGCTACAATCATTCGATGCCGAATTCCCTATTAAAAATGTGATGAAAGGTTGGGGGACACACTCCTTTCTGGGCGGATTTTTCCGCTCAGAAAAGGCAGGGCATATCCCAGCAGGGGTGTCAGCACGGTGACGATGGGTTCTCATCGGCCAATTGCAAGCCGTTTCAATTACAAGCCACCTCTTCAAGAAAGGCGGCTTGCAATTGGCCGACAAGCACCCATCATCACTGTGCTGACACTACTGCTGGGGTATGTCCTGCTTTTTCTGAGCGGAAGAATTCGCTCAGAAAGGAATCTGTCGCCCGACCTTTTTTCACGTTTTAGTGCGATAGCATTCTTTAGCTACCCCCCCAGATTTCTTGGACTTTCTGGCCTCCTAATGCACAGTAGAGCATTCAAGCTCACATTCTCATGCTCCTTCACATTTGCACCCTCTTTGAAGGACCCGACGACATCGACGTCATCCTAGAGGTCATCTTAGAGGTTGTCCTAGACGTCATCCTCCAGGACGTCATCCTCGACCTCGTCCTTGAGGTCATCCTAGAGGGCATTCAAAGATTGCCCTAGAGGTCGTTCTAGACATCGTCCTAGACGTCATCTTTGATGTCGTCCTCTAGGACGTCGACGTTTTCTTAAATGTCGTCCTTGAGGTTGTCCTAGACAAATGCTATCGCAATTCGTAGACCACCAATAATAAAGGTTTCTGCAGCAATTTAATAGGGAAATCGGCATTCCGTTAATGTAATTTTTGGATTTTTAGGATGCTTAGGTCCTGTAGAATCAGTTAGGACAAAGAACAGACAATCGCAGAATCCTCTTTAGTGCCCCTTTAAGAGTCAAAAACATGTGGTTGCCATAGAACAACTAAATAAAGTAGTAATGGCAAGTTGAAAATCAGCCTTTGCCAGTTATTGACACTATGGGTGGAGAAAGACAATGTTCATAGGCTGACATCTAGGGAAAAAAAAAGCATTAAAAGGAGAGGTGTTATATGTAATGGGCTGGTCCCTACTTTTAGCTGATTATTCTTGCACAATGATATGTAGGATAGTTCTAGAATGGTGTTTGTTTGGATGATACATTTTTGGAACCAACATGAAATAAGATAAAATTCAGCTGTGTTTGAGACTTTGTGTGTCATGTTGTCATTCATCTTTTCCCCAGTCTCGAGGCTTTGTCTTAAATTTTGTTAACCCTTCCCCAGCTCGTTTTAGAGCACAGCTCTTAGGCGCTCGTTCTTGTGTTTCACGGCGTCAGCATCGCCATCGGCGTAAACGGTAAAACTAACGTCACATGAACTCAACACCTATTCATTTTCTCCGCTAAATTTAGTGGGGAATTGAATTGGTGTTGAGGTCACGTGACATCAATTCTCCCGCTAGCGTTGTAACTAAATTTGTTCATAGGTGACGTGACACAAAGTCAATGAAGTCATTTTTCCTGCTAAATTTAGTGGGGAACCTGAATTGGTATTGAGTTGATGTGGTGGTTAATTTTCCAGCTAAATTTAGTGGGGAAACTGTGGGAAGGAGGGGAGGGTATGGAGGAGGAGGGGTGGGAGGATCCTTCATACCCTCCCCTCCTTTTTCTTATCTAAATAGCATTATAATAAATAATTAATTTTAATATATTTATACATATATACTGTAAAGTTCCGAAAGAACACCCGCCTAAAATAAGAGATGAAGTGCAAAACATGGGGTGGGCTATCTTTCGTGATGCCGCAGCAAAGTTTTATCAAAAATTAATGATAAACACCCTGATACTGGCTCAAACCATGTGACGCGGGAACTGATACCACAGATCGCGGACACCGCAAATTCGCGTTTCAGAATGTGATAAACACGCGGGAATTCGCTACAAACTCCTGTGTCACGGGAAAGGATACCGCAGGTTGCGGACGCAGGAGATTCGCTTCTCATGGTATGAAGGACCCGCGGAAACCTGCCAAGAACTCGCGTCTCATGGGAACGAAGACCGCAAATCGAAGGTGCAGCAGATTCAAGCTTTATGATGCAATAAACACGCGGCAACCCTCTACAAACTTTCCTGCCACGGGAACCGATATCGCGCGCACATCGCGGACAAAAACACGGGAATCCGCTACAAACTTGTATGTTACGGGAACAAATACCGGAGATCGCAAACGCAGCAGAATCATATTTCACGATGCAAAATACACACGGGACCAACTCGTGTGGAATCGAGATCGCGCGTAGAGATCGCAAACAAAAACGCGGGAATCCGCAACAAACTTTTTGTCACGGGTACGGATACCGCAGGTTGCGGATGCACCACATTCGCATTTCACGGTGCAACATGCACGCGGGAAAAACCCGCATATTACAGGATCCAATATCGCGGACAAAGACGCGGGAACCCGCTATGAACTCTTGTCAAACGTGCCGGTACAGCAGATTGCAAGGCCAATGCGATTCCTGTCGGACATTGCTTGATGTCCACTAAATTCGAGGGGTTAGTGATTTTTCGTAATTTTTCTGTTCCAGATATTTAGCCAGAAAAACTGGATGGGCGATCTCTCAAGGGCGGGCGTTCTCTTGGAACTTTACTGTATATATATATATATATATATATATATATATATATAGATATATATAAATAAAAGACATATAAACCGTAGCATACCGCGCATCTGCCCATTCTATATCCAAATTTCTAAGATCTGAGAAAATATGCTCGGTGCTATTATATGTAAAATTGATGACCGGACAAGCGCCCATTCCCCATTTTTTACCGATTATCTCTAAATGTTGAGTGGACGCTTGCCCCGTATTTTACGGTATACATACATACATATATATATATATATATATATATATGTTTATATTATGTACACAGGAGTATGAGGTCTATGTTTGTACATATAAATATTTCTTCCTTGAATTCTTTAGCACGGCATATTGCAAAATCAAAATACCTCAAGAGCTGTGCTCTAATTTCGCATTACAGAGATTTGTAAACCTCTTTCAAGTTTTAATACGAAAGCATTAAAGGGAAGATGGGGCACTTCTACATTTGAGAAAAAACGCTTGAATTGCGTTCATTTGGCTTTTAGATTAACAGATATCAAAAGTGTATTTCAATGCGACGTGCCGGAGAGCCATACGAGCAATTTCAAAATAGGACTGAAGCCCCGCCGCCCTAGCCTTGGGCAGCCAAAAGAGCCGTCGATGACGTCACGCACAGCGACTGTCTTTCGCGTTTTTCTTGCGTTTAACAATACTTGTGCAGCAAATGGTTTGGGTATTCGGGTTCACAGGGTAAAAATACACTAGAATTCACTTCTAACTCATTTTTTCCAAGAAGTTCCGTAGCTTCCCTTTAACTGTCTCATGGAGCGAGCTGATGTCAATAGTTTGAAGCGCGAAAACGGCACCTAGTTTCCTTTGGTTCCATTGGCTGGCGCGCGTCGACGGGGCTCCCATTGGCCGTTGCGCTCGTCAGTTTCCACGACCGCTCACCCCATGGCGCTGCGTGTCCAGCAGTGCGCCGTTAACATAGAGCATACAAGGTCACCATGCCCAGGGGAGCACACGCGCTGACCGGCGCCAAAAAGTATGCAGCAGACGAAAAAGGGAGCGGACGAGCGGCTTGCATGCTTTCGCATTTGCAACTCATAAGAAATGCTTAGGTGTACCTCAATCTTTTTGTTCATAAAATAGATACTATTATTTTATAAAAAGAAATACAAACACCGCAAACGGCTTGACAAAGAAAGAAGAAAACGTTCAGCCTTTCTACTCTCGTGACGAAGGAAGACCAGCGGAGCTGTACTCGATACACTGCCGCAACGCGCATGCTCCCGTTTCCTGTTTTTTCTTGTCCGACACGCCGCCGATCGTGGATACGTCTTCAATGAACCAGAGTCGGTTGCACGTGTCGCACGTGACGCCAAATGGGTAACCCATGAACTCGCTCCAAATCCTCGCCGTCGCGCCCGGGAACTGTTCAGCTGGCGTGGAGTGCAGCCGTCGCCGACCCATTCACGCTGCTGCGTACGTTGCAGAACAGAACCAGCGATGTAAAGGGCGCCGGCGGGCCAACGCCACAGACAACAATTGTGCCATGGAGGCCAAGCGCGCTTGGCCTCCATGGCACAATTGTTGTCTGTGGCGTTG